GGGACCAACTCCGGGATTTAAGGTTTCAAAGCCACCTCAAATTAAATTAAACACACAGTGCTCCCTTTTAAGCCGAGGAGCTCTTAGACAACAGGAATATAAGTGGCTGTGGGCCGAGACTGTGGGCTTCGTTTAGGTGACCCAGCCGGGCCACCATAACTCATAACTGATTTTTTTGGGAGCATAACTGATTTTTTTGGGATGCAGTGGGAGCAGGCCTGAGCCAGCTCCCACTGCATCCTTTCCCTCACCATTTGCATTTTGAAAACGGGGCAAGAAAGGAAGCGACTGACCTCGGACGTCGCCAGACACTTTCCTGTTTCTGCCTCATCTCGGCTGTAACACGCCCCCTCTGCACAGGCTTGTTTGACCCGACCCAGAGCGCCCACTCAGTCCGACCCGAGCCTGACGTCCGACTCGGAGCTTGTGGCTTTCATTCCTGGCCTCCTTCTCTGTTTCTGAAACCCAACAGTGGTCTCTTTTGCAGCTGTCCGCACTTGGATTTGGCCCGTTACAGTAAGTGTGTCTGAGCAAAACCAGATCTCTGCGTCAATGCCAACTCCACAACAGCAACCAGTGGAAAGTGAGGAAATCTGAAGCCTTTGCAGCCTGTAGCTCACAGAAAGCCATGTTAGAAGTAGGTGGGATGAGCAGGTCAAACGATGCTCTGCAGGAATCTGTAATTTGTCAGAATTTATGATCAAATGCTATGCAGATTTTGTTTTTCTCCCCGCTAGCGCCACGCTGAGATCTCCCAGCCTCGGTAAGCAGTAGCTTAACTCTCAAATAATTGCAATGTTTTGAAGCTGCTGCTCCCCTCCCTCATAAAGTGTGTCCCAAAGTCTCGACACAAAGCATACTGGCAGTAAATCTATCCAGAACCAGTTCAAAACAACCTCCGGTTTAAAAAAAGAAGAAAGAAAAAAAATAGGCATTGTGACTTTACTCTTTTGTGGTTCCTAAACCACCAAGTTCAACCGAGTTCACAGAAAACTCCGGACGGCAGCTCTAAAGATTGGAGTCATGGCGTCGCTGCCCAACACTGGTAGGTGCGATTTTCCCATCATTGTTGTGGCTCAGAACGGCCGTACTCTCCAGAATGGTCACCGAGTGTCTCTGTGACAATGCTTCAGTGATCCCCACACACTACACTAAAGGCTGCTGGTACAAAGACCTTTTGACGCTGATGTTGTAATGATGGGGATGTGTGTGTGTGAGGGAAATCACTCTGGTTCAGCTCTGCCAGCATTCAGCGTCCGCTTGCCACTGCAGCAGCCGGCCCCTCCCCTCACACGTCCCATCATGCATTCAGCCACTCTTGAAATGCACTGGAGAGTCTTCGTGTGTGTGTGTGTGTGTGTGTGTGCGTGTGTGTGTGTGTGTGTGCACTCATCCCTGCTTAATTGACATTAAGATCTATGAGTCGGGGTTGGTGCTCCGGGTACCTGCTCCGGAGAGAAGTAGTAGGAAGCAGGTTCGGGAGAAACAAAAGAAATCGAAGCCACACACGTGCGCCCGTTTGGAGCTGGCTCTCGCCGGCTAATTACTGCTGCAGCACTGCTCACGCTGCAGAAAAAAGAAAAAAAAACCGCTTAAAGAGGAGGGGAAAATCCTACAGATGATGTTTTGTGTGTATTAGCTGCTGTTGGATACACGCGGCTGCCGTTAGTCGCTCTGTGTGTGTTGGCAGGATCCACTTGCTGCCCTTGCAAAATGCGAAAACGCTCCAGCAAGCGTTCAGGTGGCGGCGTTTGGGCGGTGACCCCCACGGCCGGCCCACGGCACTGCGCATGGTCTCTCCGCACAAGGCCAAGTTGCTGCATCCATCATCTCCTCCACCTCCCTTTCACCCCACCTCTAGGGGAGGGGAGGTGCGGCGGGGGGACCGGCCACCCTTGAAGTCTGATTGGCCACCCTGCCTGGTCACCCCCACCTGAGCTGTCATATCATATGAGCGCTTTATAATACCAATGCTCCTTTTGCTGTCTTACAGACACCATTAATACATTTGTTTTTGGTTCAAGTTCATGTTAAAAAAGTGAAACATTGCAAATTAATTTATATTTACATGTAAATCCAGGAGATTATAGCCAAGCGGCTAATTTCCTTGCAGCCCCACTGACAAGCTGTATGTGACGTTTAAGCAGCCTCAGACAACAGCACAAGAAAAACTAAAAAACTCTTCATAAAGAAGAAGAGGAAGTAAGCAAACAGTTGCTTGCATTTTAAGTTGATAAAGAGCTGCATGCAGTTTAATTATGCTAAACTAAACAGGCTAAAGTTAGCCACTGGCCTGAGCCTCTGTATCAAACATATCTACTGCATAGTAGCTAACAGATCCATGTGTTTTGTTTGGGTAAATAAATTGTTTTGTTGTTCAACCTTCGACCTGCTGTTGATTGTAATATAAGGCTAGCCCGGTATCGACTCGGTTCTATTGGGGACCAATGTTGCGACATTTATTACATTTTCAGCTGCTGCTGTTCGCCTTCACTATGCACAAAGTCAAACGATCCAAAATGTCTTCGCCCCCTTATTGGCCTGAGGTGGCGTTGCACCAAGAACTGCTGAAGAATACGACATATAAGAAACCTCTGAAGGAGACATGAGCGCAACGTCCTCCGTCTTCACAAAACCTAAACAAAAATGGAGCAGGGTCAGAGGTCTAATTTAGATGAAATTGCATTTTCAGAGCGCCACCCTTGTCCCACTGCTTGGCCTTCCTGAGAAAAATAAATCTAGACACGCCCCTGTCCACCCTGGCCCTCCTCCCTGCTCCCGCTCTTCCCTCATCGCCTCCTCGTCCCTGCTGACGTCCTGGGGGGGATTTCCCCTCCACCACAGAAGCGGGCTCATGATGCTTTTGGGGGCTTAATGAGGGCTTTCCTCTGATCAAAGCATGAGGAGGTGTAAGGAAATCGGAGGACAAATTTGCTCCTGTAGAGTGGCCAGTGACTCATCCTTTACTGAGGAGGGTTTTGTTTTTCTTTTCTGTGACTGAGTGGTGCTCAGAGAGCCTAAGATTAGACTGCATTCCCGGCGCGGCTGAAACCGTCTCGATAAAATGACCGTCCAGACGCCCGACGCTTTGCTCAGGCTCGGTTCGGTTGATGGACCGGACCCCGAAGCCTTCGGGATGACGAGCTGATGGCATGCAGTTGTTCAAAGTGTGCAGATTTTCCAGAGTGTCTGATTGACGTTTCTTGGTTTTACCAGTCCCTACAGTGGAAAAACCCTTCAATTACAGCAAGAGTGTCAAACTTGACTATTTGTGGCCTCTGTGTGGATTTTTCTTGTTTGATTTTTGAGCCCCCCGACCACAGTTCAAGTGAACAAAACTAAACCAAAACCTTCAAGACAACAGTTGTGTATTTAAATGTTATCAATCAAATCAAAGCGGTTTGCATCTGTACACTTCCAAATGACAACAATGTGAAAATTGATATTATTTTATTTCATTGAATGCAGAAAGAAATGCTTATTATTTTAACCATTTGTTAAAGGGGATTTTTCAATACATTTTGCCACACTTGTTTGGACCTTCTTTATTTTAATAAAATGAAAATGAGTTCGACACCGCTGACACTACCAACACGCTGAGGTATCTAGTGAAGGGAGGAAAAACATCATGATTTTTCACTCACATGCAAAGCTGGAAAAGTAACACTGCACGTCAACCCGAATAAACCGTCCCCTCTACGGTGGTGGCAGTATGATGCTGTGGGAATGTTTTTTCGGGGGGGGGAAGAAGGATTAGATGCTACACTGGATTTGGAACATGCAGCCAGAGTCACAATGAAATGGGGTTACACCAAAGCATATCCACGTGTCACGATGGCCCAGTCAAAGTTCAGACCTCCGTTCCATTGAAACTCTCTGGCGAGGCATGAAAATTAGTCCTTCACATTCATCGTTCCGCCCAATCTGACTGGCCTGGAACTATTCCGTGAGGAGAAAAGGACCAAAAATCTCATTTCTAAATGTCCGTGTCGTATCTATCGCATCGAATCTGAACAAACACATCAGCGTTTATAAATGGCTGTAAGAATCACAAAACATCAAAAAGGTTCAAGGCACCACATAAATGTGTAATGTGGTAAATTAATTCCATGGATACACAATTCCGGTAAATAAGTCAGTGAATAATATGTTTCCACTTCAACCAGGGGAGCGTGCTTTTGCACAGAACAGTCATGCACTGGTGCTGCAGCAGTATTTTTAACCCGTTCAGCGCCACTGATCAGAGACATTAATATTCAACCCAACAACATCAGCAAATCGCTGTCCGTGCAGCGAGTGGGAAATCTGATGTGAATTAGACCGACAAGGGCAAAACAATTCCTCTGCGTGAAAAGTTCATTCTGAACTCTTACAAAAGTAAGAAAATCCGCTAAACTTGAGGAGGACAGGCCGGATGTACAGAAGCATCAAATCGTCTTTCATGTCTCCAAGAAACAAACGGGGAATCATGATTTACTGTCGTGTTGCCGGCGGATGAAACTGGTCTGAAAGATGAGCCCACACACACACACACACACACACACACACACACACACGAACCCACACACAGCGGCTCCTGACCGTGTGAAAGCATGCAGTCGGGATCGTGGGCGGTCGGAGAAGCCGATCGCCTCAATTGATCGATTTTCAATCATCCGACATCCCGTTTGTCACGAAAACAAATCTTTACTCTCGGACGTTTTGTTGGGCGATAAGGAGGACGCGTGTCTGTCTGATTCAATCAGCCACTCTGCGGCCACAAGACAGGCACCGAAACAGGGGATGGCCCATTGTTCCGCTGAGGTGAAGCCGGTTGCGCACGGAGAGCCGCTCACTGACCAATTGGAGCGCAATCACTCTAGCCAATAAACTAAAAAATAAAAAAAAATCCACTGCCTTCACATAAGGGAAACCTGATGCAAGCCCAATATCATATACTAAGTGTCTATTTATTTATTTATTTATTTATTTTGAAAGAAGTAATAAATCAGATCTCTTACCGGCCACCGTGGATCTGTCCATGTAATTGAGGACGTTCCCAAAGCTCAGGATCCCCGCGGCGATGGCCGGCGTGCGGCACCGGAGTAGCGCGGCGCAGAATTTCTGGCCCGGCTTGCAGGAGTGCAGGTCCGGGCTGGGCTTCAGTCCGGGGCTCATGCTGCCCGACAGCGTGCGCACCTCGTCCGTGCCGCCGCTGCTGCTCTCGATCTCGCACCCGTCGCTCTCCACACACATGACTTTCTGGCTCGGGAGATCCAGCGGAGAGACGCGGAGAGTGTGAGAGAAGAAGAAGGTGTGAAGGAAAAAAAATGAAATAAAATAATAATAATTAAAAAAAAAAATTGTCAAGCAGGGCAGAGCAAACACCGAGCGGTGGTCACTGGGTTCGGCTGAGATCAGAGGTTGTCTTCGTGGGAGAAGCGCAGGATCGTGTCCGGATCATATTTTTCTGGCTGTGGACGGACGGCTGAGCGCTCCTTAGTTTCTCTCTCTCTCTCTGTGTGTGTGTCGCTGTAGTGGAGGGGTGTGAACCGGCTCTGATGACTCCTCCCCCGATCTGGCTTTGCGGATGGTGCTGCACCTGATTCCCCGGGATGCTGCTGGGACATCGGCGTGACAGTGGTGAGGTTTTACTCAGCAGCGTGAAACAACCCGGAAGTATTTAAAAAAAAATTTAAATTTTTTTTATCCTCCGCTAGAAACAATTGAATGACGGTTTTTTTTAAATGCCTCTTTTAAATGTTTCTTTTTATTAACAGGCTGATGAATAACTGGGGGTCACTGCAAGAGGTCATAAGTGTCAGCGGACTTGGTAAATTAGGATTTCACACACACACACAAAAAAAACGCCTTAAAATCAGAAACGTGCTTACAGTGAAACTGCATTCGGGCCCCTTTCCTGGCCTGTTCATGTGTTTTTGTTTGGTTTTTGTGTGTTTATCAGACAAAGAAATCTGGGTCTGCAAAATCAGCTTTCAAAAGATGATTTCATTTTAGAAATGACTTTGATTAGGCCATTCCAAAATCCCTTTTTTTTTTTTTTTTTGGTCTTTATTTGTCTTAGCATGAACAACCTGTTCAAGGTCATACCACAGCGTGTCAAACCGATTTTAGTAAAAAAAAAATAAATTTGACAAAATCACTCTAAAACCATTTTTTTTGTAATATTGATTACTAGAGAGGGCCCAACAGGGGCCAGTGCCCTTAATAAGGCCCCTGTACCAAAGGCAGAGTAGGTAATAGGGAGAATCGGGAGGATTCCCAACGGGCCGATCCATTTGTGGACCGGTTGGCGCTGGGGAAAAAAATCATGACAGTTGTATATGTATCTTAGCAGTGGTGCTTTCTCTGATTTGATCTGCCCCTTTACAAGGTGGAACCGGCATTTTGGTGAAAAACACCCCTAATGAAAAACACCCCTGAAAAGCTCACAGTTGGTTGAGTCCACTTTGATAGTGCAACATGGTCCAAAAGACTCGGTGAACGAGCAGGCAAAGAAATTACTGGACTGTGTTATACTGTCCTATAGGAACATAGACTTCCTATGTTCCTATAGGACAAACGTCCACCTGTACATTTTACCTTACAAAGCCTTGCTTTTAGCAGAATCCAACAAAACATCAGAGAGCCACTTGCGAATATGATCACATTAGCAGCACCAAATAAAAAACAAGGGATCGGATCCTCCTGAGCGGCAGGGATGATGGGAGATGAGATCATTCCTCATTTCGCTCTAAACATCACTGCTGGGTCACAAAGTGGATTAAAATGAAGCCTCCATCTAGATCTAGGACAGAGCAGTAAAAAGCACCGTGGAATCCCATTAATGTACGATTACTTTCCCCATGAAAAGCTGGGATCCACGTCTGGCGCGTGTAAATAAGTGTTAGCACATGCTAAAAGAACCGGCGAAGCATCAGGTTAAAGCCTGCAGTAACTGAGTTTGGGGTTTTTTTCTGCTCAGACAAGTACAGCTGACAAGTAGGCTCTTTATGGTCTCCATTAGAAGGTTGTAAACAACCCCTGTGAAAACCATCCAGTTCACTGCTGTGTTAAGCATCGTGCAGTTTTCTTAAAACCCGTTCTGGGTGACGTTTTTAGATCTTCCCAGCGACATTCACGACAGTCTGAGGAATGCCTTAATGAGGCTCCATTATGTTATCTATTCCTGCATTTATGTTCAAGCTAAAATCAACATCCCATTTTTAATTATTATTTTTTTTAATGTCTGCTACATCCACGGGTGGAGTCGGTCTACGAGTCCAGAGTTAAAACCAGCCTATCACAATGTTTCCAATTTACTCGTGGAATCAGGACTGCCTATCAACTTCAATATCCTGGTTGTCTGTGGGATTTCCTGCACAGCTCGCATTGCAAAGATGTTTGCACAAAAGATAAGAGCATCTGCAGAGAGTGATCAGATCAACAAACGCAGCGGGGTCAGTGAGTCGAGAAAGAAATACTGCCGCCGAAAACCCAATTTGTTGCGCATTGGAGAAAGATGGTAAAAAACTAGCAAAAACGTTAAGTAATTCTTTTTTTTTTTTTGACTAGAATTGATTAATGTCATTATTGAAAAAGACCAAAGCAAATAAAGCGCAAGAAGAAGTTCGTGTGCTTGGTAGACTTTTTTCTTTTTTTTGGGAAATAAATCTCATAAAATTGCAAAGCCTGTTTCTCTCCTTTAGATAAGAAGCATAAATTTGTGGGTTCAGTAGCTGAGTTTAAATTGATTTTAGGTGGAGGAAGTGTGATGATGTGGAGCGCCACTCCTTTCATGAATGATAATAATATATATATATATATATATATATATATAATATATATATATATATATATATATATATATATATATATATATATATATATATATCACAAGGGTTATCACCAGTGGAGCAATCCCATGCCTGAACTTACAAGTGAGTGAACACACCTAAAGCATCAGCATCAATCCCCTTTGTAAAGTGCTGTTGACATTTGAATGATGCAGAAAAGCACCTGGAATCAGTCTGGCTCCAACTGCCCAACTCTCAAGAACCAACAATAAAGATAATAGAGACTGTTTTGACACTAAACCGCAACCATTGAGAGTAAAACAGACGCGGAAAAACTGCACGAACACACCAGCAGCTAAGCAGAGCAGTCAGAAGTGATAATTAACATTAGTTTGTCACTTATATCACAACTCACACCATCAATGGCTGCCGCGCCGCTTCAAACGGGGAACGGACCAACTGACAGACGTCAAGAAGAAGAAGAAGGCTCCTTCAAAATAAGAGGAAGCACTTCAAAATAAAAGCACGGACAGGGTAGACGTCGAGCTGCTTGGAAGAGCTACTTACTTACGCCCCTCGGCACTTCTTCCGGGATCAGGTTGGGCTCGCCGTTTGCGCCAGAGTGACGCGCGGCCACGCCGGGCGACGTACGTCAAAACAATGTGACGTAGGCTACTGCCACAGCGGCGCGCGACTTTACGCCTGTGTGCGGCACGAGCAGGACTACAGAACTACAGAGGTCCCTGTTTACTAAATGAATAAATTGTTGGCAGCCAGTTTCAAACCTCAATTAACCCCCCCCAAAAAACAAACAAACAAACAAAACAAGAGTCAACAGCAGAAGAAGCTGGTTAGAATTGGCAGGGAGGATTTGACAAGGTTTTCATTGGCACCACGTCCAACAAGTACAACCAATTAAAATCTAAATACTTCTATTGGTTAATATATCATGCGTTTGTGCAAGTGGGCTGAGCCTGTGGACAATGGAGGGATTATAATTTTCTTCTTACAGAACAATGTCTTCGGGTTCCTGTGTTGCATCCTCTCCAAGGATTTCTTGAATAGTTGCTCAAAGAAACGCAATCCGTAAACCCCAACTCATGACGCCGAACTGGAAGGTGTGACTGACAGAACGGACACAAAACGTTGCAGATTTATTAGCCATCCTGCTCGGTTTTGCTGAAAGGAGGCGCGATAGCCATCCCGAGGTTGTCTCTTGCTATTGCCCCCAAAAATGAGCCTTGCTCAACTAGTTAACCCAGCAAATGCAAATGCAAGCACGACAAAGAGAAAGACGTAAGGAAAAGGAGAGACAAAAAAGGGGAGAGAGGCTGAACGCTGGCATCAGAAAGCTGGACGGCTGGGTGCCTCTGACTGGCTGCAGGAGCTTGGCATTCGGAGGATATCGGGGCTGAATTTGGAATGCATTAGCATGCACCGAGTGAGTCTGCGTTGTTTGATTTAGATCAGACTGAGAAACCTCTTTCAACAGCATCTGCACTATTGCTTTGTTTCGACAATCATGCGCTCACGTCCCGAACACATTGGCACGTGAAACCTCTTCCCTTTGGATCTGTGAATCGTACCACGAACAGTGCATCCTGAACCCGATCGAGGCTTCCAGACATCAGACAGGCAGAAAGAGAGCAGACAGGGTTGAAGTGGCTGGTGGCTTATACGAGTGAGCCGTGGTTGTGTCTCCCTCTGTGAACACCACCCCCACCTCCCCGCCACCCTCCGACCCCCAACACAACACTTTCTTTGGCTTGTGTTTGATATGCTGCTCATGTCGGTGGGATCCTGTTTGCTTTTCCATGGCACAGAATGGCTTCGGTGGGCCCGGGCCTATCTCTCCCTCTGTATTCTTCCCTGTGGCTCAGAGGCACCGAGTCGCAGCGCCGGCCTTCCTTCCTGTCTCTGCGCAGGGCCCAGGCCTGCAGCGCAGGATGGGAGATAACCTGCTAATCGCTGGCCGGGTGCAGCGCCTGAAAACCGTGATAAAAGTCCGCCTTCTTCTGCCAGTAAAGTTTAAATGTCCCACTAGCCACGTGTGTCTGTCAGCTGCGTGTCTATCAGCTGTTCCTCCGGTCTGCACCACTTCCAGCCCACAGAAACCTCTAGTCCTTTTTTTTTTTTATGTCTTCCTTTTAAGGAACAGCTAATGGTTAAACAAAGCAAATATACAGACTCCGGGTGTCTTGTTCTTCTTAAACTGTTTTCTGGTTTATGTTTTGAATCATAAATTAAAAATATAAACAAAAAAACAAGTGCACTGAGAGGAAATACAACATCGTCAAAATAGCGAAATATGTGGCCCTCCTATTGTCTCTATCAGCCGTGTTTATGAGCATAAACGTTTTTCCTTCCTGTGCCAAGAAGCAGCATTCTCTTGGAACACTGTGTACATTTGAGGTCCACGAGGAGAGATCCGTGGACTCCGTCTCCACCCTCGATGAAGGGAAAATCACCATCACTTGGGCTTTTTACCACCCCATCACTTTAGGTCTGTGGCATACGCACTGCAAAAACACAAAATCTTGCCAAGTAATTTCGTCTAGTCTCTTGTGTAAATACCTTGGGGTCAAGATTTGTCAGTAAGTTGGTGGCGGATCCAAATGCAGAACAACGAAGGTGTTTAATGAAAAAAATAAGGGACCAAAAAAATCGTACAAAATCCACAGGAGGCCAGGGCAGAAAAGAAATAATAAAATAGATCCAAGGAAATGTAGACAAGGGGAGACGAGGAGCAACAGAGCCGAACAGGGAGTAACTAGAGGAACCAGCAAGGAGTGACTGAAGAAGAGGAGCTTAGGTACTGCGGAAATAAAGAACCGTGGCTAATGGCAAACAGGTTGCAGGTGTGAGTGGCGAGACAGCAGACGGAGGAGAGAACGAGAAAACAGAGGAGGCGAGGGAGCAAACACTGGGGACCGGGAAAAAGATTTAACATAATAAGTAACTGGACCTAAGAGACATGATGAGCTAGAGTAACGGAGAAATGAGAGCATTGAAGAAAAACAGGGGCAAAACCGAACCGACCAAAATAAGAAACACAAAATACTGAATCTAGAAACAAAAGTAAAACAAAAACACAGCTGATCTAAATAAAAAAGAGGAACTAAGGAACACAGAAATAAACTAAACCCCAAACCCAACCAAAAATCATAGGATCCAAACACTCGTCACACTTGAAATAAGACAAAACTAACTTTAAAGAACTTTTCAGGGAGAAACAAGAGCTTGCTTTAAGTCAACAATTCCTTGATATTGATGAAAAAATATTTGACCCATTGGCAGACTCTTCCACTTATAACAAGACATTTTTCCCAAATAATCTGCCAATGAAATAAGGACTTTTTCTTCAATATTATGTAATTACTGACTCTCAATAAGCTGCAATGTTTTGTTGAAGAGTTACTTCAGCGTTATTTTTTTTTTCTTATTTCAATTGCACAGAGATATTTGCTCTAGAAACTTGGTCAGAAACACTTGGTACGACATCGGGTTTTTGCAGTGTAAGAACATGAGAGCTTTACGTCACATTGCTCTTCCTCTAGATCTGACTGTGGTCAGTCTTCTGTCACATGGAGCCCGCCAGGTACTTCTGTTGGATGACACTATTGGTGTTTTGGTTTTGCTCTGTTATGGATTGATTTTGAGTCTCTTTTGGTTCAGCTGAGAAGCGCCTGATGCAGCTCCAGGCCTATGGGAGATGTAGAGAAAATCTTGTGTCATAAATCAGTCACGTTTTTTCATAACCAGAATGTTTACACACACTGTGGTTGGGCTTACCAACATTATGTCTTTTCATAAAAATGGCAGAACGAGAGGCAAATCAACTGAATATGGGAGAATGAAGGCAAAGTGAACGTCCTGCTCACTATCTATAAGTCTTCGACTCGTCTCATGACACAGCTGTTATCTTCACATATGCAGGAGACGCAGTGAGAGCATTTCTCCTCGATGTGGGGTCTTTTTACTCCATCAGCTCTGTGTCTGTTCCCCCTCCCATGCGTTTGTTTTCGGAGCCGGAGCCGTCTAGGCTTTGCCCCGTCTTGAGGTGAAGGACCAACTATCTTGACCTTTCTGCGCCCGTCGTGACCCGGTGACCGTCTGCGCCATCACCCGAGAGGTTTGGGGAGCAACTGCACACAACGGCCTTGGCGTTTGGCCGCCGAGATTTGGAACAGATCCGAGAAGATGTCTCTGAATCGGAGGGGGTGGAGAAGCTGAATATCTAAATTTATAATGGTCAGGGCCATCTTCTGTCTGTTTCTTTAATTATTTATTGTACATTGTCATCCAGACTGGGTGCCTCAGCCCTGGATCATCGGTCTCTGTTGATTGTTGCATGACGTAAAGCTAGCCCATGCGGACCTTTGCAATGGGAACGCTGAACTCACAAGCTCACATCGTGGGCTTTGCAATACTTTTCACACCTTTTGAGCTTTTGTCATCTTGTCACATTACAGCCTCAACCGTCGATGAACGAAAAGAAAGTCATGCCTTATTGTGAAGTGAACGCGAAATCATACGTCCAGATCGCCTTCAGAAGTCATCGTCAGTAAACGGTCCACATGTGCGTAACACAATCTCAATAACAACGCAGATGTTCTGTGATGGCCTCAGAGGTTTGGTGTGGGTTTCAAGACACCAACACAGAACATCATACACAGCATCAGCCCAGTGGAAAAACTGCAGCCGAGGCATCCTGCTTTGGTTCTGTTTTCATCCACTGACTGGACGATCACTCTAAATGTACAAGCAAAAGCGTCAATGAAATGGTTTTCATAGAAAGTCCTAGTTAAAGCGCAGGCCGCCAATACATCTAAGAGTCTGTGACATACTTTAATACTGATGCTTCTCCTTCAATCTGACTGACCTTGAACTGTTTGTATGCACATTTATACTGCTACAGAAACTTGATTTGGTGTATATGTGCATGCATGTCAGCCTGGTGACCTTAATTTATCGTCATCAACTGTAGAACAAGCTTGGATTAAAAAAGACAAAGCAATAATCTTCCATATTCCTGTTTTGATTACTGCTGACAAATCTCTAAAAGTTGTCAAGTTTAAATACAACTCGACTCTCCAGTCACACATTCCTTTAAGTCACCCGTTAACTACACCCAAACTCTGGGCTCTCTGCAGTTGTCACCGCTGGATTGCTTCAATGAGATGGAACCATCGGCCTATTTTTGCTCGTGACTTGCAGTAACACACAGCTGCAGAAGTATCATCATCTTCATGACATGCTGGAAATGTTAGATGATGTAATTGTCCAAGTAAATGACAGCGCAGAGGGGTGGAGAGGGCCCTTCTTCCACGTGACGTCAGGGCCCTGCAGCAGTTTGCCTGCGATAAGGGCGCAGAGCAACTTCACATCCACAAATGTGGTTTGACTGCTCTTATCACCGTTCTGTGGAAGGGTGAGGGCAGCGCAAACACGGTGCCGATACGTTGTCTCTTCCCCGACAGCGGAGTTCGCGCATTGTTCACGAGACATTTCTGGTCAGTCATGATATCATCAAGGCATTCTGATTGAGGACGACTCCCACGCTGCTCCGTCGAGTGATTGCGTCCCCGTCCCTGAGTAAATACCTACAGGGCAGGATCAGGCTCTCTCGCCTCGCTCCCGGCTCCATCACTCGTTCAGGCTTGTGCAATTTATTAGCCATTGTGACAGTTTCCTGTAAGAGCTGGGCTCAGCGTGACGGAAAAGGAGAGGTATGCAGATAAAGCGCTCTGAAACACGGATCACAATGGCCATTGTGTTTTGATACAGGTCAATCTCCATAATATTTTCCACATACCTCTTAGGTGTGCATTCTTGCTTGTTGTTCAGGACGTGGTGCCCAATCATTTCCCTCGGTGAACGGGGCAAACTCATGGCTTCTTGGAAAATTACAAGCTGCAGGCTGAGAAGCTGGAAAACAGAAGGAAATACTTTTGAGCGCCAAAATAGCAAAAAAAAAAAAAAAGAAAAGAAAATCAGGTTTTGTGAACTGCTCTAATCAGGAACGTTGGGATGGAAAGATCATAAATTATTCGGCATGAGATCGCCCCACCTCCCCTCTACCCCTTGGGCACACAAAGCAGAATCAACACGTGCCACCTGGTCACGCATTGAAATTGCTCGCTGAGAGCGATAGAAACAATGACCTTTGACCTCCCAGGTTATTTCGCTCCCACACACACACAATGTAGTGACATGCAGCTGTTGGAGTGAGAGATTCCGCAGTCGCGCTTGGGGAGCTGATTGACAGGCAGCTGTCACACCAACGTATGGAAATGTGCTCCCGTATTCCTTGATCCGTGGGAGACTTTACCAAGAGCCTCCGATAATGGATGCCAGGTCAGAATCACTGTCAGGATTTGGAAGTTAAGAGATTGAGTTGGTTGGTTTTAACTTTGGGACCAATTTGCAGCTCAGGACTGTTGAGGGCTAAAATGTACCACGGTCCAATAAACTGTGTTACCGATCATCTAAGTTTACCTCCTGAGATGATCAGTAGATAAACTGATCATCTAAATCAAACTGCACATTAAATAGCTTCATGCATAATTATTTAAAACGTTTCAAAAAAGTGGATTAGCAATGTCACAGAGCTGTAGGTAAAAGTTGCAGTATACAACTTTCCTAAAAAGAAAAACTGTTATTAAAACTGTCACTATATCAGGACAGACAATCTGTGAAAAAAATTTAAAAAATCAAGCTCCCACTGCTGTGTACAGAAATGATCACAGCTAGGAGGAGGGTCTTAGTGCTGTCAATCATGTTTGTGTATGTACAGCTACGCAGATTGCTATAGAAGGAGGTGGAGGAGTTTGATCTTTTCACAGATTATCTGTCTCATATACTGTCACACTAGTTTTAACAAATATGTCAAAAACATACATCCAAACTATTTCGACTATTTCTGAGTTATTATTGGGGGTAATAAGTTGTCTGACAGTTTTGATTGTGTCTCTCTGTTCGTAGTCTGAAAGGTTTAAAGGGACGATTTCAGCGCCGTTCCATCTTAGCCTCAACAGACATAAACATGCAGTGAAACAGAAATAGGATGTATTTTTATTTCTTTCCTACTTACGGAACGTTTCTGTTTGTATCATAGGTTTTTGGTGCCTTTCTATCCTAAAGAAAAAGATATAAAACTTCAGATATTTCACAACGAGATAATAATATTCATGGAAAAAAACTCACATGACCTTATATTAAAGCAGTATTCAATTATGCCGCACGAACTTATCTGTACAGTATTGCGAGGTAACGCAAATACTGATGACAAAGTCTCTTTTTTTTCCAATTTTTGAAACCTCCAGTGATGCTTCTGTTGCTAAGCTCATATGGAACATGACACACCACTGAATCAAACATTGCTTTATTTAGCTGAATATGTCAACAAGTTTTCACTGGCCTCTCTATTTCAGGAAGTGGTTCTGCTCCTTCTGAAACCTTCCTCTGTGACTAACGGATGAGGTTCCGAGTTCCTGAGAAGTATTTCTGAATGTTTCGAAGAGGTTTTCTCCGTGGATGACCCTCTTGACTATTGCTGCGATCATTCAGGCCTTCTGATGTTGCACACTTTTGTTTTCTCACTTTTTGTTTTCTCACATAACTGTATTGATGGTCACAGTACATCTACATTTTGGATTTTCTGCCAAATCTGCAGCAGAGGTTTCAGTAAACCCACTGGGTCAACACGAGGCATTGTTTTCTACTCAAATGCAGCAGCGCCATCTAGTGGACAAAACATTTCACATACAATTTACCAGCTCACCAGTTTAACCTTCTACTGAAAAACTGAGAGAAAAATGTCCAGGCCTCCCCAAAATACATTTACTAAAAGAAATATTTGTGTGTATTACCAAAACAAAAAAAACAAAACAAACTTAACAGCAGAAAAAAACCCCGAACACGTCATAGCATAAAGAATAGTTTTATTCCTGCTTTTAAGACACACAAAAAATTTTATTTACATAAAAAAATAACTACACTTATTTTTCAAGTATCATGGCAAGCGGCTCCAAATGGGAGGTGAGAGCAGCAGTCGTTCCATTGTGAGGAGCTGCAGCAGGAACAGGCACGAAGTTGCGCGCACACACACACACACACACACACACACACACACACACACACACACACACACACACACACGCACACACACACACACACACACACACACACACACACACACACACACACACACACACACACACACACACACACACACACACACACACACACACACACACAAATAACCTTTGCTGCCAATTTGTAAAACACTTATAAAGAGAAGACAAAGATTAAGGCAAACTTCGTTAATGGACTGATTTCTTCATTGACTTTTTTTTTTTACACATTATTCTTGTTGCTCAGCTCCATAGAGGAATCCGGCGTCTGGCCATGCTGAGGTTGAGGGCCTGTGGATAACACAAACACAACATTTTTACAATCATAATTCTCAGTTTTGCACATGCAGTTAGAGTGTAATAAAACTCTTGAAGTCAAGTTTTTAATATTTGCTTCCACAAAAACACTTCCTTGCAATGTTGAAACAATCTTGGACAACAGTTTCCCTGAACCTGTTTTCTTTCTTCAGAAAATGACTTGACTCATTTTAAGACTCCTCCTCGTTTCGACCTTTTTTTTTTCTGAGCAGATCCATCCGGTACGTCACATTTCTCACTTCATAAGTCACAAAGCGCTGAAAACTGGAACTGTAAGGGTGATGACCTGGTCATCGGCTCGAGTCATTCTCTGCTTCTGCCTTCAAGTTATTTTTGGTATGCTGCCATTTTTGGAGAACTTGTGCTTATCGCTAATAAGCACAAGTTTATCACCAATAACCGGTAACAAACACAACATTTATTGGTAATATTCAATGTGCATGGAATAAAACACCATTAGTTAGCAAATCCTGAATCAGGACTTTATCCACCCTAAACGGTCCAAAGAGCCATTTTTGCCCTCGATCCAACTAAATAAAACTAGCTAATCTTAAACTAAGTTAAGAAAAAACAAAAAAAGAAGAAAAAGACAGCTTTCATTTTTGGCAGTATTTATTATAAGAAATGTATTCACATTTTTCTTTTAAAGAGCCACATTTTTATTTCTAGTTTTAGATTTTAAACCCAATTAAAACTTGAAAACCTTTGCAAATAGAAGGACGCCCTAATTACAAGAAAAATAAATCCAAAAACATAACTGTTACTTTTAGTGTCATTCTCCTGTAGAAGTTCAGTGCAATTATTTCCAGGAACAAAAAAAAAACAACTGAAACCTTCACTTGTTTTCATGTGTATGTTTAAAAAGGTTAGATTATTATCAGCGAAGGTTTTAAAGAGGCCCAAAAAGCAGCTTGTGGCTCTGAAGCCGCAGGCTGCAGGTCCCTGGCCGAGATCCTCGCAAATAAATTACCTTCAACCAGTCGCTGAACGGCTTTCTTGTCTTCGTTTATGTACATGGTAGTGATGAGGAAAAAAACTCCACCCAGAATCCCGATGAACGGGCAGAGAAGGAGGCTGTACATCAGGCTACGGAAGTCGCTGGTGTCAGGATGATATGAGCGTATGGCGTCAGAGATCTGCAAAAACAAACACAAAAAAAAAAAACATGTGAGAAGAGCATTATGGAGAGGAAGCCAAAAAAACTGAACAAAACCGCAGGGGGGATTCAGCTCACCACTCCTAACAGATACGGGCTGCCGGCGTCGCCGAGAAGGTGGCCGACGGTGATCTGCAGAGCCTCGGCTGTCGCCCTTCTGGTCGGTACGACGACATACTGGAGCGAATCGTGAAAAAACACAACAGCCTGTTGGTGCCGAGAGGCAGCAGAATGTGTCACGTTTTGCTGAAGATCGGCACCGCCGGGGACTCACCAGCAGGATGTCGGCCAGGACGGCCCAGTTCAGAGAGAGCAACAACTCGCCGAAGAAGATGAACACCTGAAACCAAAGATTTAAGTCACAAAGTGAGGACGCAAAGAAGAACGTAATGAGACCCGGGAAACAAAAAAATGTAAAACAACAATGGTAACTCTTACTTTTGGACCAATCAAATAAAATAGAAACCTGGTAGTTTATGTTTTGTCTCATCCAGTTGATTTAATTTAATAAAAGTTAATGCTAAAGCAAGCAATCGTAAACATGATGCTGCTGCAACATGAGCAATGTGCTGACAATAAGGTGCAAAAGAAAGTGGATTTAAAGCAAAGGTAAGAACTGGGGTCAAACATGCCAAAGTACAACAATTAAAAATCTCTAAATTATTACTTAAATGGCTCATAATTCACTCAAAATCCTAAATAAATAATATCAATACCGAACACATGTAATCACAAGAGTCAGTAAAAATGACCACACAGGCAATGTGACTATGGAAGTAAATATGTGACAGTCTTCTTAAGGTTTTATCTTGCTGAAATAATCCCTTCACTTTATGTTGTTTTTTTTATTGAAATTGTGCCGAGCAACACGAATAAATCAGCCAGCAGGTAACTCCCCGTCTCCCTCTCCACACCCTGAAGCTGTCTGTGGAAGTTCCTTCCCGTCTTTCTGACCCTGCGGGTCAAAGCTGGCCTCACCGAGTCGCGGCTGCACACCTGCCTGGCTCTCACCCGTCCCCGCCGCGCGCTCGCTTCGTTCACGGACGTTTCCAATATCAACCTCGTACGGTTGGGCTGCTGCCGAGTGCTTTGGTCGGTTACGGCAGAGCCGATTAATGTCACATTAATCGAAGCCTGGAGTGATTAGAGTCACTATGATTTATTCTGCATTTCGCTGCATCCACTAATCAAGACATTTAGAGTAGGATGATCTGGACGTTCTAGCTATTTATTTAGAAATACTTCTCAGAAATAAATACTTCATGAATGAGTTTATGTCCAGCAATCCATATCATTAGTTGACATAGAGGGACAACGAGTGATCTGTTCATTTGACTGTGTCACTATTGGTCTTCCATAAATGTTGTCCAGTGCCAGGGTGGCAGTTAACCGTCTTTTTGTTTACCAGCAGTGGGGAAAAAAACGTAACGAAGCTTGAAGAATTTAACTGTGTTTATTTGTTCATGCTGAATTCTTCTGTTTCAGTGATGGCCTCGCCGGGATCCATTTGGACTGTTGTGCCTCGTCTGTATCTGTATTGCACAGCTAGATATCTGAAGGTGTGTTTGAAGAAAGAGAAAAAAAGCACCTTTGATTCTGTCTGTCCTCACTGTCCTCTGTATTTTAGGCATTTTACTATATAGCTACATTAAACTATTTTACAATGTACTTTGTGATCATTGTAGCATTAAACTCATGATATACTTTTTTTTTTTTTAATGACATTTTCTTATGGGTTCAAAGTGATTCAAAGCATCTCGTATTGTCGGTCAACAGGCTTTTGCGTTATAACAAAACGTGGAAGTGTTTGCCTCTTACATAAGTGACTGGAATGCTGGAGGACGCAACAAAAATGGTGATGAAGAGGCAGGGCACTGATCCGAGCATGCCCACCGCACAGATGAGGGGGTCCGCGTGTGAAAACCTGTCCCTGAGCTGCCTGGATATGGTGGTGCCCAGAGCTCCTCCCAGGATGCCTGTGGCCACCGTCACGGCGCCGAATATGTAGCTTTTGGGGGTAAAAAAATGATTAGTGACCTTCTGGGATTCGGAAGCGTGAGACTATCAGGGGTGGGCAACTCCGGCCTCCTGCAACTTTTAGATGTGTCTCTACTTCAAAACACCTGAGTCGAATAATGAGGTCATTAGCAGGACTCTGGACAACCTGACTGCACTTAGGAGGTGATTCAGTGATTTAATTCAGCGGTGTTGGACCAGGGAGACATCCAAGAGTTGCAGGACACCGACCCTCGAGGACCATGATTGCCCACCCCTGGACTAAATGCAGGTCAAGGCGAGTGACGCCACCTGTCTGTGGAGTTGCAGCTCTCCCCAGTGCATGAAGGTCGGAGGCCCTGGGTGACGTGGGCCCTGGCCAGGAAGGTGGGCAACCAGAAAGCCAACGCTCCGGTGAGGAAGGCCAGAGACGTCACGCCGAGCGACGACCACACGTAGCTTTTACTGAGATCAGGCAAACACAACATGAAAGGGCTAGCATGCGTGAACGCAAAAGAGAAGCGTCCGATTGCCATCTGGGATAAGTGAAGCAAAGCAGAAAGAAAAACAGCTTCATCTGTCAGCAGAATCAGAAAACCACAGTGATGTCATCGTTTGTGAGGTTGCGAAAACTTTTTTCCTTCTATTTTTGTCCAAATCGTACTTTTTCAGAAGATACTTTACATCCTCCAGGTAAGAGCTGTGGCCCGTCACTCCATCTCCGTGGGTCTCTGCTGCCCCTCGTGGAGGGTTGGGGCACAAGAACACCATCAGGACGAGTCCGACGAGACCCATGATGGGCGTGATCTGATTTTATTTTAAAAAACAACAGAAAAAGTTTTGTTATTTTTAAACTTACCTGTGGAAAGTCGTGATGTTTATGTAAGAAATGTGGTACCCTGAGAGCCCAGCGCCAGTCCCCCGTCAGACTAGCGCTCCCGGCCCCTGTGATGTATCCCAGACCGCTGAAAATACAGAAAAAATGCCATCAACTCCAGAACAGGAAGGGCAGAAACAAACAAACAAACAAACAAACCAAATACATGAAAAGATCAATTTCATTTTGCATAGGAGAACCTAAAGAATTATCATAGAGCAAAATACATGTTACTTAAAATCAGCCTCTCCACACTACCTCTGCCAGTTCTTTTAAATAGAAAACAGACGGCTTTTTTTTTTTTTGGGTACAAAATACTTTTTTTAACAGGATTATGTGGAATGGATTTGTGCCTGCTTTTCTTTTTCCTTCTTTCCTTTTTTTTGGCAAATGAAAAAAGGATGTAGCAATTGTTCTCGTTTCCCAAAAACTCTTTATGCAAGAAGAACTCACAAACTCCTCGAAAGTAAGAAGGGCAAACATGTCAATGGCCTCCAAACACAGGCACTCTGAAAATGAAAATGATTTAAAAAAATGAAAGAAAAAAAAATGGCCTCGGGTTATGAAACTGCTTTCATCTCAGGCGTCGCCCGAATCGACAACCCGCAGTAGTAAGACGCGGACCAAACAAAGTTCAAGATGAAAACCTCCAGCAGAGTCAGAAAACAGATAACTACTGGTCTGTCAGTACAAAACATCCGCAAATATACACAAAATCGTACATTAATTAACTGCAGCGGGGAACCTTTTTTTTTTTTTTTTTTTTACTCTCGGAGCCAAAAGAACGAACACGTATATAAAAAGAAGCTGATGTTTCATTTGCAACATTAGCTTGAAATCAACCAGGCAGATTCTGTTCCTGGACTATTATTTTGACTTCTGCGTTACTGTAGCCCAGTGAACAAAACAAGTGACTTGAAAAGTGAGACTTTCAGCTGCTTCCATTCACTGCTGCCGTTTCGCGCAGTCTACTTCTGGTGACACAGTTCTTGAGACAAATGAGAATCTGTGTGCATCTGAGGTTAGAGTCGCCAGAAAAAGGATATCTGCTCAAATTCTGGCAGACTTTTAGTTTCTCAAATGAGAATGTTTGTCAGGATTTTGTGAGATTGCAGAGGGAGCCTCTGACCTTCCCACAGGGATGAAGATGTAGAAGATGCAGATCATGACGCTCCGCTGGCCCCCCGAGAAGAGATCTCCGATGATGGTGGGAGCAACGGTGGAGTAGCTGGCCTCCCCGACCCCGACGAGCGCTCGCAGCAGAACCAGAAGCCAGAATTGCTAAACAGAAACAAGTCGGAAGCGTATCAAACGTCAGTCGCTTCCAAAAACCTGCAGATTTCCTCTTGCAATGAGATCAGCAGCTTTTATAGAGCTCTGTAAATAAATAAATAAACTAAAACCATGACCACAATTTCATCAGTGCATTTTAGTGTGATTCTATGTGCTATAATCAACACAAAATTGTTGGGAATTTTCATCGTTTTTGAAAACCTCCAAGTAAAATCCAGTGCAACCGCTCTTTGTTTTTGTTTTTTTTAATACTTTTATCCATAACTATGTTTTACACTTTATTTCGGTCCATCGAGTAAAATTCCAACAAAATACGTAGAAATTGTAAATTTTAAAAAGACAAAATGAGAAAGAAATGCTTTTGTGTTTAAAAATGTCATGTAAGCAACACTGTGAGTTTTCATTTTTAACTCCAGCTGATGTTGGACGACGACCTAAAAACAGTGACCCTGAAGACGCGCTGGTATTCAATGTATCAATTTGTCAGGACGGTCAGAGACGAGTTGCTGCGACTGAAGTCAGGTCTGCAGCTTTTGCAAACGTTAGTTCCTGTTTTCTCCCTCCAAATGCAGCCGAATCATTCACCGTGTTGAAGAACGAGCTCCTTCTTTCAGCAACGCTGCAGGTGATTTTGAAGAAACTTCAAACATTTTCATTTTGCTTGCTGTTCTTTGGCTCAGTCCTCCCACTGTGCGTACGACTCCCACCTGCAGACACGGCCTCACCAACAAACTAGAATTCTGCACTAAAAATAGAAGCGACTGCTAGTTTTGTTGTTTTTTTTTTAAAGCCCTCTGAAGCCGAGTGCCGGGTGGAGGAGCAGCAGGAAGTGACACCCTGACCTCTCCTCGTTTCTTCTTTCACGTGCATGCAGGAGTGTCGGCTTCACACTCACCGACTTGGTGACAAAGGAGCTGCCGGCTGCAGTCAGAAGCCACACGCTCAAGCCGCACAGCATGATGTATTTGCGATTGTAGCGGTCGCCGAGGTAGCCAAAGAGAGGGGCCAGGAGCAAGAAACTGCAGATGAAGACTGTAAATGAATGGACAGATCAACTTAGAGAGCGAGCGAAGAGATCTCAGGGGGGGAAACAATGTGTCGACCTCGGCTTATTTCGAAAAGGAGTTCTGCAGGTATGTGTGTTAGTGTCTGGGACTATTTCTGTTTCCTGTGTAGGACCTTCTCTCTCATGCTCATTTGTATCCTGATGACTGGAAACGCATCACCGGGAACAAAGTCCAGTCTCTTCCTTATGCTTAAAAATGCAAAGCTACACATGTGAAAGTGTGTGTGTGTCATAGGTTTGTGATTAGTTCTTTTCAGCACATTTTGAAGACAGGGTGAAATACGAGCCTTGTGTGTGGATCATTTCTAAATCAATGTCTCCTCTCACCTGTTTGCAGCAGCCCTGCCGTGCTGTCGCTGATAGCGAAGAAGTTCTTGATCTCAGAAAGCACACCTGCACCACAACAAAGACGCGAGTCACCAGAGGGGTCACCAAATCAGAGGCTCCGAGCGGCGTTCAGAGATCAAATCATTTTGTCTTTTCGCCATGTGCACCGTTGCAGTTTCTGTTCTTTCACACACCAGCTTTACAAACTGATGGTTTTAGGCGACGTCCCGTGGTTTTCGAGGCTCCTCTCAGTTACGTCAGGCGTCGTATACCTGTCATGTTTATTGAAAGTCAGCTTTTATGTGTGGGGATGAGAACCACCGTCAACAGAAACAGCATGAAATATATCATCTTCACATCATATCATGCGCTAAAACTTAAAAGATGTGAGCTGGATTTAAGAATTTTGTTGTTATTTCTGTCCCTAAAATCACAAAAATACTGAATTACTTGATGGGAAAATAATACACTGAGGGTCATTTCGCTCCTTAACCGCCTTTTTTTATTATTTTGGTTTGATTTGATATATAGTACCTTCCTACTGGACTTTTGCATCATATGTGCCATGTGTCGTGCTGAATGCCTTAACTCTATCAAAATTTACAATGTTATCAGAATTATACAATTGAAAAACTGAGATAAATTTTTTTATCCATTCTTCTTCTAAAAAAAAATAAAAATTATCGGCGATGTGTGCGTCTTCGCCCAGAGCCCTTCCACACACGTAGGTACAAATTAGCACACAAAGAAGATCTAATGAGTTAAATACTCGAGTAAAACCTGAACAATAAAGTTGGAAATGACATACTTGTGGGAACAACGTGGTGAGCCTATCGGTACAAAACAGAAATGTGTGAGGGGCCGTTCAGGACAAAAACTATGTTTAGTCTCTCACACACTACCAAAGACTCATACACACACACACACACGCGCACACACACACACACACACACACACACACACACACACACACACACACACACACACACACACCCCCCACACACACACACACACACATCCACACACGCACACACACACACACACACATCCACACACGCACACACACACACACACACACACACATCCACACACGCACACACACACACACACACACGGACACCCCCCCCACATACACACACGCACACACACACATACACAAAATATTAAAATTGCACATAAATACTATTAAAATGTTACACACACACACACAAAGCATACAGACACTATTCTGAATGATAGGTCGAAAATGAATGATGAATGAGTGAATGAATGAATGAATGAATGAATGAATGAATGAATGAATGAATGAATGAATGGGGTTGAGACTCGTATTTGTCTGTGTGAGAGTTGTCACGGAAGAGGTGGGGCATAATTTGGAGACCAGACGGCGCATGCGTTGACGCCGCAGTAAAGCTGGATGTTAGACATTAGCGCTGCGTGGAGTTAGTCTCAATTTATGAACGCTGATTTCGCCCAGCCGTTCTCGACGGCCGCCTCCTCAAAGCACATACGTTTTGTCGTAAACGGCCCCTTGTAGAAACGTGCGGTTATGACATCGGGCCAAGAACTGGCAGCAAAACTGCACATGTTTGATACTCATGCTTTGAGTGAATGCGTATACAGGAAAAATGGGAGGAAGGAAGCAGGAATTAGCGAATGAACCAAAGAGATCACCCAACCTGCTATCGTGTAGCGCTCCATGTAGTTGAGCAGGTTCACGTAGCAGAGCACAGCTATGGCCACGTAGGCGCGTCTCTGTGAAATGGGCGGCTTGTCTGACGCGAGCGGCGCCAGCGATGAAACGCTGTTCACCAGAGCGCCGTAATGGAGGCCCGAACTGGAGCCCAGGCTGCATCGAGGGACCGGTTTGTCCTGATGGGAGCTCACTGATCCCTTCTCGTCCATACTGTGGCCCGCCTGTTACCTGGAAGAGACAACCAGACACACAGAGACCAAATGTGAGGCCAAGTGAAAAAAATAACACAGCTTATGTTTTTGAGGAATGAGATCAGGCTGTTTGCAGATGACATTGTGACCTACAGTGAGAATCTATGGAAGGATTAAACATAAACATGGACCAGGTTTTGGTGGCGCAATCACTGGTATCACTAGAAATAATTTTAAAACATATATGACAGAAGCATCATAATTTATTCTTTTCAATTTGTTTGTCGATGAGAGCCTAAGTTAATCCATTACTTTTTGTTTTTCTGGGGTATAAACATGACACGGCAGAAAGGGCCGTTTCTCCCATCTTCTGGCCAATCAGGCTGGAGGAAGGTTCCAGGTTTACGTTGCCACCACATATAGAAAGAAGGATGGTAAAAATGTCCTACACTCACTCTGAGTCGTAAAAAAAACAAAAAAACGATATACCAGTCGGCCGTTTGGGAGTAAATGTGTAAAATTTGCAAAATGCTTCTAGCACTTTCAGTGGAACTGACTTTGTGGTAAGTTGATTGAAACAAATACTGGGTCAGACATGAAGCAACAAATTATTAACGTGGGAAAACGTCTTACTCCAGACACCAGGTATGGTGGAGGATCAGTGATGCTATGGGACGCTCTGGAAAACTTGAGGTGTACATGATTAATACAAGACCAAAACGGGCCTTTTAAAAAAAAAAAATTTAAACTTTTTATCTTCCGTCACCCTCGAAAAGCAGGGTTGCGCAAGGCATTGTGAACGGACGATCGATAACCAGTGATTACTTCTTCACGAGATTTTTCAGACCCTCGAACCAAATGATTTTTCTCACATTCTCCGGTCGCAGATGACTTTACTGTGATAAATTCTTTTCGAGCATCAAACTCGTCTGCAGGCATCTGTGGGCTTTTCAACTTTGCGGGACACACTTTGTGCCATTAATTGCTAATTACGTGAACGAATGAATGAGTAGAGAGTAAAAATCCATATCCCAATCATTGCATCGGTTCCCTGGGGTCAGCGACGAGATCATGGTTGTCATTCGTTCTTGTCTCAGTCACTTATCTCCTTCTGCATACAATAAAGATCAAGATGTGGCTCATGGACGGGTTTTTAGCTAAATCAGTCGACGAGCTCAAAACCCATAACAAGAACAAAAGAAAAACACATATTTAAGCAATGTATGATGTTGCTCTCATGTTCTGCTTGTGAAATCCCACTTCCCAGTCGTGATCTAGTTAGCGGAGAATGTGTTAAGACAGGAGCATTTGCAATGACACAAAAAAAAGAAGAAGAAAAAAAATCTACTTCACAAGTGTACAAATATAAGTGTGTCAAAACAAATGAGGAGAAAGCAGAAGGAAGCTGTTTGGTAAATTGTTTCGCAGCCCAAACTACAAGAACAGTTAAAAGTGGCGATGGCAACGCTTCATCCCTTAAACCATTTCTGTTTTTACGTTCACGAAAAAACAGAAATGCGGATTTAAAAAAAGAAAACCTTTTTTTTTTTAAACAAAGATTGCACTCACAGAAAAGCCCTCTGTCTTTGTGCCCAGGTTGCAGAGTCCACGCAGTGATAACACTAAGCCTATTGTGCAGCAAATCTTCTCCAAACAACACCCTCAGCAGACTGGTGCTGTTCACATTCTAGCCTCTACACCCAAACTCCTTCCTTCCTTTAAATAAAACCTGCAATAACAGAGGTTGATGTGGCTGTGGGTGAGAACTCTGAGCCGCTAAAACGGTTCAAAGGAGCAGAAAACAAGCTCGCCTGGTTGTCGACGGTTCCCTCGGAGAGACGATGTTCTTCAACGCTTTCTTCTCAAATCATACTGAAGACTGGATGCCAGAGAACGGCGCACACTTCTCTGTGACTCTCTTGAGTATTGAGGAACCCAGCGGTTATTTCACTTCTAGCCTGACTCAAGATATATTAAGTTAGTGCAGAGGGCCCTGCCCACTCAGGGCTGGTCATATGCCTCCTCACTTGGGTTGACACAACCCTGCTAAATGCGATGTTTGGTATTTTCATCCAGCTTTTGAGTCATTTGTTTATTTTTAACATTTGTAAAAACTCTGTCAGGTTCATCTAGTTGAACTCTTCAGAGCTCAGGCAGGCAAACGGCAGACGGGAGGCCCTCAGCAGCTTGAAAGAGAGAACATTTCAGGAACTAGATGAGCTTGTTCAGATTTTAATCAGCGGTACGCCTCCAAAAATTGTTGCATCCTTTTGCGTGTTCCTGTAGCGTCAGAAGAGAAGTGGGTGAGCTCTACCTTTTTAGCCTTCATTGTCGGGAAAACAGCTGCGCATTACTGGAGGGCTGATTCAATAACAGGAGAAATGTAAACCATAAAGAGGGGAAATCCCTCAAACAAAGCTGCTCTATTTTCATGTTTGAAGGCTCCTTATCCAACTTGCTGACCTGCGATCGCTGCTCTAAAAATGTGTTGTTTTTTGTTTTCCTATTCAATTGTTGTCACTTCAGTGCATCCACTGGTTAACTGTTAAGCCGATTACATTTCTGTGTCAAGTCCTTCATGAAAATTCTACTGTGGGACCCTCACTGAAAAGACACCGAAATGTAACTTGTGTGTTTTTCTAGTTTCACTGGTTGCGTTATTAACGCGATCTGTCAGAAAACAGCAGAACCACAAGTCTGAACACCTCCAAACACCGCAGCTGCAAACTGCAGTCACCGTTTGTCGGAACGAGACGTTGAGATCTGTCAACTTCCTCCCCAGGAAAGTTTCTGTCAATGTGATCTGACTTTTTTTTTTCAACCTTTGGTTTCAGAGCACAGCCGCTGAGAACCTGGTGTAAAAAAATAAATAAAATACTGAATAAGGAGTACGCCGCTTGATCAGTTCATCAAATGTCGTTTTGGCAAGTTTTCAATAATCAATATCATGATTGCTTCTGTTGTGAGGTCAACCAAGAGGTCATCTGTCTGTGGTGTTCCCTAACGCCACACAGTGTTTAAAATGACCTTGTGCAGATGAGAGAAATTGGGTGCAGAAGCTTTTTTTTGGTGGTTTCAGAGGTTATGCTGATAAGCTGTAGCTTTTTAGAGAGACTAGTATAATCATAGTATCTCAATTTACCACAAAAATATAAGTGACACGTACGCAAACCAAGTAAAATATTTTTAAAAATAGGCTGAGGACAGCAACTTATTCCACAGACCAAAACAGCTTAACACCAGTTTGAACTATTTGAACTATTAAGATTTAATGTAAATTCAATAAACCATTAAATAAACATTTCAGAAAATTTCAGCTGCAAAGTTTATGAACCGTTTATGTCTGATTTACCGTCCTCATGACATGCTCAATGTTAAACATAGAGCATGAAGAGATGAAGTTGTCTTTCAAAATTTCCTCACGTGTGTCACAACTTGATGTTACGTCGCTGACTTTGAGTTGCAATGCCACAGTCAAGCAACCCCGCCGCACTCCTCCTGCTATGTTTCTCTGTCAGCAGCGGTCTAATGACATAAAAGACAACCAGTCGCTATATTACTGTAAAGTCTGTGCGTCAAGATTCAAACTTCTCAGTTTACCCCTGTGTCAATGTGATTAATGTGAGGACACAAGGAACCAAAACGTGTTTTCTTCGGCAGGGAGGCTGAATCCATACTTAGAGAGAAGGTGCTTTTATTTATGTGTTTCTTTAATGTATGTTTAGAGACATTATAAACCCCTATCGTAATGTTTTATTCGTAATCTCACCACTGCTGGATTTTAGATGATCCTGTACAAAACAAAACTCTTCAGCTAACTTCTAAAACAAAGTTAAACCAGATTTTAAATGACAGCAAAATCACTGACACAGATTTAAAAAAGTAGAAGAGTGGCAAAAAGAAAGAAGTAAGACTCCATGCTAATAGAAGCGACAGACAATGCAAAGGAGACATTCAGCAGGTCAAAGAAGTTTGCTGTGTTCAATTGAGACAAACATTTTTTGCATTCTGTCTATACAAAAAACACTTTGTGGGGGCAGAAAACCACCACACTGCACTCTAATCACACAATCGCTCAAACAAACAAACAAAAAAAAGCCATTGCAGTGGCAGCATCATGATATGGGGATTCAGCAGGGACAAAGAAGCTGATCAAAGTTTATGAAGAGATGATGGAACTAGATGCATTGCGAGCCTAGAAAATAAAATAAAAAACAGTACAGGCAAAAAAAAGATAAAGGCTGTGTTCAGAGCTAAATTTATCTGCAGGTCCATATCTAACAATACTAAGTATTCAGATACTGTGTATCCAATCTTGAGTTAAAATGCAAAAAAAAAAAAAAAAAAAAAAAAAAAAGAAATGGGGGAATATCTGTTTTCCCAAATCTATTAAATCTATAATTGGAGTCAAATGTGTTTCTATAAAATATGTTATGATTAGACATTACATCTCAGCACTTCTTAATACTGTTTGAAGCCATTCATAGAGTGAGTCCGCTCATCTCCTTACTACTCTCTGAGTCAATGTTAATAAAAGCAAGTAATATTTCCAGCAGCATTCTTTGTCTTTGTTGCCTAATATTTACTGATAAAAAACAAACAAACTTTGAGGCCGGAGAGTGAAAGCGGCTCAGAAGGTGGCAACAGAGAATCGCTCACAGAGAGGGCTGCTTCTGAAAGCTACCAACGAAGAAGAATCAGAGACGGTGGCAACAGAAGGCGGCGAAGAAGAACGAGGAGAATGCTAATCGGAAAATAAGAGAGACGGGTTCTGTTTAGTTAACGTTAAAACAACGCTGTTACCTCGAACTGCTCCTCTTGAACAGAGCTGCGTCCTAACCGCTAAACTATGACAGAGCCTCAGTCAGCGCTGTTACTCAGGAGACAGCTCGCAGGTAATTAAACCTTGTTGGGAAAGTGCTGGGTACCTGGCTAACAGCGGTACTGTGGCACGTAGCTGTGATGTTGTGTGTGCTGGCGCAAGTTGTTTTGCTTCAACCTTTTTACATGAACGTTGAAATACAGTGACTTAAAAACTGTGTCTGGAATAAAGGGGAGTTTGCCGACCGACACGTTCCAGGTGAAAAAAAAATAAATAAACGAACGAATTTGATTTTCGGTGTTGCGAACTGTTCGCAGCTGAACGCGGCTGTCACCCAAGTCCCGACGACTTCCAGCTGTCAGGGGAGCTAAAAAGCTAACGTGCCGATGTGTTTACATGGATTTTAACCGAAATATCAAGTGTCAACTAGCTTTTCCAGGCGTGACGTTTGCCGGTTATCTTCTTAACGTACTGCGGAGTGCTACGTAGTAGCACAAAGAACATTAATATGTCATTTTTGGGACCTATTTTCTTTCCAAACCACTTTGAATTGTTACCATATTTAGCCACCTCACTGGTATCGTTAGGCTAGGCTAACGTTAGCTGCTGTAGCCGTTGTTAGCAGCATGACGCCAAGCTAACAAGCTGATGCTAATATCGCAAAAGCTACATTTACGAGGCTGAAGTTTGTATTGGATTTGGAAGCCCAGAAAAGGGACAGTCCACTGTTTTTACAGAGGTATTAGTGAAGCACTTTTTGAAAACATGATTACGTATTTTTATTCTGATAGTCTCATTCAGAAGAGTTAAGCCCAACACAAATAATTATTTTTAATATTTTATTGCATTATTTGTCTGGTTCAAACCTTTTGTCAAATTCTTTAAGTGTGTAATTGAGTGTGTTTATTTGTATCTGTAGTATAGTCATCTATTTCACCACCAAATCTTGTTTTTGGATGGGTTGTGATCTGATGCTGTTTTCTTTGTGCAAAGCGAAACCCCATTTGTTGAAAGAGCATCAGGCAACATTTTAGATGAAAGCAAGATGGTGTATTTAGATTAAGAATCAGGGCAGTGGCAGCCGGGCTAGAGCAGACATGTGCAAAAGGGCTGTAATTGGTTGAGTTAAATTGTCAGGCCATTTGCTGCATATCTCACTTATTCACTTCAATCTCTACACTGTCAAGTGTGTAAATTGTTCAATAAAGGCCACTCTTGCCAAAAAAAAACAAACATCTTTACCATTTTTTTTCTTTGCATATCTACATAATTTACAAATATAATTTTTGGGGGGCTAATTAAGCCCTCAATTTAGATTGCAGAATCTAAATTGAGATTTTGCAATCTCAATTTTTCTATCTTTGAACATTTATGAACCAGGGATGAGTATTTATTACAAAACTAATAAGCACAATTTCTTCTGCTTTCTATGCAATATAAATGGCCTACCATTTTCAGTGGCAGAATGCATATTAAATACTACAGGAAAACAAACAAGGACTTTTGCTTTGTTTTTGAAGCTGAACCTTATAAATTAATTCTAAGACGAAAAATGCAAATTATTATTTTTTTATTTTCAAACCAGACACCTTACTATTAATCTTCAGATGCTTTGAAAAATTTACCTAGAGTGCCAAACCCATTCAGACGGCTATTTTTAGCAACATTCATCTGAACAGCTGTTTTTGCTTTGCACATATCAGATTAGTTATGTTTGACATACAGTTGGTTGAAGACACTATCTTCTAGTCTATTCTGTTGAAATAAATGTGCCGTAGTTAATCCAATTTAGTTTTTTTTTGTGTTTTTTTCCAACATGTAGCATTTCATCCGCTCCACAGGGATTTTGAATAATTCTTAAAGTGGATAAATGAATCAGAAATTATCTAGGAAATTCTGGTTCTATCTTTAATATGTAGTAATTTGTTTCAGAGTTCAGCAGTCTAAATTATGTTTTTTAAGGTAATCCCAATCTCCCAAAAAGCTTTGAATTGCCCCCCCCCCTTACCTCCCTCCTCATGCACATTTCACCAAATCACAAACATTGCTCTAACATTGCACAGAATCAATCTAGATTAATTTAAAATTGCCCTTTACTGAAATACTGAATGCAAGCTAACTTCAGAGTTACAAACTCTTTATTTTAGCAGAGTCTGCTGTGAATTAAATTTAGCTCCTCTAATAATAGCACCCTTCCAAAAGCAGCCAAGTTCAGCCCACTTCCCTTTAGTTTAGGCTCAGGCTCTGAAGTTAATGTTTCTTTTTTTCTTCTTCTCCTTTTTTACTAGTTGTTTGCTTAGAACTGGTCGTGGTAACTCAGACATGAATCTTTCTATTTGGAAAAGATTTACTGTTTGCTGACTTTTACTCATGTTTCAACTGGATCCTTTGGAAAATGGAGGAGCGGGGGTATGACATGCTTGATTTAGTAAACATGTCTGTTTCATATGAATATGTTAACAACAGCTTACTGCTGAAACCAATGTAACTGTTGTCATGTGGCACTGACGCCTGCAAGCCAATAGAAATTGCCAACAAGCTTATGTTTTAAGTTGTGAGCAGCGCAGCTGCGGCTCAGTGAAACTCGTTCTGCCGTTCTAGAAAAAACACTCCTTTCGTTAGATAAAGATCTTCTGCCTGAGCTCATCCGTAAGCAAATACCAGTAACTGATGAAAAGTGTCACATCTTTGTTTGTTTTTTTTAACGCTTTTGCCTTCTGTTTGGTCAGTTCGGGGCTTCAGAATATCAGGAAAACATGTAATTGTGGATACTGTTGCTAAATATTGCGAAATTGCTCATGATAAACCGACATTTTTTTGGTCTGTCCCCACCACTCTGCGTGAGCTTTAGCATGTTAGCCACTAAAAACATCCATCCACTGTGGGCATTAAGGGCAGAAAAAGTCCACCAAGTAGGCCAAATATATCATTGGCATTCATTGTTGCTGAAAAATAACATCCTACCAAATATTGCATTACGACGGCCATTTACCGTTGTCCAGCTGTAGCTAAATTTTATTAAATCATTTATCTTTGCATTAAGGATAGCTCCACCTGTCATTAATTTCTGGTGTACGGCATTTCAATGAAGTGTGTTGAAAGTGGACACCTCAACAAAAGTAACAACCTAAGTGTGTGGCATGTTACATGTGCAGCCTTATGCAATCCCCCAAGCAAGCGTGACACACATACGCTGGCTCGCCTCTGCAATGTTCAGAAATCATTCTGGGGTTTTCTGTCATCTGAACATTGCCATTTGATCCCTGTGTGTTACCTAGAGCTGAACAAAAACCCAGTGGAGGGATTCTCAGCAGGCCTCATCGAGGACAATGACCTGTACAGGTGGGAAGTCCTCATCATCGGCCCTCCAGACACACTCTAGTAAGTCACAGTGTTGGTTTTCACGTGAATAACTTTTTTTGTAGCTATCTTTTAAAGATGACTGAGTTTTTATCCTGATATATTGATCCTTGTTTACCTTGTGTCCACAGTGAAGGCGGTGTGTTTAAAGCTCATCTGACATTTCCTAAGGACTACCCCCTCAGGCCACCTAAAATGAAATTTATCACAGATATTTGGCATCCTAACGGTGGGTGAGGTTGTACGATACCAAACGAACACGAATAGAGTTGAAGTGTCTTAGAAATAAATGTCTTGGTGCTTCGGTCATTAATATTTTGTTCATATGGAAATTGTTACACAACATGCAAATACATCTTTTTCCTCATTTGCTTCTTGCATCCATGTCTTTAATAATATTAACGTTTCATAAATTCTTTGCAGATATGCCTCTGTTGACTTGAGCTCATTCAGATTTGTCAGTTAAGGCGAGGCAAAAGAAAGTTTGAGTCAGTTTGGCAGCAGTACTCGCAATAAGAAGGAAGCAAATGGACCACACATTTGCTGAGGAAAAGCGTCATGGTGGCCATTGAGTCTCTACTGCAGACGATTAGTTGTTTCCTGCTGGCAGACACACTGGAGTCATTCTGATTGGCAGCCATTGTGAAATGTACTCACCAGATGCGACTAAAAGCTTCAGCTGGATTCATTTTATGAAAACATGAAAAGTGGGAGCAATGAGAAAACAGTTTGAACTGGCTGTCTTCAAGAAAATACTATTTGAGTTGCTCGTTAACTCTAAATGCATTTTTTTTTTTTTTTTTTTTTACACAATTTGATCTAAAATAAAAAAACCTGGAGCGTAAAAAGTATTTCTTCTACTCCGCACAGTAAAATTCTTTACACTGGAGCTTCACAGCTGAAATGTTCTCCAAGCGTGTTCACAGGAGGCTGAATGACTTGGTTCAAAAACTCTGACGTAACCGCGTCAGTTGGAAGTGGAGGCATGTCAGGCGAAGAAGGAAATGGAAGCTAACTAGGTTCTTCTCTCCCTCATTTTAGTTGACAAGAACGGAGACGTATGCATTTCTATTTTGCACGAACCGGGCGAGGACAAGTACGGCTACGAGAAACCGGAGGAGCGCTGGTTGCCCATCCACACTGTAGAAACCATCATGATTAGCGTTATCTCTATGCTGGCAGACCCAAATGGTGACTCGCCAGCCAACGTGGACGCTGCGGTAAGTTTGGCGACTTGGCGTGTTTTCCTTTGAAATAACGAAACGTTAGACTTTTTCTATTTTTTTTAGGAATTTGTTGATCATAAATGTCAAATGTGACAAATTCAAAAGGACTAACAACAACAGCAAAATAAAAACATCTTTTGTGATATCCACTAGGAAGCTTCTAAATTGTCTTGTTTTTGTTTCCCTCAGAAAGAGTGGAGGGAAGACAGACACGGCGCATTCAAAAGGAAAGTCGCCCGTTGTGTACGAAAAAGCCAAGAGACAGCGTTTGAGTGATATTTATCGAGGATCTAGCTTCTTTTCTGTTTTCAGGGTAAGACGATTTACCTTTCACTCTAAAGTCTTGGACTTTATCAACGTCAGCCACCGTTATCAGATTATAAGTGGCTCTATTGCACGCACCGTGTGTCTGATGAAATGAATGCAGCTGGTTTAATATTAGATAGATATGACTTGATGTTATGAGTGCCGCAGTAAATCCTCCATAGAGCCTAAAAGTAGCTTTATCGTGTATTTTAGAAGTTGCTGAGTTGGATGTTCTCAGCAGCGGAGAAGCATCAGTTGGATCTGACTTTCCTATATATTCCCACGTTCTGTCATTACTTGTGGATTATGAATTGCTAGACCTATCCTTTCTGTTCATTTTGTGTTGTGATCTGCTGTTCATTTTACTGCTGTAAAACTGTTTTTTTTTTGTTTTGTTTGTTTTTAAAGATTTTACTGTCTCTGCTGAGTAAGAGAGCAGCAATCAATATTTTCCACATTTTTTTTTTCCTTCATCAACTTTCTGGAGCAGCTTAATGCTGCTCCTGCTGTAGTCAGTGGACGAAAGGCAGGTTTCACCTGATGTAAGGGCGGGAGTAAATTTGAAGGTTCAAGAGTTGGACCGTCTGACTTCACAGCCACTCACTTCTAGTCTGTAGTCGATGAAGGACCGTTGGAAGGACGCTGCCCCTTAATTTGTTTAAAAATAATGGGACATGTATTAAAATATGTAAAAAAAAATTTTCCCTCTCTAATTTGTCACGCTAAATGTGCAACGTTTCCAGAGACGTTAATGCCGTTGAAGGCATTTTGAAGTGTGATGCACACTAAAAACGATTGTCTAGATTTAACGGTGCAACCAACCAACTAATCTTTCCCTCCTCCCCTCTTCCCCCTTTTTTCCACAGGTCTCCAAATTGAAATTCAAGATGGCACTGTTTCCTGCACTCTTCCACCCTGTCGCCAGGCTTGTCCTCCTTCATTTTTGTCTGGAACAGACTGGCAACTGTAGGGTGCAATATAACATTAAAGTGACTACCGAGGCTGACAGAAAAAAAAAACAACAAAAAAAACGCCAAGCAAGTGCCAACATACAACTACGACAACAACAAAAAAATTCAATAAAAAATAAATAAAAGAAAACATGCACCCAGAAGATGTTCAAACATTTTTCAAGTTTCTGAACTGCTTCAACATTCAGGATGATATTGTAAAGACATGTACATAGAACAGACTCAACCGGATAATATATACGCTCCGTTTTCATCCATCAAGACCTTTTAGACCAAATATTTAGTGCTGGTTCGGACAGATTTATTTTTTGTCTTTTTTTCCTTCTCTCAACTCCGGCATGCGTTAAACGTCGTTAGGCTGCTTTTCCGCAGGAGGTCTTAAACAGAACAAATCATTGTCGGAGGAACGTCGTCTGTGAAGAGGCTGTTTTTGAGTGACACACGAGGAACACGCCTGAGGATTACCGCCTGAATAAATTGGAATGGATATCACAGCCATCCCAGATCTCATCACATGTAAACCTGGATTATGCTTTTTTTGCCTTTGAAGTCTTACCATATTTTAATTTGGCGCAAAGAAACATCACAGTGTTATTTTGTTGTGCATGCTGTTTTTTTTTTTGTTTTTGTTTTTCAGAAGTGCCTCCTAATAAAATGCTTGGCCACCTCCCCCCTTTTGCCCCTACAAGGGTTCAAAGTGTTGGATTAACATTAAAGAAGTTGTCATATCCTGCCTATAATATGAGTTCATGTAATAGCCAGTACATTGGGATTCTATAATTAGGGTGTTTGTGACAATTTTCTGTAGCAATAACCCTCCTGGTATAAATTGTACAAGTTAATTTTTATCTGCTGATGCAATTCGAGGTCCTATTCCTCAGAATTTTTGTCTTTTAGCAGCGATTTGTTCCTTTTTCTGTGTTCATTGTAGGAGCTGTTATGCATGCTTTTTGGATGTTTTTTTTATTCTTTTTTTTTGGTTTTGAAAACGTCTGAGTGTTGACGAACAAAGTCGGCCTGCCCTTTTTGTTTCGGCGCCCTTTGCTCTTATTCACACATTTCTGATAATTCTACCCTCTGATCTAGCGCAGTTTTGCTCAATGTACAAAACGAAATACTGATGTATATTTTTCTTCTTATGAAATCTGTCACCTGTAGTGAGTTCTTCTAAAACATGACATTTTTTTTCAATAAGTCCCGGTAGTTCGACTTTATTTCTGATTCAGATGGAGCAAAATATCCTTTTTTTTGACTGGTAATGAGAATTTTACTGTGTAAAATCTATATTTATATATACATACATATATTTCTATATTTATATGTAGATATATATGTAGGTTTAGGTGTTCTTTTGTCACCATGCTGGATGAGGGCTGAGATTATTGATTAGGAATTGACATTATTCTACTGAAGCTAACATGACGCTACCGTCACTGTGGTTAACTCCTGGTACAAGCACAGCTTTAGTTTGATGTTTGTTTTTTGCCTATCTGAACACAATTGGATTGAAGAATGAAATTCAATCTAATTGAATCAGCTTGCACTCACTCTAAAAGGTAATTGCAGTTGGGAATTGGGAACATTAAGTAACCACTTGTGTTCATGGATATTTTTTTCACCTTGTTTTTTTGTAACAAAAAAACCCAAAAAGTGGCAGAAAACCAGCTGAACGTTCTGTGTAAATCAGACTTGATGTCGGAATTGTTCAAATCTTTTCAGATCAAGTGGTAGAACAAATCCTGGAGTCTTGAAAGCCAGAAGATCACGGTTTCTACATCTTGCACCTTTTGCTAATGAAAACCAGCATTCTGCAGCAATGATTTTCCCACCCTCCCAAAGCAGTTGGTGACATAAGAGTGTAGGGGTTTCAGATACTTCCTTTTGGAAAAAAAAAAAAAAAGCTTTGATGTGCTTTGTTCAGCAGACAAATACCTTCACCATCATCAAACCTGCTTCGGCTGAATGGACCGAGGACAGTGGTTAAAGTTTCAGTGTCCAGCTCTATAATTCCTGTAATTCTATATCCCAATAATATCACAGATGGTTGCAATATGTGATTTGTGGTCTGGGAACATTCAGCACGATTTGCCTCACTGTCCAGTGAATAACCTTAAAGGATTTTAAGATTTCCCATTATTTCAAATCACTTTTTTTTTTGGTTTTGTTTCATCCATATATCCATATGCACAAAATTCACTGGATTGGGCAATGTTATTTTGTCTTTAAGACAGCACATGACTTTTGCCTTTTAAATGTTTAGTTGAGACTACCATATCATAAGTGGTTTTGCTTTGCCGTTAGCAAGCCCAAGGCCAACTAAGCCATGCTTATGAACGCAATTGTCTGATTTATTTTTAAAGAATGTGAAGTGATTCACATGTGTGATGCAGTAAATTTTAAGTGACGGCTTGCAAGTACACACCTGCCGGCATTAAGTGCTTGACAATCAAAGTTTCTGCCATTTTAAAACTGTTTTATTAGCCTCAAATCAAAGTCTGCCTGTGGCCCGAAACAGTCTAGGGTTGGAAAAGTAATTTATTTGTATTTTTTTGTAGCTATTTTACTATCTTGACCGACGTACATGTTTCCTAAAAGTATCATGTGACCACCCTTCCATCTGCTAACGAGCTTTTGTGAAGCACTTAAACGCACCATCGCCGCCCACTGCGAGCCTCCTCATCATATCGCGAGAGACACCATCAGTCCGCGGAGCTAACGCAGAGCAACATGGCGGAAGGTGAATTTTTTTTAATCTCAACTATTTTATACACACCCTTTATTATATCTTTCATTGTCGTACCTTTCAAATAGTGATACTCGACACCTTGACAGTTGAATAGGCCGTGCATCGTCGGGGGGGTTGCTTTTCACGAAGTACCGCGATACTGTTCTTGTCACACTCATCATGCAAGTGGGCAAAATCTCTCGTTAGCGACCGTTGGTGTTGATGCTAGCCGAATTTTTGTTATACGAGTTGGGGCGAAGTGGGCAAAATAAAATTGCCGCTGCGGCAGACGCAGACGAGTAAGAAAAGAGTACCAATGCTAACAAGCTGGCCATTACAGAGCGACTGTTAATAGGTAAAATGAGCGTATAATGTTGCTTTTATCTACTGATTAGATGCCAACGTCATGCTTCGCAGCAAACTGTCTAGTTTGATTTAGCAGGCTTTTGCCGCTCCGCTAGCTGTCTGCCCTTAGCTTTTACAGATCAGTGTGGGGTAAACGGGACTGTGAACCTGCCAGAACAGAAAGAGAGCCACACCTGATCAGCTCCCACTGGGTGCAGGTGCCAGGTCCGAGGGCACCTCCTATTTTAAGCCGAGAGTTTAAGGGAAATCTGCTTACAAACACACCAGCTTTACCAGCTGCTCAGCTTTTTAAGGGTTTCCCAGCGGCATCGCATTGACAAAGAACCGCATCTCAGAATGACAAACCCTTGATTTAGCTTATCCAGTTTGTGTGCTTTTATTATTATTGTCTGTGTTATGTTTTATGTATGCCCCTGCCAGATTAATGGAAAGCTGTATGTTGGCCGTGCAATCAGGTGCTTTCTTTTTTCTTTTTTTTTTCTTCCACATGACCAGTGGCTCTGCCAGTGGCTGTTTACAACGGACTACACAGTAACCTGCTGCCTCAGCAGTCTTGCTTCACTAAAACTTTTACTGGCTTAAAGGAAGGAAATGGGCCCCAGAGGAACTCCTCGGACTTTTGTAACAGTCACTTGAGAGGGGAGAAAGGTGTGGCTGCGCTAATGGGAATTTGGTTTGAAGACTTGGGGAGAAGTTTCCACATTTGGTCACAACCCAGTTAAAAAGCTTTTTTTTTCTTTTGGTATCCTGTTTAATAGGCCTGGAGAAATTAGTAAACAATTATTTGGATGAGTAAATCCCAAGTGGTTTTCAAAACTTTTTACTAATAAAAAAAGGGGAGAGAAATCTAAAAAGTGTGGCGTGCCTCTGTTTTTTTTTTTTACCTAATTGTTCTGCTTCCTCAAGTAATCGATTAAATCAGTGCCTGAAATACGCTGTCTGCAGATCTTCCTCTTTACTCCTAAGTTCCGGTTGCCTCACGCAGTCAACTTTAGCCCCGTATTTGCTGCCGACCTTTAACCCTCCGTCCTTGACCCTGTGTATCGATTTGTTTTCCGTCTGTCTGCCCGTGCGCGCAGAGGAGGTGGGGAAGCTGCAAAAGCACCTGGCCTTGCTGAGGCAGGAGTACGTGAAGATGCAGCAGAAGCTGGCCGAAACCGAGAGGCGCTGCGCCGTGCTCGCTGCACAGACTTCCGGCCAGGCCTCTCCCAGCCCTGCAAGTGCTGACACCTTCATCAGCCGCCTGCTGGAATTTGTGGCCAACCTCTACCAACAGGAACACTACAGGTGAGGGTCGCACTCGGAATGGCAGGGATAAGTCTGGGTCAGCTTGATGAATAAAATTATTATTATTATTTTTTTTTTTGCAGTGATCTGAAAGTGAAAGTTGCGGGCGATCAATACTGTGCCCATAAGTTTGTGCTGGCCGCTCGCAGCGATGCCTGGAGTCTGGCCAACCTGGCATCCACCGCTGAACTGGACCTTACTGGTGAGCAGCACTGGTTGTGTTGGTGGAGTAGACTTCATGACCCTCTTATCACATGTGACCGTTTTTTTTATTTTTTATTGTGAGCTATTAAACACTAAGGAGCCCTCTGTCAGTCAGAACACCTATTTGTTAATGAATAACAAAATATTTATTTGGGGGAAGTTTTGTCTGTACTGTCAGAATCAACAACATATTCAGATTTCCTCTACTTTTTTTTTTTTTCATACCTGTGAGTTAGGGATGGGTACTAAGTCTGTTTTGATCAATTAATCAAACTTTAATCAAATTTTGAAGATGTAATTTTTGAAAAATCTGGATTATTTCTTTTCCACCAATGTGCTTCTCGGATTCCCATACTTTAGAGGGATGACAGCAATGTTGTTTGACAAGCGTGTTTTATGTACCGCTTCTATTTATTTGTACTTTGAATTCAGGTCATCTGTACAGCAGAACATTAAAGTGCAGGCTGCCATTGTTGCATTTTTTTAAATTACAAGAATAAAATCATATTGTCAAAATAATACAAGAATAAAGCGTTACTATTACCAGAATAAAGCCATAATTGTATGAAATGTTTTATACAAAAAATAAAATGAGGAACATTGGTCATTTTGTGACGTAATCCTTTGATACAGGTTTTGCAGATGAGGAACAGCAGGACTTTGAAACGATGGTGGAAATGACTGAGTTTTTATTTCAAAGATACAACCAGACAGACTCAAGTAGTCAGACCTCGATAACAAAAAGCTTCTTCTTTATTTCTCATTAAAATTACGTTTCTTCTAAATTGAAGATTTTGTATTGCATCTTTATTCTGCTCTTATTACGACTATTCTTGTAAGTAAACAAAAGTTCTCGTAGCATCACTCTGTCGCACAACTCACAGGAGGCATTATTGAAATAAGTCAGTTTTTTTTTTCTTTCATTTCTAATTTCTTTTTTTAGAGAAGAAGGCGAAATTTTTTTTGATTAAAATCAGATCTGGTTTGAAAAAAATCTCATGTTTTACGTTTAAGTCGTAATCTCCCATTCCTCCTGTGAGTAAATAACTATGTAGGGCAATAAATACATCCCACTATTTACTTTATAACCAAAGGTTTCACCTGAATCTGTTTGTCATGTAAATGCTTCTCAGATTGCAAAGCTGAGGTAGCCATGGCGATGCTGCGTTGGGTGTACACAGACGAGTTGGAGCTCAGTGAGGATGACGCTTTTCTGATTGACCTGATGAAGCTGGCCAACCGGTTCCAGCTTTACCTGCTCAGAGAGCGGTAGGCGCAACCTGCCATTCACATGCGCATCTCAATAAAAAAAAAAAAAATAATTTTTTCCTCTCTTGTTTCAGAAAGCAGAATTCATATATGTGATACATTGATTACATATAGTGAAATATTTGAACTATTTTCTTGTCATTTTGATGATTGTGGCTTTCCGGTAATGGAAAAGATCAATTAAAGAAAAAAAACCCAAATGTTATGTGATGTTTTTATGGTTTACACAGTCGTAGAAAACTGTTGGCCGTCTGTTGGAACAGGTGTGAAAAAGGTGTGATGTCATCCGTAAACGTGAGGAACTGCATTCGCTTCTACCAAACAGCTGAGGAGCTAAACGCCAGCACCCTGATGAACTACTGCGGCGAGATCATAGCCAGCCACTGGGTGAGCAGCTTCAAGTTTCTGTGGCTTTCCTTTTAGGAAATGCAACTGTCATTTGCAGCCTTTTGCTACATTTCCTCCTTTCAGTCTCCCACAAACCAAAATAAATAAATAAATTCTTAGGAAAGCACCAACGTACTGAAGTCTGTTTCAGGTCATGTTTTAAACTCTTCAAACACACTTTGATTAATGTTTCCAAAAGCATCTCTAAATGCATGGATTTTTAAAAATTCTTGGCTTAAACAAAGTCAATGTTTCGATTCTTTTGCCGTTTTCTTTAAGTTTGTTCCAGATTTGTGGCGCATAGAAGCCAAATGCTTTTGTTTGGTTCTGGGGATGCGGAGCAGAACCACAAGAACCCGAGAGGCCTGGAAGGTCGATACGACGACAGCAGATCTTTAGTGTATTTTAGTTTGTAGACTAACGGCGGTATTTTAAAGTCTATTCTCTGAGCTACAGGGAGCCATTGCAAGGACTTTATTGCTGTTGATGAGTTGGTCAAAACAGGGAAATGAAACAGACTTCCAATTAGAGGTGCACCAATAAATCAGCTCAGATTTCTTTTGTTTTGTGCGATCAGTCTACTGATCACATCTACCTCCTCAAAGGTCTGTTCTTCTGCCGTAAGAGAGGGCTGACTGACCCGGCCACCAGATCACATCTGCACAGGCCAACTTATTGACACGGTTGTTGTATTTAGTGATCTGTCTGACCAAAAACTTTGTTTAAAAAAAAAAAAATCTACATTTCTTCTAACGTCTTGACTTTTATGTTTCTCCCTGGGGTTCTCATGTTTACCCTCCCTGTGGAATAAATTAAAAACTCCCCATTTAGCTTCAATTCGTTTTACTGTCCTCAGCCAAGTTTATGCTGCAGAGAATGGAACCGGTCCAATATAAAGGAAAGAGTAAATTCTATTATGTTGCTTTTTTTTTTTTCCCTTTTCCCATCATAGTCTTCATTGACTATGTTGTTGTGACTGTTGCACGTCTGTTGCTTTTTCATCAGGATGATCTGCGGAAAGAAGATTTCAGTACCATGAGTGCCCAACTTTTGTACAAGATGATCAAATCGAAAACGGAGTACCCTCTCCACAAAGCCATCAAAGTCGAGCGGGAAGACGTGGTGTTTTTGTATCTCATAGAGATGGATTCGCAGGTGAACTCTGTTCTCCCTACGTCTTTATCGATCGAGCACCGCAAAGTCGTAATCAAAGGTTTGTTCCGCTGCAGAGAAGTTGACGAGTTTTCTACCTGCTTGCAGTTACCGGGGAAACTGAATGAACTGGACAACAACGGGGACCTCGCTCTGGACCTGGCGCTCTCCAGAAAGCTGGAGGGGATCGCCACGACTCTGGTGAACAACAAAGCTGACGTGGACATGGTGGATCAGAGCGGCTGGAGCCTCCTTCATAAGGCCATCCAGAGAGGTCGGTCCGCCACATCCGGTCTGCAACCTACCACTGGTGTACAACTAGACTGTAAAATAATTTCTGAGGAAGAAGAAAAAAAAAAAAAAAGTTTTCAATCAGGAATTTTTATTTCCTTTTTTTACCGACTAGGGGACGAATTTGCTTCCATCTTCCTGATCCGCCACTCGGCTCAGGTGAACGCAGCCACAGTGGGGGCAGTGGAAACCCCTCTCCATCTGGTCTGCTCCTTCAGCCCCAAGAAACACACGGCCGAGGTGATGAGCAGCATGGCCCGAATCGCAGAGGCTCTGCTCAAAGCCGGAGCTAACCCCAACATGCAGAACAGCAAAGGCAGGTGGGTCACATGACGCCGGCTCCGGGAGCTTTACGGCGTCGTAAACTTTTAACTGCAGTGCAAAGTGTGATGCCGCTTCTTTGCTCGTGTTGCGTTTTAGAACGCCGCTGCACGAAGCCGTGGCGTCGGGGAACGAGGCCGTGTTCAATCAGCTGCTACAGTGCAAACAGTGAGTCCCACTCTGATCAGAAATCACAGCAGTGCTCATTGTGATCATTTCATATGTCTGGTTTAATGTAACTAGCTAATTAGAAGCATCTCCTGCAAAAAGTGTTCATACTCTGAACTTATTCACATTTTGCAGGGGTGTATCTGGGATTATCATGGTAAAAGTACTTAATGCCCCTCACTTTTTAGATTTTAGTTCTTGTAGTATATAGTTATTTAGTATTAGTTTTTGTTTGAGTCAAAGGCCATTTAAGAGTCCATCGTGGTTGTTCTTCCAGGGGGGGGAGTAACAATGTTTGTCCCTCAGTTTTCAAAGAATCAACCCTTCCACTGAATTTATTTTCTGAAAAAAGAGCTCAAGAATCAAAATGCAATTTAGGAACAATGCTACATCCCATTCCTCTCTGAGTATTCTGTTGCTTTTGGTGTCGTAGATGTAGCAAAATTCACAAGATGAGCTCGGTAAATTTGAGAAGGAGTCTCTTGCGAATGCAGCGCTGCTTTCAGGCTGTCCGCATGGAGACGCATTGTTCTGTTAAGTAGCCCATGTTCTGGTATCTGGTGGTTTTCCTGTTATTGTGGAAGCGCAGCGCATTCTACGGGCTGGAAACATGAGTGTGTATTGCACAAGATAGGGGGGAGGGGGGGAAATCACAGCTTGGGCTGCCAATTAACATCTCTGTAAAGTATGTTAGGATTTGTGATAAGATGTGACAGACTTTAATTGGGCCGTGTGCAATTGTGGTTTAGACTCGACCTGGAGCTGAAGGACCATGAAGGCAGCACAGCTCTGTGGTTGGCCCTGCAGCACATCACCATGTCGTCAGACCTCTCTGTGAATCCGTTCCAGGACGATGCCCCGGTCGTTAACGGGACGTCGTTTGAAGAGAATGGCGTTGCTGCTCAGCTCATCAAGAGAGGAAGCAATCCAGATGCACCAGACAACGCCACAGGTGCCGTTCGGGGCTTTTTGTTTGTTCACCAATGTTGCTTTTGTCACCGTGAAAGATAAAGCGATCCCCAGATTCATCAGTTTCCTGCCCTCCTAACAGGAAACTGCCTCCTGCAGAGAGCAGCTCAGGCAGGCAACGAGGCGGCGGCGCTTTTCCTGGCAACTCACGGGGCAAAAGTCAACCACTTAAATAAATCGGTACGCATTTTCTGATGACGTCCAGTGTGTGTGTGTTTTTTTTTTTTTTTTTCCTTTCTCTTTTTCGAATGGATCATAACATGATGGTAAATTTATGAATGCGTTCCCGCCTGCAGGGTGAGAGCCCGCTTCACACAGCGTGTCGCTGCGGCCTGGCCAGCCTGACCGCCGAGCTGCTCCAGCAGGGCGCCAACCCCAACATGCAGACCCAGAAGCCCCTGCCTGAGGAAACCAACGGCGTGGCTCTGCAGACGCCGCTCCACATGGCCATAGCTCACAACCACCCAGATGTCGTTTCTGTCATCTTGGAACAAAAAGGTAAAGCAAAGCTTACCTTTTTGCAGTTTTTTTTGTTGTTTTTCCTGTTCATGACACATTTTTTGACTTGTACAACTAATAGTTCAGTAAATAGAGAATTTAGCTAAACCTTGAGCTTTGGCAAAAGTGTGAAATGATGTATAACGTTCTTGAATATTTAGGATTCTTTGATGTTTTGAAGGTATTTGACTGCTTTTCTTCCTTTCTTGCCTCTCAGCCAACGCACTTCACGCCACCAACAACTTGCAGATCATTCCAGACTTCAGTCTCAAAGACTCCATGGACCAGACAGTCCTGGGTTTGGCCCTCTGGACAGGTACACTTCACTAAATGGATGTATTTATCTGCATCCTCTAAACTTTTCTTGTTTTTTTTTTATTGTTATTTATTTACTGAGTTCAATCACTTCCTGCCAGGTATGCACACTATTGCGGCCCAGCTGCTGGGCTCCGGGGCTTCTATCAATGACACTATGTCCAACGGACAAACCCTGCTTCACATGGCTATCCAAAGACAAGACAGCAAGAGCGCCCTCTTTCTTCTGGAACATCAGGCTGACATCAACGTTAGGTAGCAATAAATCTTATTCCAGCAGTTGTTTTTCTTCATCGACTCGGATTAAAACCGATGGTGATTTTTTGAACGTAAATACGACGAAGGGCGATTTAGCTCCAGGTAGACGTCGTACTTGTGATAATGCGATTAACGCTGCGTCGCCTCTACTTCCAGGACGCAGGAGGGAGAAACGGCGCTACAGCTGGCCATCAGTAACCAGCTGCCTCTAGTGGTGGACGCCATTTGCACAAGAGGAGCTGATATGTCTGTTACAAACGAAAAGGGGGATCCTCCGTTATGGCTGGCTCTTGAGAATGGCCTGGAAGATATCGCGTCCACGCTGGTAAGAGAGGAGGGGGAAAAAAATAAGTTGTGTATGTTGACAGTAGGTTCTGTCAACCAAGGAGTTGTGCTAAAGAGACTGTGCAACAATTTGCTGGTTATTGTTAAATTACAGGTTTTGTTACGATGTGATCAAAGTTTTAGTAACTTTGCTTTGATGCTTTTTTTTTGGCTGATTCTGATTTTGCTTGATGTAGCATAAGAAAAGCAGAAAGTGTTTATTCAAGCCTGACTACAGTGAGCTTTTATTATTTACATTTTAAGCTGAAAAACGTGAACTCTTAAAGATAACCACTTGTTTGGACATGATTTCTGTTCACTGCTCATCAATATTCAATGGTTTTAAACCATCAAAATCTTTCTGCGTTTCAAAGAAATTCGAAACTCAAAATGATGAAGCAATGTGGCATTGAAGAAAGCTGATATTTTGGTTACTTATGTATTTAAAATATGTCTAAGCTGTTGAGTTGAACAGAATGAATATTCTCATGTGAATAGGAAGCTGCTGTTGTACGTTTGCTTTTTTCTGATCCTTATTCATGATTTCTTTTGGTTGTCACATTAATTATTCATAATTATTGAGTGATAATAATTATCACTCAGAAAGTACAATGAAAGCCCAGATGCTGGTTTTGCTTCAGCAACCATATTGACAGAAAGAGTAAAGCTCTGCTGCTTAAAGGGAATTTATAAAGATCAATAGCATGAGCTATTTCTGGCTGTTTTCTTTGTAAGCAACTCATGGAAGGTTATAAAACTGCTAATGGTTGGTATGAAGTCATAGATTGATAAACTGAACAGTGCATCTAGTTCTACTGCTCCACCATGCTAAGTAGCAAAGGAATTAACAGCCAATGTGGCTAGTAATGATACAAGTAAATGGTAATAATCAGAGGCCCCAGACTGAAATTAGAACAGAAACTAGTTGCAATGTGATTCTAGTTAATCACTAATAAGTTATAATTTGATGCAAAATTACTAAAAGCGGAAACTATTTATGGTTAATGCTAATAAATGTGCCAAGTAAAGATCTTTTCTTTTTTTGTTAACACTGTAAATAAACTAAAAATGAACCTACCCTATACCATTTCCATTATTTCACTCTAAAGAAAATTAAAAAGTCTCCAAATAAACTGATATATTTTTTTTGATACTTTTTAGAAAGAGCACTGAGCTTTCAAAACAAGGTCTCAAGGATGAGAGGCCCCATAGGCCAAGACTATCAAACTTTCTTACAAATACTATCAATTGATTGCAATTGAAGTTTAACTTAAAATTTCAGTTACTGATTTTGATTGAGGTTGCACATGTGATGTTAGCAGAATTTTTTTTTGCCCAGACAATATGTTTTAATTTATTGTCAGATAGATGATTTCCTTTAGCAAATGAATTAACACCAAGTTTTACATGTTCATAGCCGCTGGCTATAAAAATAGTCGACTGTCTGCTTCTAGCTAACACTTCTGATGATGCTGACATGACTGTAGGAGCATGAATGATGTCATTTCAAATATTCGTCGTCTCTGTGAGTCGTTGCCGCTCTGCTATTTTTCTGTCTGAAAACCCGCCTTCTCCTGCCTGGGGTCCAATCAGAAACTGAAATTTTAAGTTCCTCTGTAATCAAACTCTGAGAGACAGTTTGTTACTGTTTGTAAGTTTTGGCTCATGGAGCCTCTCAAACTCAAGTGTTTTTTGCATCGATTTAAAATTTTTTTGTCTCATGGCAAGTTTCTTTTAAATATGGAGCTGAAGCGACATCACACGGAGCGAAAATATAAAAATTATTTATCTTTAAATGACCAAATGTTTAGCGTTCACATCTTCAGCAGATCATTTCAACAGTCTGTATCAAACACTGGGAGTTGGTTGCTAACAGAAGCACAGGTGGTAAACAGAGAATGTGTTAAATGGGAGCCTGAATGAACGACCAACGTGCAACAAAAAACAGCTTTTCCTTTTAAATCTCTTGTCTACATCTTACTGCTTCATCTGACTTAATTTTTGACAAATTTTTTGGAAGAAATAACAGGAAAAAAAATCAAAGAACAGCATTTTTGTACCCTTTTTTTTTCCTGACATAACTCCCTTTTTGCCCAATAGGTGCGTCATGGGTGCGATGCCACATGTTGGAGCGCGGGGCCCTCTGGCTGCCTGCAGACCCTCCTGCACAGAGCTGTGGATGAGAACAACGAGGTCTCCGCCTGCTTTCTCATCCGCAGGTTTGCCACTTTTCCTGCATGCAGATAAAACCGACTGCTGTTTTTCTTTTGAATCTAGATTTCATTAATAAAAAAAAGAAGGCAATCCCAAAAATAAACAGTGACGTATCAAAAGCATGTTGACATTTTTAGATCTGCGGCCAGGAAACGTATTGTAAACTCAGTTGGAGTTTAGTACATCTTCAGTGTGTGTGTGTGTGTCTCTAGCGGCTGTGACGTGAACAGCCCGAGGCGTCCTGGACCTAATGGGGAAGGAGATGAAGAAGCCCGAGACGGACAATCACCCCTCCACTTGGCGAGCAGCTGGGGTCTGGAGGACGTGGTGCAGTGCCTTTTAGAGTTTGGAGCGAATGTCAATGCACAAGTGAGTTCATACCGTCAGTTTTTCCTTTTTTTCCTGATGCATTTTTGTGTGTGCGGGGAAGCAAATCGTGAATGTGGGGCATTCGTGTGTTTTCAGGATTCAGAGGGCAGAGCTCCCATCCACGCTGCTATCAGCAACCAGCACAACGTCATTATCCAGCTCCTTATTTCCCATCCGGAGATCCGGCTCAACCTCCGGGATCGCCAAGGAATGACACCATTCGCCTGCGCCATGACGCACAAGAACAACAAGGCAGCGGAGGCCATCCTAAAGAGGGAGCCCGGTGCTGCAGAACAGGTAGCGGGCGGTGGGAGGAAGATGCGTGGGAAAAAAAACACACCGCTTGAACGTTTTTGTGTATAAAAATGTTTGCTTCTGTCCAGGTGGACAACAAAGGAAGGAATTTCCTCCATTTGGCCGTTCAAAACTCGGACATCGAAAGTGTCCTGTTCCTCATCAGCGTTCAGGCTAACGTAAACTCCAGAGTTCAGGATGCTGCAAAACTCACCCCTCTCCACCTGGCTGTGCAGGCTGGTTCTGAGATCATTGTTCGCAACCTGGTACAAAATTCCTTTCTTTTTTTTTTTTTTTTTTTTTTTTTTTTTCTTCTTCCCAGTCCGATTCCTAAAGTTGTAGTGAAATGTGTGACATTTGGTTGTGTATTTGTGTCCAGCTGCTTGCCGGAGCCAAAGTGAACGAGCTAACCAAACACAGGCAGACGGCGCTACATCTGGCTGCCCAGCAGGACCAGGCCACTATCTGTTCTGTGTTGTTGGAGAACGGCATAGATTTTGCTGCTGAGGATGAAAATGGCAACAATGGTATTTTTTTTCTTTCTTTTTTTTTTTAGCAGTGATTTTCTAATCAAAGATGATGGCGCTCTTTTTCTAAACATTTTTCATTTTGATACACTTGGTCCTAAGCCTGTTGCAACCAGTTAAGTATGATGAATTAAAATTAGCTCTAATTTCCATTCTGAAATTTTTTGCGGGGCAACTTTATTCATTTGAATTTGTTTGCACAAGAACAACAAGAACAAATCTAAATTCTTAGGAATTTTTCACAATTTATGATAAATTTACTTGTCTAACTAGAACTACTACTGAGAAAGCCTGACAAGGTCATTGCTGAAGCTTTGCTCATAATTTGCATGGAAACAGAGATTTTTTAAAAAAAATTTATTACTATTATTTAGACATCATGTCACATTTTCCTGAATCTTGACCTTTTTGTGCCTCCTAAGGGTCTTGAATTTGCCGTTTCACAGTGACCCGATTTTAGGTCTTTTTGCTAGATCCAAACAAATCGGTTTGTAAGTCGGTTGCGGGGGGAGAATGAATGTCGGACTTATTTTACACCATGAAACTGATGCATTGCAGGAATCGGTAAACATTCATGATCTTTCACCGACAAACCAACAGGTTTCTTTAAAAGCAGTAACACATTAGTAGCTGTTGTTGAGCCATAAGAGAGGGAAATGAAAGGAGCAGCTGCACCCAGGGGAGAGGAGTTTAGGTTTGGCTCATTTGCATTCCCAAGTATCCTTGCATGGCAAATGTTTTGAGCTGCTTCCAACCCTCGAGTGAAGAAGTTTGGAAAAGCATTTGTAGTGAGTGCCGTCCTATGTAGGACTGCGACTTATTATTTTGATGATCAATTATTCTGACGATTAACTGGAATAATAATGTCAATAATAATTTAAGTGGTTAAATTTAACATTTTAATGACGAGTTTTATTTTTGGGCAATAAAATAAACCTTGCATTAGTAAATCTGAACTGCATATTTACAGACAAAGACGTTTTTTTTTTTCATCTTAAATGCAAAATGCATATATTTTTGTGCAGTTTTGGCCGAATATGTTTTTTTTTTTTTTTCAGTAAATGGTCTTTTTTGAATCTGAATACTTCAGTTAATCACAATTGCTACAATAGTTGACAATAATTTCAATAATCGGTTGAATCGATTGTTTACGTCCTAATCATACGCTGTCTGATGGCTACTGTATGTAACTTTTACGAAACATGTTTTTTTATTTTTCTTTTTTACATATTTGTTAAAATTATGATGCAGCGACAACATAATATCAGACAGTCTTCTCCCACTACCAACTGCAGAAATGCACCACTGAGTTAGAAACAACCAATCAGAGTCAATCTCTGCCATTAGCTCATTTAGCAGCATCGATTGACAGCTCTGTCTAAGACCCTCCTCCTGCCTCCGATTGCTTGTTTATGTCCGGGAGCGGTTCATTTCTTCAGACCGCAGTAGTAAATCAGAAATCATAATCTTTCACCGGATGAAGAGCACGATCTGTCACAACGTGGAGACAGTTTTAACAAAGATGGAAAATATGTAAAAGCTACATACTGTAGATTTAAGATGTATTTGTTTCATTTTAAAAATGATGATTCTAATGAACAATTCTTTTCTCTGCTGCTTTTTTTCCAGCTCTGCATCTGGCTGTGATGCAGGGCCGCCTTAACAATGTCAGAACCCTTCTGACGGAGTCCAACATCGATGCTGAGGCCTTCAATCTCAGGTACTTTTAGTTCCTTTTAGTCCCATGCTTCACTGGGAGCCAATGTGTAGTAAAATGTTGAAAATTAAGCAAAAATGCTTCATATTTAGGGGTCAGTCGCCAATGCATGTACTGGGGCATTACGGTAAAGAGAACGCGGCAGCCATCTTTGAGTTATTCCTGGAGTGTATGCCGGAATACCCTCTTGACAAGCCAGACGGCGAAGGGAACACCGGTACTGTGGTGATGATTATCATGCAAGTTAAAGTAAACGCTCCACTGTGATGATGCATTGACTGTGGAGGTGTTGGCTTCATTGCAGTTCTGCTTCTGGCCTACATGAAAGGGAACGCCAACCTGTGCCGAGCCATCGTGAGGGCTGGGGCTCGACTGGGCGTCACAAATAATCAGGGCACTAATATTTTCAACTACCAAGTTGCAACCAAACAGCTGCTCTTCCGCCTTCTAGGTGGGTTTTTCTGCTTTTCATTCAAAACGAGAGCTGCTCTTATACTACGATATGTTTTGTAATCGAGCCACGTTGTTGCTTTTATAGATATGCTGTCCAAAGAGCCCCCTTGGTGTGATGGGTCCAACTGCTATGAATGTACCGCGAAGTTTGGTGTAACGACACGGAAACATCACTGGTTAGTTGGCAGCCATTTTCATCTACACCTTACGGTCATTCATGGCCAGCACTTTGGAGAATCACAGAGTTTTGCACAAAATCTAGTGTTTGTGTTTTCAGGTGTTTGTTGGAAGTTTGTGCTACATTGAAGTTCAGTATGAAACATTTTGTATGTTATAAAGGCCTTCTATAGAAATATGCCTGAGATTTATAAAAACTGTGAATGTTTTTATCCCTTGTGACACCATTTCATCAGCTTGAAAAAAAAACTTGTTTATTTCCAATTACTCCTACATTCTTAGTATGGAGGGAACAAAGGGACAAAATGAAATAAATCCATCACTCATTAAGTATACCATCAAATAAATAGATGTTTAATCTATTTAAGACAACTAATTACACTATAGCATAATTCCACCAGTTTTTTTTTTGTTGCCAATCTGCCAGTGTTGTCTACTAAATCTCTCTAAAATGCTCATATGGCAGAATCACAGAATCTGGCTAAACCAGTGGAGTTCAGCAAAACTGTGTAAGCTCCGCCCTTAGCCCCGCCCCTTATTAACCAGAAAAGAATTAAATGCATATTTAATTTCCTTCTTTGGTTTTTCTAAGTTTGCATCTTAATGACTTGACATATTTTATGGCACAGTTAATGATTTATTTATTAATTGTGCCCCTCCTTCCTTGACTCGTGTTGCCATAATGACATGCACATGGAGATCATCCCGATAGGCAACACAAGGCTTTCCAGCAGCGCTCCCTTTTAAAGTAACTCTTAATGGTCTTCTAATTCAATCAAAATGAGTGATGGCTTCACTCAGTGAACCAGAAGATGCTAGCTGATGCTAGCGTGCCATTTTTGGGGGCGGAGGGAGCTGAGCTGATGCACAGAGCAAAACAGCTTCTCTTCCATCTGAACCATTTTCCTACCAACCTATACTCCATCCCAGTTACCGCCTTCAAAAACCGAAGCAGTAAAATTTGTCAAAACTAAAATTCTGGCTACGACTGTACAACAAATGAGCTTCCACAAATTGTTCTCGCTCCAACACGTCATTGTCCAGCTCCTTAACCACTCTCTCGTTCCCTCTTCGACTCCAGCCGCCATTGTGGGCGCCTGCTGTGCCACAAGTGCTCTATAAAGGAGATACCGATCATCAAGTTCGACTTGAACAAGCCGGTGAGAGTGTGCGACATCTGCTTTGACGTACTGACCCTGGGCGGGGTATCGTAATGCCGCGACTCGACGCCGCTATTCAGGAACGCCACGAGGAAGGGCCACAACGAGCAGCGGACACCAAGGACCATCGTCTTTATACTACTCCAGTCTATGGAAAACTATTAATCTTCTAGAGAGACATCTCAAATAGAAACTTCGTCTTTTTGTTGGTTTGAATCAAGTGTCTGAAAGCAGCTCGACGACGGCTTGGACGGAGTTTCTTTCTTTCTCGATGCCCGAGGTTTGCGGCGATTGGCTCCTACAGTCGCTGGCGTGAGGCTGTTGTGATACGTCAATCCGGTGATAACACTTGTAGAAGGGTTTACCTTTCCTCTGTTGGGTTGTTTTACCATCCACGGGACTCTCCCAAAGCAGAAAAATGCAGTGCGACAAATTGATTCATTTCTAACAGTTTTGATTATTCATGTTTGCAATCTGTTATCATTCACCCTCAGTTGATTTGTTTTTTTTTTCTTGTGAGGTAACTGATCGAAATGAGTAAAACTAATCATGTTAAGATGACAACAACAAATCCTGTCAAGTCGGCAGATGAAATGGCACAACTTGAATCTTTTTGTTGTTGTTTTTTTTTTTCTTTTTTCTCCAGTGTAAATGAAAATTGAGTGACATACGACAGAGTATTAGGGGACACTAAAGAAAAAATAAAATGACAAGAATAAAGTCATACAACCAGAATAAAGTTGGACTATTCACAATAGAATAGTCGTAATAGTAATGCAAGGATAAAGTTGTAATATTACTAGGGTAAACACGTCATCAGATTATCGGGACACGGCCTGCTCCTGATGCTAATCTGATGCTGATGTGTTAATAAATGAAGTATTTCCTTATTTGTACAACCAATGCCAAAGTATCACTTCACCAGATGCTCAACATTCTTCATCTGCAGCTATAAGGCTGCCTTTTTTTTTGTGTCTAAGTTCTTGAATCACAACTTTATTCTTGCAATATTGTGACTTTATTCTCGTTTTCCCTCCTCTTTCTTTTTCCTAGCCTTGCCCTAAAACTCCTTCATAATAAAGACCAAGAATCTTTATTATGAAGATTCTCTTACCGCCCACGCTTCTCGTGTCATTTGTAGCCTTCATACATCAGTCATATCACGAATCATGTTCCGAAATGGCTCACCAGATAACATTCCTTCTGAATTGTTTTGTCCTGCCATCACTGATATCTTTTTGATGTTTAACGCTCTTAATTTTCTCAGCCTAACAGGTGCACTTTATCAGAAACACAAGACATTTCAGATCATCGGGGAGAATGTGGACTAAGTAGGGGGTCGGCCAAGTGGAGCGGCCTCTTTAAGTATTGTTAAATTGTACAGATAAATGTGTGATATTTTTTGACCACTACAACTGTTTTGTACTTTAAAAATGCAGTTTGTGCTTGTCATTGTGACAAACCCAAAAAACAAAGAAAAAATCTTGCCTCTGTTAATCTTTTATGCACATTGTTTAATCTTTTATGCACATTGTATTGTATCTGTATGCTCAGATATCTAGCCTGTCTCTTCCTGGTGTATTCTTCTAGAGAAAGGGAGGACAACTTTACATAAAGGTCATCGACAAACCGTGCAGTAAAATGTCTTTATTCTGTTTGATATCTATACATATATAAAAAAAAAAAAAGGTTCGCTGTAATCGTGAATGAATTGGGCCTGTTTTTCTTAGTCTGCCACCATGCATGACTCGGCATCTGAAGGGCAGCCGTCATATTTCTGCATGTCGGGGTGATCTGCTGCCGCAGATGGATCTTTGATACAGATGCACCGTGTATGACCGGAACCTGGGGAGAAGAACTTTCGTGGTACGCCAGTCCAGTCTCTGTTCACTCCTCCACTGCGTTGGGAGTCAAAGGGGGGGGCGAATATTATATTTTTCACATTTCATAACGATGCTCATGAGGCAATAGGTCTGAAGCGTTTCCTTACCTTTTAGTAGAGCACCAGACTCTTTTGCCCCGACTTGAGCTCCACTCGGAGTTGCAAGGAGGAAAGAGAATCTTCTCGGCTTCTGATTGGGCCTTCAGTTTCTGGCCCTCTGCCAGTGATGCTTCAACTGCCAGCAGGGCCTCTGTGGGCTGTCCAGTCTCATCGTAGAACCGTCCCACTACCAACCCTGAAATTCAGCGCAACGTACTGTACAGAAACGATTTCCTTGGTCAGAACTGTTTCAAGTAAAGCAGTGTACGCAGTACAGGCTGGTGGGGATATGGACTTAGTTTTGTCACAATTTTTTGTGGTATTGTGATAAGAACTATTAATTACTACTTTTTAAGGTATGGTTGTGGCTGTGACTGGGCGGTACAGCAATCGGAGGCCTCTAACAAAAATACCACTCCTGGAAACCTTTTTTTTTTGTTTTTTACCATAATTGGACAAATCTGATCTTTGAGTGCCATTTTATTTGAGAAGGGTCAAACTAAATCATTTTTTATAGCAATTAGTAAACCGTGACATCCCTAAAGTCTAAATATGATGAAACAAAGTCCCATTTCCCTGGGCCTTTCTTCAAAGTGGGAAAGACAAGAAAAATGTGCAAGTCGGAAAATATCAATTAGCTTTGTCCTGGGGATACAAAAAAGAAAGGACGGACTATTTTACAAATGAGTAAAAAAGTGTATTGGAAAAAAAACCATCCTTGGATCTGGCTGATTTGTCTCTAAGGATGACCATTAAGATCAAAACGAAGATCTTCAAAAAGCCTGAACTTCAACCCTTTCAAGAATTTACCCAGTATGCTTTAAAAACCCAATTTCACGGCAAGAAAATGTTAGAAAATCCACTATAACAAATCAGTGTTCAGTGGATCTTCAGTTGAATCTTATCATAATGGTTGGTAAAGGAGGGGGGGGGAGGGGTTTATTATTCTAAAAACACCTGAAGAGGAGGAATATGTTGAGGAATGTATACAAAGAAAACGAGAGGCTTAAATGATAAAGATCTTTACCAACATGCTGGTATTCTTTGTGATAGAAATCCAGCCAGTCATAAAGGGCCACCACCTTTAGTGGAGACAAACTGGAGACATCATCAGTCAGGCCACTTTCAGTGAAGTCTCCAGTGATGAAAGCCAAGGAGGAATCCTTCCCTGGAAACACAGCATGCAATGCAATATCGTACTACTTAACAATAAAGTGGTTCCAGCTTAACAATACTGTGGACTCAATCTGAAGAGTCGCATCACCTGCCATGAAGTGATAACCACCCCCGGGTCCATAATGCTTGTGTCCTTTGTGTACGTCAAACACCTGGCCCAGAATGGCCAGGTACAGGCCCCTGCTGCCCTTTGCTCCGTCGTATAAAGACAGGTCACTCCTGCTCAGGAGCCGCGCCGGGGCCGCCTTCTGTGACTCCCCTCCCCAACCAACGGACCAGTCGGGAGGGAAAAACAGCACCCCCGCTAAAACAGACAAGCACGCGCCCAGCGCGTATCTCAGCATGTTTGTTTGTCCACGTACTTACATCACTCCGTGCCTTTTAAAAGGAACAGTGACGAGGCAGGTGTTTCCGGAATAACGGACAGCAGAGCGCGTGCGCAGCCGAGAAACTCAAAAGGTTCCCCAACGGTTTATGTAAAAAAATGGCGCATGCGCAGCAAACTGTCCAAGTTATCCTCCAGTTTACGACCGCGAAGAGCATAAAAACAATTAATTTTAGTATGAGTTATGTTAAATGTAGTTTTGTAGTTAAATGTAGTTTGTGGAAGAGGCCGGGATTATGTGTCAAGGTTACGTCTAGGTTAGGCGCCTGGGGCAGAGAGAAAAGACTTTATGAACCGGAAGAGGACTGAGAATGGTGGGGCCTGGTGGCGGTGCTCTCGGCACAGCGCCTGCGCAGCCGAGATACGTCGGAGGACGTCTCTTTTTTCAGCCAAGTTGACGTACAGTGCGTGAATGCGGTAGTAGAGCGTAGCGGAGTTCTGACTGTAGGTTGACGTTACAGAGGTCTGTGTGCGGACCCCGGTCAAAACCGACACCTGCGGGGGCCGTGTGGACTTTTAGGGGGAACCCAAGGCGGGTCAGACGAACATGGGGAACGCAGAGAGTGGCTGTGGCGGAGGGAGCGGCGACGAGGAGGACATGGAGACGGAGAGTCCCGGTTTCGCGGAAGACAACCTGGCCTCTGCGGCCATTGGCGGTGCTGTCGGAGGCAGCGGAGGAACCGGGTCTGGGCGAAGCGGAAGGGGATCGAATAACCCACCCGCGGCCACCGAGGGACCACCGAGCCCCGCGTTCCTTTTGGAGCAAGTGAAACTCAGAGAAGCGGCCGCCCGTGTCAGCGACTCGGGGGTCGCCATTCACGAGTCCGTCCTGTCCGGTAACGAGGGCGTCCTGATCCGGTGGCTGGAGGACCGGCTGAACCGCGGCGAGGAGTCCGTCAATGTGGAGCAGTTCTGCGAAATGTTGGAGAGCAGAGACGCTCCCAGAAATGAATGTGAAGAGGTACATACGTTTGTGAAAGCGAAAAAAACTAAACAACAGAAGAAAAAAAAACCCAACCCCAAATATTGCTGTCATTTGTGACATGACATGAATATCAGATGTTTTGACCCAGGTACGAGAGGTGAGCTGCTGATAGCGGCACCGCGCCCATCCATAGTGACTAATCAGCTCCTCAGATTGTAGGGAAAGGAGCAGAAATCCAGCCATGTAGTTTGAAGAGTGTGCCCTGAACAGCTGTGATGTTGTTACCTTTACTTGTCAGGGTTATTGTCTCGGTTGTTTACAGTGCTGGTCTCTTTGTTGCTGCCTTGCTGTGCGGTGACAGCCAGGTGGTGTGTGATAAGTTTGTGCCTCAGTCTGCATATTTGACTCTTGTGTGGGCAGACAAAGACTATCTTTCATGTGTTAAAAGTAGTGAGCGGTGCACTGATTCCTTCTCGCACAACCTCTATTGCATATAGTTACACTTTAAAGAAGTACTTTAATCCATTATGCATGTCGATGTGATTCAGTTGTGAGTTCTAGGACTTGTATTTGCATGCGTTTGCTGTGTGTTGTGATGGGATTGATCGTGTCCGAGTGTAAGGGTGTGTCGCTTTCTGTTTCCATGATCGCAGGCGTTTGGACAGTTTGATGCAGAGGGGGATGGAGTAGTGGACATAGAGAGCATGCTGATTGCTCTTAAGAACTCCAATGGAGCTAATCTACAGGGAGAATTGAGTCATGTGATAAGACAGCTCCAGGCGTGCTCCCTCACACCAGGTAAGATTAGGAATTTGTTTACACGCACACATGCACATGCATTGACTACGTTCTTCATTACAGCCCTAATATTCAGTGTATTTTGTTTGGGTTTCTTGTACTACCTGCAAAGTCGAGGGGAACTGATGCCCCTTTTTTAATACACTGCAAAGTGTGGCATGCTTTTATATTTAAAGAGGCCCTGACCACCAGCTGCTCTTAAAAGTTAACCTGTCAAATGCCAAACATGTAACTTGAGCCAAGTCGAGTTACATGACTTGACTCGAGTCCTTCTATTATGTCTTGATTTGCAAAAAATGGTCAGATACTTTTGACTTGACTTGGAGTGTTACACCAATGACTCGGGACTTGATATGTTACACAAAATCTTAAAGTTTAAAATGGTTATCCAAAAAAAAAAAAAAAGATTTTAGCACAACTCCTAAGACTTGACTTTCATTCTAAATTGGCTAGCTGGAAATTTTGGATATTATTCAGAGAAGCAGCCATGAGCCCCATGGTGATGCTGTTGGAGCTGCTGCAGATTGGAGAATGTGTTTGGAAAAAGCGGCGAAAGGTTCAGTTCAAAGTTTGACTCAAGCTCACCAGGGAACCGAGTAATCATGTGGAAGTGGGTGGTTAAATGAGAAAACAATTGAACATTTTTCATGCATGCAAAACTTACACTGCATATCACCCTGAACGCACCACCTTGGCTGTAAAAACACGGTGGTGGCATCATCATGCTGTGGCTGCTCAGTAAGAACAGGGAAACCAGTCAGAGTTTATGGCAGGTGCCGATAAATACAGGACAACGCTGGAAGAAAGCATGTTGGAGGCTGCAAAAGGGTTGTGAGCTTTCAGCTAGACAACAACCTCAAACCAAACCAATTTAAGGATTTAAATCAAAACATATTAATTTGTTGAAATGGCCCAGTCAAAGTCCAGAACTAAATCTTATTCAGAACCTGAAGCAAGACTTGAAAGTTGCTATTCAGAGATGTTCTCCATCCAGCCTGAATTAACTTTAGCTATTTAGGAAATGTAGAGTAGCAGAATATCTTTAACTAACTACCATAACACAGTTTAAGAGGGAATTATTGAAAACTACAAAAGGATTTAAGTATTTGAAACTGTCATGGTGGTGATTTTATATATATATATATATATATATATATATATATATATATATATATATATATATATATATATATATATATATATATATTCTTGTTTGGATTTAATAGTCGATTATGAATATTTTGTTAATATTTGCTACACTAAATCAATGAAGTTCTTTATATGTATGGACACCATTTGCATGTAGTCAGACTGTTGTTTAATAGTTTTGCGGTTCCACGCTTGTTTTTGTTTTTATTTCCTGTCCCTACAGGTTTCGTCGACATCTTCTCAAAGAGCAAAGACAGATTAGGAGCTCACGCCTCTAAGATCCTTAAGTTCCTCCACAGGAATCGTATTCCCAGCAGTGCCATCCCTTTCCCGATTTTAGAGGGCTACAACAGCATCTGCACCATGAGGTCCAGCGTGGTTCAAGACTTCCTGGAATTTCTCCTGCAGAAGGAGAAAGGTGAGTGACAGAGTTAGGCGGTGTAAGAATTAGAGACGCCATGCAGCTTTATTTCCTGGCTGTTGTGCAGAAATTGTCCCGACTGGAGTCGCTTCCTTTCAGATTTAGATATCCAGTACAGAGCAGAGCTGGACCGCGACCCAGACGTAGATAAAGTCAAGGTGGTCACACAGTGCTACAGCACGATAGAAGCATCCTCCAACGTCTCCGAGATCTACAAGATGACAAACGGGGAAACGTCAACTTTCTGGCAGTCGGACGGCAGCGCCCGCTCACACTGGATCAGGTAAAAAGTGCGACTCTGTGGTCCCGAAACCGTCCAGTCGTGACTCTTCTAAGTCTTTCTTTTCTTTTTTTTTTCTTGCACTCTGTTCCCAGACTGAAGCTGAAACCAGATGTGGTTTTGAGACGTCTGGCCATCGCCGTGGCTTCCAACGACCACAGCTACATGCCTCAGCTGGTCTCGGTGTCTGTGGGGAAGACGCGGCTTTCCCTGCAGGAGATCAGAGACATCCGCATCCCCAGCAACGTCACAGGCTACGTGGCTCTGCTGGAGAACGCCAACATCACCCACCCCTGTGAGAGCCCGTCTGTTTGCCGTATTTAATCTCCATTAAAAAAAAAAAAAAACAAGGGTTGAACCGATATGAACCCTTAAGCTAATATCCGATATTTATATTGCCATTTAACCGAGCTCCGATATTTACCGATTAAATGCATATTTCTTTTAAAAATATGCAAAGCTACTAGAGAGCTACTTTGACAATAATATATAGTAATAGCCATAAAATTCAAAACCATGTAAACATTTTACTCCATTTCATGAGAAATTAATTTATTCTTGGCTGATCACATAAAAAAACACAAAAATACACATAACAGTTTATTTGTAATGTGAAAACATCCAAAGGAGTTGAATATTTTTGCAAAAAGCTGTATGTGACTTGATAACAATCAAGGAAAAGAAGCAGCACCGAACACACAGTAATAAACTTGAACTATGCATTTACTTCCTTTGCATAGTTTAAATTGTACTGCATGCTTAATAGCTGGGTAAGACGAGCTAAACTGACGCTCAGGTGTTCTGCAACCTAAACCTGTTTGCATATGGCGTTCACGTGAAATAAAAATAGTTTGGGCGCATTTATTATTATCTAGTGCTGCAAGAAACTTTAGAAAAGAATGGATTCCAGTCATAAAGACCTATTCCAGAAAATGTGTTTTTGTAGTTGTATTGAAGATTTACAATTTTACTTTTTTTTTTTTTTTTTTTTAGAATTGACCTTATAAAAAATTTTTGTTACATTTTTGTAGAAACAAAACCTCTACTGTAGTAATCCTTCCCTGAGAAATAAGAGTAGCTGTTGTTTTATTTATCATGTTGCACGCAGCTACGTTTCTTAAGTATTAAAATGGAAAATATGATATGACTAGATGATGTGTAAAATTTGCTTTATTGGGAACCAATTAATATAAAATAAAATAAAAAAACTAAACTTAAAAAATGAATCAAGAACTTATTTTGGGATCTAATTGCCAAATCAAAATGAATGAATTATGCAAATATTAACTAATTTCTGGCTTTTTGGTGTGGAAATTCTATTGAGGTATTGCCTAAAAAACTGAAACTGCAAAATTTAGCCTGTTTTGTTAGCTCTTTTCAAAATTGTTCCTCAGTTCTTCTTTATTTTAAGTTGTAAAGAGCCACTGCGAAGGGCTTAAGAGTCACATTTGTTTCTGGAGATGCATGCAGCAGATCCCTGGATTAGATTATTAGGTGCTAGTTGAAGGGGATTTTTAATCTCATCTAACCGCGTTTCGTCCCGAACAATTCCCAGATGTCCAAATAAACATCAAGCGGTGCCTGAGCGACGGATGCGACACGCGCATCCATGGACTGAAGACACTGGGTTATCAGATCACCAAGAGTAAAGAGGTGTCTGTCTCGGATGCTTCGGCCATTTGGTACCTGTCTCTGCTCACGTCCCTGGTCACCGCGTCGATGGAGACGAACCCAGCTCTGGCTCACACGGTCCTCCAAAGCACACAGTAAGACAGCAGAGTTGTAAAAAAAAAAAAAAAAAAAAAACGTGTCTGTAAAAGCATGTTACTTCAGGTTGTTGTCTCGGTTCTTTTTTTCCCCAGGAAAGCCTTGCAGCACATGCCGCCGCTGTCGCTAACGCCATCGTCCACAGAGTTCCCCAAGTTCTTCTCCCTAAACATCCTGGAGGAAGTGGACGGCTTTCTCCTCAGGATCGCAAAGTAAGCTGCGGTTTCTTTTTTTTTAAATCTTTTAAACGTTCAGCTTATGAACTCCTTCAGCTGCAGAGTGAACATTGTATTGATGCCACTTTGGGTTTTTCAGCTGTTGTGTGAGCCCTGATGCGGAAATGACTCTCTTGGCCTTTGCCCTGGCCAGAGGCAGCGTGGCCAAAATACTCCAGGCCCTGTCCTGCATCAGTGATTGTCTGCAGACCAAGTACAAGGCCTCCTCCCTCATCGTCTCCATGGCATCTGTTAGGCTGCGATTGCTTTATCGTAATGGTAATTTAGCTTATGCTTCACCTTTCTGATTTGCATGTTATTCCTTATCCGGGTGACCGTTCATTCTTAAAAAGTCTTAGATTTATGTATCTAAAAATAAAGCATTGCAAGGTCTTCATTTAATAAAAAAAAATGTCTTAAATTTTGAAGAGGGAGAATTATTTAACTTCATATATTTTATTTATTCTTCTTTTCGGCTATGTTTGTGTCTTTACTAGGCTAAATGAAAATAAACATGCAGATTTAAAATAAGCAATAGAAATTCAAATTCTCAAATACTTTATTGATCCCAAAGGGAAATTCAATAAGGCGACGATCAAAAGACTGTTATTCTTGTGATCTCATGCTTCTATATAGAAATACTTTTCACCCTTTTTTTTAAACTAATTATTCAAGAGCCTATAAAAAGACACCACCAGCTTAGATAACATCCAATTCCAGATGTTTTTCTTATTCAAAAAGCAGAGTAACAACTGTAACTCACAGCAATAATTCAAGTTACAAGGAAAAAACATTTTTCATTAAGTGTCAATTAATTATGTGGATATACAGCAGGTCTTCAATTTATGTATCTAAAATTGAGCCGTAAACTCTTTAAAAAATCAAAGTTAGCTTTAAACTGGTCTTAAATGTTGTAGTGGCAGGACTATTGACTCTTGTATATTCTACGCTTTTTTTCTTTTTGGTTATGTTTGCATCTTTACTGGGCTTAATAAGAGGAGACGCACAAAAAAACGTACAGATTAAAAAGAAACTGTAGCAGCCACTGCTAACTAGCTACTGACATATCCCTTGCTAGCTCGATTTTTTTAATCTATCATGGGTAATTGTAAATTTATCGCTAGTTGGCTGGACGACATTCGTCTTTGCTATTGTCTCGCTTCTGTTGCCCATCTGTGTGCACAAAAGCCTGTCACTACTGCTATGTAAAATATAATTTCTTTTGAAAATCTCTGTCTTATAAAGGTCTTAAATTTGAGTGGGCGAAATCTGCTGAACCCCTTCGCATGTGTATCTTCTGAAGGGACGATGGCGTTTATTTGAACCCAAACTGTGACTCGTTGCAGGAAAGCCTCTCCAGCTCCACCTGCAGGCCTGTGACGTCAAGAGCAAAGAGGAAAAGTCAGGACCGGAGAACATGCTCACAGAGTTTTCCACTGGAGATGGTACAGCAGAACTAAACTCAGTCTGGAAATGAAGGGCAGCAGGACCATCCGCTCACGTGGGATGCTTGCTTTTTTTTTGTCCCCCCCCGCTCCAGGTTTCCTCACAGAAAGCGGCAGGAAGAAAGCCAGCGTCATCCTGTCCACGGAGGACCAGAGCAACTTCCAGGTCACACAGATGAAGATCAAAGTAAGACGCCACCGTTTCGCATGTGTAATGAGAGAGCTGAGAACATTTCAATCAGTCAGTCATTTTATTCACTCGCTTTAGCAAATGTCCTCATTAATTCTGAAACATGTTTTCTGTACGAGCGAAAAGGGAGCAGGAAGAAGAAAAAGTCTTGAATAAACTTGCGCCTTTCTCAATAATTACAAAATAAATGTTCAACTAGCAATTTAAGTTGTAAACAATCTTCATTACTAACTCAGACTTTTTGTTATTATAGAGTTTTTAATTGAATTTATGAGTCTGGAAGTAGATATTTTTTCAACTTCTCATCCACATAACTTTACTCTTCCATAACTTTACTCCATACACTAAAACACAGCTGTTTCATAGCAGTACGCACAGTTTTACTTCTGAAATCTGACTTCTTTCCGCTGTTCCTGTCATTTGAGTTTAAAAGAAAGAACTTTTCTGAATTAATTGGCAATAATCTCTTTCTTGCTTTACACATAAATAATAGCAATTCAAAATGAACAAAATCCCCTAATGTCAAGGTATTTGATTGAAATATCATTTTTATATGAAAGTCTGATGACTTATGAAGGGCGTTGATTATTTTTGCATTGCTGTCGATGTGATCAGGTGCGAAAAGGAGCGATCGGAGCTAAATGTGGCTTGGTGTTTGCATACATGGAGGAGGAATCTTTTGATGCAGAGAAACATTTCAAGAGGTTCAAAAAGTACGACTCGTGGAACTACAAGGACTACAAAGAGTTTGTACAGGACAGGTGAGGATTTCTCCTCGATTTTTCTTTTACAAAACTATTCACAACTTTCTAAGTTTATCATATTACTAACACCGGTTTCAAATATTCAAAAGGAAATTGTACGTGAAAAGATATTGCATAATTGTGAAGCAGAAGTAAAATATGCGGCTTTCAGACTTATTTACAAGTAAAGATGTGAAAAGTGCGGCGTGCTTTTTGAGTTCGGCTTTCTAGGAAATGTAGTTTCATCAAAGTTGATTTATGATTTAACGAGGCAATTGCTTTCCCAGAGGAACAGGATGGTGTGGGTACCCTTTTTCTTTCCTTGAATAAATGAAATTGTTGCCTGAGACTCACGTTTTATGTTTACTCGTACTGTCTCTGTCCACCATTCAACTTTTTTTCATGATCTGAAACATGCAAGACTGACAGAAAGGTGCAAAAAGAAAATAAATCTGTAAAGAGACAAACACTTTGTCACACCGCTGCATGTCCCTTAACGCCATAAGTGTCTTCATTGGAGGTCTGTGTAGTTTATCTTCTTTAAATCTCTCTGTCACATTACCTGCAGCGGGAAGATTTCAGCGCAGAGTGAGGATGAGCCGATTGGCTGGTTTGAACTTGAAGAGGACTGGAATGATGTGGAAATCAAGCTGCAGCAGTGTCGCGTTGCCAAGGTGCCATTTCAAACTTTTTATTTACTTTTTCTGTTTTCTCCCAACTTCTTTTCTTGTAATTAGTCCAATTTTTGCACTGGTTTGCATAGATTGGCTGTGATATACCTAAGCCTGTTACAATAAGCACTTAATCAATAATTTCCATTCTGATTGATAATATTTTTTGAAGGGTAATTTTGTTTATGTGCGCCTTTATTTCCTTTTTATTGTTTTTGGTTGCTGTGTTTTATTTTGGATATTTAAAATATTTTCCAGTTCCAAGTTTTATCAGTCTTTGACACAATGAACTTACATTGTTCTACCCCACCATTATATTAGTTGCAAATGATGTTAAAACTATAATGTTATTGTTTACCGCAATCACTGCTAGGACAATTTGTTATCGTGACAGATTTGGTAGAATCGACATCTTATTGTTTTGTCTTCTCAGTTCCTGATGGTGAAGTTCCTCTGCACCAGGCAGGACTCGGCCGAGCGGCTAGGCGTGCAGAATCTCAGCTTCAGCGGCTACCTGTGTCCTGGAACGGAGAGGCTCGTCGACCTTGATGACCTCGGAGGACAGGGGGACGGCCTGGACCAAAACGGAGTCACCGGCCTTTGTCTTCTCAATAAAACCCTTTTCTTCATACAGCAGCTCACACGAGACATGGTAACGCAGCACAGCTTGTTGAATTTGGTTACATTTTTGGTACAATCGGATCTTCACTGTATCAGAAACAGAGCATCCATCCTTTGGAAATCATATTGTAGAGATGTGGAAATGAAAACGGAAGGAGGTCCTCCTCGGAAAATGTTTGAAAGACGTCCAGGAAGCCTGGACGGCTATTGATCCAGACTTTAAAAGAAAGTCTGAGTCATTGTTGGAAGGACGATACAAAGCATTCAGGGATGACTCAACACTTCTGAACAGCAATGTCTATTCATGGGAAATTTCCTCAATTTCCACAAAGAAACACTAAAAACAAATCAAAACACATATACGTTTGTTTTATTATTGCTAAAGTAGCATTTAATCCAGCTGGAATGTGTGATTTTCCTTCCTCTGTGCTCATTTCTTTGTTCATATTCAGTCCCTCTGCCCTCTAGTGGCTTTGAGGAGATATTGCAGATTTTATACTCGTTTGATCAGATTGACTCAACTATGTTGTTTCTGCAGGATGCCTCACACTTCAAGCAAAAGTATCTTCTGGACTTCAGTGGTCTCAGCCTTATCCTTTTCTGGAACTTCTACAATAAACTCAGGGAGATGTGAGTAATCAGATTACCTCTGGTGCTTATTCACAACCCATAACACACGGGCCGCACGGATTTCGTGAAGTTCTCACCTGCTGGCGCGTCAGAGGCCACTTTTAAGTTATCAGCCTTCATGCAATATTTATCAGGCATGGTGCAAGAGTTCATCCCAAAGGATATTTTAAGAACTGTTTTAAAGAACGTCATTGCTTCTTAAGGAAAATCACTTTTTCAGAAGCTTCTTAAGAGTTGTAAGAACAAATGCTGAAGGATCAAAATAATCACTTAAGTTTATGTTATGCACTTATAAAATAATTCAGTTGGTTTTTAAAAATGAAAAATATGTATATTTTATTGCCTACAATGCAATAACATAACATTCCTTTAGTGTAAATCTGCAGCTAAACAAATTCTTTCTAACATCAAAAAATGAAAAGCTCAGCCTTTCCTGCTTGACTTTACATCAAAATGGATGCATTTGCTGTGCAGTTTTGGCTTTATTGTTGCTCCGACTGTGTTCTTATGTCAGCAAATAATCGATTCGTCACGATGCATCCGATTAATCGTTTCAGCCCGACACTGTTGGAATAATAGTGTCGGGCTCTTAATGGTTGGCAATCTCTGTGTTGCAGTGAGGGAGAGGAGGTGTTGAAAAGCAGAGTCCTCCTGCTTCAGTTGATGCAGAACTGCTTCCCCATGCTGCCCAACCCGACTGAGCTCCAGGACGCAGAAGAGAGTAAAAGACCAGAAGAATGTGCCCCTTCAGCAGCTGCAGCAGCTGCAGCAGCAGCAGCAGCAGCAGCAGCTCCGTCTACATCCAGCAGTGGAGATTCTGAGAGTATCTCTGCGAAGGCTGTGTTGGAGCTCTATACTCACCTTTGCCACAGTAAGAACAAGAGCCAAAGTCATGCAGGGCAGCACGAGGGGTCACTTGGGTCGGCGTTTGACAGCCATGACTCTTGTGTTTCAGTTGTGGATGGTCCAGAAGGAGAGACTGTCATTGAAACCATTTTGCACAAGGAAGCGGTTAAAGCCATTCTGAATGGAGCTGCTGTTTTCTTCCCTGATAAACTCGACAGGCGGGACAAGCTCTTCCACATGATGGTGATTTTCACAGTTTTTCCCGTCTTAATACAGCTGAAATTGGAATCTAGAAAAAATCTCGCCCATTCCTGTCAACTGTTTTCTAGAAGAAATTAAACTCCTATCATATATAAACCTATCATTTATAAAGCAATATTTATTACTGATTGGTATTTAGGTAGCAGGTTTAGTGATCTGAGTCGCTTGTTTTTGCAGAAAAATATCACTGAAGATGATCAGCCAGAGTCGGTGAAGGTGACGTTCGAATCTCTTTGTAATTATTTCAGGTAAGAATACACATCCAGACACACCTACATGTATTTTACTCATACATGAGACAATAACTGTATATCAGTAACAGGTGCGCTGTCTTTGCACAGTAATCAGGATCCAAGCGGCCTTCTCCTGCTTCCCCCCAAAGGAGCTCCCTCAGACTTCGACATCAGCCCCATACTGGTAGTGATGGAGACGCTGCTACTCGTCGCATCAAGAGAGGTGATTTCGGACTTTCATCATGTATTTGAATGTTGTACTGCGTCTGCTCGGAGCATCAAATCGAACATCCCTTCTGAACATTTGGACTTTCAGTGCGAGGTGATGATGGTGGATGGGAAGGCCGGAGCCAGCAGGAAGGTGTTGCTGTCTCTGTTCTGGGCTCTGCAGGGCAGCCTGCTTTCCTGGTGCTACCTGCAGCTCAAAGGTGGAACGTCCACACCCACCGCGTGCGATCTGGCCAGAGACATCCTTCTAAAATGTGAGCCATTTTAACAGGGGTTGCATTTTTGCATTTATTTAATTTCCAATACAGTGCTGTACAAACGTAATCATACAGGAACAATAATGAGCACTGTTTGATTCAAGGGTGTGCACGTCCTTAATAAGTCTTAAATTCATGTATCTCAAATTAAGGCCTTAAAATGTCTGAAATATGCTTAAAAGATGTCTAAAGTTGATCTCACGAGAATAATTTCTTCCTTAATAGTTGTCCATATCTACGTGTGCTTGTGTATATACGTGTATATATACTTTTATCATGACAGAAATGTATAAATAAATAAATGCGTCACACGCATTTGGTGTGAACGCGCCGTTACGTTTGAGTTGCTGAAACCTGCAGAAAACCTGAATACGACCAAAGATGTTCACCACTCCTGTCGTGCACATGTTCCTCCAGATGTGGATCAGTTCTTGGGAAGCATCAAGGCAGTGCTGGGCTCCCTGCTTGAGAGGTTCACCAGCAGCGACATCAACAACAAACTGGGCAGCTCCATCCTCGCCACCATCTTCAGACAGCTGGTAAAGCGTACTTTCTCTCATGGATTCGAATGACTCTGATACGCAGGGACAGAGCCGAAGTTTCACTGGAGCATTTAATCAACATTTCTTCATCTCCTGCCAGATGATTTTCCTCTTGGAGCTGTGTTCGTTGGACATTCCCCACAGCGTGCTGCTGAAGAGCTTCTCCTCGTTGGTCGAGCTCCTCAAAAGACTGTCAAGTGACACAGGAGACATATTTTCTAAGGCGAGTCTGTCAGATGCACAACATAGCTGGTCTTAAATTAAGTTGCGACGTTGTTGTTAAGCCGACTCTGTAGCTGAACTTTATTGTCGTTATAACGACCAAAGGTGGATCAAGAGAGCTCCCACCAGCCTCAAAAACCAGTGGTGCTCAGAACGTGGAACATGGAGTCTCCTCACAACTACGAGAACAGCCAACACGAGACCACCGTCTTCGCTTGTCCCGGCGCGACCTCCTTCGAGGTGGAGTTTGACGAACGCTGCGAGACGGAGAAGAGGTCGCCGATGCGCCGCAACACTTTCCCACACATCTGTTGGGGGAAACTCTTAGTGAATGCGTCTCACTCAGCGTTTCCACTTGATCTTCACAGGTACGACTATCTAGAATTCACCGACTCCAGAGGTGGGAAGGTGCGCTACGATATGAAGGTCGGGAGTGAGAAATGGCCAAAGGTAAGCGAGCCAAAGCCAAGTAACTATCAGAGTGGAAAGCTGTTGCCACTTCATCCCGCTACGCGTTTGTCTCTCCGCTCCTACAGAAGGTGACGTTTGACGCTGGACCCCAGCTGCAGTTCCTGTTCCACTCTGACAGCAGCAATAACGAGTGGGGATACAAGTTCACGGTGACGGCGCTGGGTCTGCCAGACATTACCATTTCCTGGATGTCGGACCAACAGCTATTGGTGGCCCGCCTCATGGGTCGCCTTGCATCCAGAACCCTGGCACTAAAATCTCCTTACGGTGAGTTTTAAAACTCCAACAGGACGATCGCAGTTGCTTTGTTTCGATTGTTATTATTCTGACTTTTAAGCGTAAATCAAAGCGGTTACATTCATGTATTCTGTTCTTCTTCAGAGATCCGCAGCGTGAAGGAGCTTCCGCCAGGAAAAATGTCTCACGTTCAGGCTTCACCTTTATGGAAGCCCATCCTGCGACACGGTTTGAGTGAAACTCGGGAGGCAAATCCCACTAGAAAAGCCCCCAACCAGGTAGGGGGTTAGTCTGCTTCAACTGTGGGCAACTGTGGCTGTGTGGGTAGAGTAGTCGTTTTGCGATCAGAAGGTTGTAGGTTCGATTACAGTTTCCTCCTTAAGGTACTTAACCCCAAATTGCGTACCTAGTTTAAAGCTCTCTGAGTGGTCAAAATGACTGGAAAAGCTGAGTTCAGTCCATTTTCCCACAGTTTTTAATGGTTGCTTCACTTTAAATAACACATAGTGACATTTTGGAATGTCTTGTATGTATCGTTCCCTTAATATTAGACATAAACCCTCCAAGTTTTCATCAATCTTCCATGATTGATTAGCGTCGTTGAGCCATCCCACATGACAGAAATGACCGTTCTCTTTTATTTGTTCCCGCAATTTGTAGACAAACCCATCAACTTTCGCTGAGATCTTGGTCTTCCTTGAGGACTTTGCACGGTGGAACCCTTCGCAGGAACCATCGGAGCATAAAGCAGAACTAATGCGGACCCTGGTGCAGGCTTGCAGAAAGCACTCCCTGAGCAATGAAATCGTTGCCGGGGCAAAGACGGACCAAGCTGTGAACGCCATCTGGGCAGCCATGGTGTATCACACCCCGGCCCTCAACCAGGCCCTGAAGGCATATGGTAACGCTAGCTCTGATTGGCTGTCAGGTTTCCTAGCGATAATTGGACCTGGTTGTTAAATCTAGCCAATGTATTGCTCCTTTGTGTCTCCAGTTAATCAGGACTGCAAGTCCTTTCTGAGTGAAGATTTTGTGCAAGTTTACGTCCTGGCTGACAGCATCAGAACATGGATGGTGAGTTTTCCTCCCATGATTTATGTCTGTATCAAATCACTGCTCCTTATTGCATTTTTTCCGTCTCAGTTGGAGATGAAGCAGAGATACCTCGTTGGAAAAATGAACATTTATGATGATAAAGAAGGGAGTCCAGAGGAAGTTACCGTGGATTCTCTGGGTAAGGAATCCAGATAATCTCATTCCGAACGTTCGCCTCTTGGAGAGCATTCGCTCATCGTCGCCACTGTCTTTTTTCCAGCTGAGGCGTGCATCGAGAAGAGCCTCCTGCTGTTTCGTTTTCCTCCATGTGGAAAGTCATGTCTGGGTGCTGGGGACTCAAATACTCATCTGCTCCGCTCAAGCTCGATCTCAGAAGGAGACTTCCAACCCGCCTCCCCGCAGCCGGGATTACCCAACGAGGCCGTCGACGGCAGGCTTGGACAGAGTCAGCCGTCCGCCTCTCTGCCCCCAAACCCCTCATCCTCCGAGCAGAGCAGGCGGGGCCACAAGGACCCCGCGGAGAGTCTGCCCGCCCACCCGGCGGGCGGGGAGCCGGCCTCTCCCTCCACGTTCCCCCGTAAAGCTCCGTTCAGCCGCTCGCGCCTTCGCCTCCTGTCCTGTCGCTCCGTGGAGGAATCCCACATGACCCCCTCTGTCAAGGAGCGCTACCCAATACTCAAACACATCCTGAACTTTATGAAGGACCAGGCTCTCACCACAGCAAGGTACACTGTTAACGCCAGATTGTTCTGTAAAGTCCATCAAAGTTACTTCAGATGTAAGATTTTACACCATAGCCACTTTTTCTAATCATTTCTTGCTTTTTGATACAGATCGCTACTAATGAAAAATGTATCAGGTTTATCAGACATGCTTAGTGATTGTGCCAGTGATGAATATGTGTTGTAAACAGATTAGTAACTAACTAATTTGTATGTACCAATTAGGGAGGTTAAAGTTGATCTACTACTTTAATGCCCCCGTTTTGAAAGTTTGTCTGTAACAAACAGCCTCTAAGAAGTAATGCAGGATTACGAGTTTATTGTCACTGTATATTTGTTAGTGGGTCTGAAACAATTAGTCAGATGAATCGATTATCATCAACCAATTTGGTAATCAATTAATCATTAAGTGGAGCATACAGACTCAAAAATGTGATTTGCTGGGAAAAAAAGAAAAACTCGCTCAGAGAAGTAATTAAGCCAGAATTGTACAAAAATATGAACATTTTGCTTTAAAGAAGAAAAAAACCCAACTAAGTTTGTAAATATTTACTGCTCAGAATTTCTTCAGTAGCTTAATTTTAGGTTCACCTGGTCCAAATTCTGTAAAAAAATATATATTTAAAAAATCTCTTATTAAGCACCTATTGCTGAGCTTTTCACATATTGAGAATTTTTTTTTTCCTTCAAGTGGTCAAGCACACTAAATTATTGCATTTTAAAGACCAAAATATATATATTTTTTAAGTTAAAAAAATTAATTATTAGATTATTTGCACCTTTGAATGCATTTCTAATACTCATTAAATAAATTGAATTAAAAAAAATGCTTAAGAGGTCAAATAGAAAATACTCAGAATTTTACAATAAAAAAAATTCAAATCAGAACAATCGTAAGATAATCAATTATTCTAATACTTGCAGACCTGTTTTCTCTGTGACCCAAAATTCCACTGGAAGTTAACTGTAACATCGTCTGAATTGTTGTTTCCTCCCGCCAGCATCTTGCAAACCTTGGCCCTGAACAAGGCGCAGGCTCTGAGTGTGTGCAAGGTGCTGGAGATGATTCAGCAGAGTTTACGTTCCCTGGGAGAGCCGCACCTCTTCCAGCCGCACTGCATCCTGTTCCTGCAGGAGCTTCTGGCCTGCCAGAAAGACTTCACCAGGTAGGTCGACCGACCGACAGTCCAGAACGCGCGAGCGTCCTGCACGCTCGACGGTGATCATGAATCGTTTTGTGTGCTTTTCAGTTACTTCTCCCAGTTGTCAGACGGCGGGCAGAAACTTGGAGAGGAGGTCAGGCGTTCTTACCATCAGCTGGTCCTCATGCTGGTGGAGGCAGTTCAGGGCTTCAGCAGTCTCAACGAAAAGTAAGACGTTTCCTCATATTCCTATTTTTTCTCAGAGCAGATTAAAACGTGTGTGTTTAGTGTGCAGTCAACTGATCCCGATCTCTGCTCTCCAGAGCTCTGCTCCCAGCCCTGTCGTGTGTGCAGAGCTGCTTTTTGCACCTCCTGGACATGAACTGGGAGGTGCAGGACCTTCCCCTCTTCCAGAGCATAAAGCTTCCAGTGCTCCTGCTCACGATGTCGCAGGAGAACATCAGTGTTCATGACATTGCCATCAGGTAAGCGAAACATAAGGTGACTTGTCTAACGCTTGCCGCCTCGTTTCGAAGTCTAAAAGGTTCACTGCCGTTGTTTCAAACTCAGTCAGTGGACGGAGGACGATGAAATTGCCGACTACAAGAAGAACCAGGAATGGATGGATGAGTGCATGGACGGCATGTTTGAAAAGTGGTACGACAAAATCGACGAAGAGGAGTCCGTGGAGGACAGGAGGAAGGTATTCTAAAGAGAATAATAGACGTGACGTTTTGGTTAGAAAAGGGGTAGAGGTACCTGATTTGTGCCTGTTTATTACAAATTCATATCTAAATGCATTTTTCCTGCAGATGCACATGTTTATTGCCCGCTACTGTGACCTGCTGAATGTGGTGATTTCCTGCGATGGCTGTGAGAGGATGGCTCCATGGCACCGCTACCGATGTCTGCAGTGCATGGATATGGACCTATGCAAGACCTGCTTCCTCAGTGAGCGCATACATCACGCTACAACAATTTATTCAAACGATCTGCATCACAAAATCAGTCCCCAATTATTCCCAAGACGCAACATTTTGCAGGGTGCCGCATCCATTCCGTGAAACAAAACTTGGCACTATTACTACATAAGATCTAGAAATTTCTTTTGTACGTTTGTGCCTTGTGCGTGTGATGCAGGTCTCATAAAGTCTTTCAGCTGTTGAAACCTGCAACAAACAGTCAGAAAGTGATTAATGGATTCAAACGGAGGGTCTTTGTTTGTGTTCAGGCGGAGCCAAACCCGAAGGACACGAGGACGATCACGAGATGGTGAACATGGAGTACGCCTGCGATCACTGCCAGGGCCTCATTGTTGGCAGCAGGATCAATTGCAACGTCTGTGAGGACTTTGACTTGTGCTTTGGTTGCTACAACGCCAAAAAGTATCCCGACAGGTAGATTGTTTTGACACCTGCTTTTAAAAACGCTTAGAATTTTGTGGCTCTCTGTAGCTTCTTTTATTGTTTTTTTATTTTTTAGCCATTTACCCACCCATCGCATCACTGTGTACCCCATGGTGACCATACGGATCAGTGACCGTCACCGCCTCATCCAGCCCTACATCCATAACTACTCGTGGCTCCTGTTTGCTGCTTTGGCCCTGTACTCCTCTGAGCTGAGCAGTGAGAAACAAACGGAGGGAGAGCGTTTAGACGGCAAAACCCTGGAGCTGGCTTCAGACCTGCAGGCGCACTGCTCCCAGCTTATCACTGACTGCTTGCTCAAAGGCCAGACTGGCAAAGGTATGTCTGAGCCAGTCATTTTTGTATCTTATTTTCAAATTTTTGTTCAGTTAGGGACATCTTATTGTTAGTCCAGCAATAGGTTGTATTCTGGTGATACTGAGACAGAAACATTAAAAAAAAATAAATAAATAAAACAAACATGTGGAGGGAAGAAAGGAAATGGGATTTAAATTAACAAATGAAAAAACAGAGGAAAAGAGTTAAAGGAAGTGAAATGCATAGGAGGAAAAAGAGGAAAAACAGTCAGAGAGATAGGAAGCAATAAATGAGAGATAAAAGGTAATTTTATTTCTATAGCACATTTTCAGCAACAAGGCAATACAAAGTGCTTTACAGGACTTAAAAGGAAATACAAACAAAATAACAAACCAAAAGAGAGCAAAAGAAGAAAAAGCTAGTAATGTTGGTAGATTAGTTTCCTCTGATCTATTTCCTTTTCTGGGTTGGAAGAATAGGAGTCTAAAAAGTAGTAGCTAAGGTAGTTTTTCTAGGTTCTAAGTTTGTTCTGATTCCTTTCTGGGTTGCAATAATAGGAGTTTCTCTGCATCTAAATAGTGAGGACTAAAATATAAGCTAAAGAGTGACCAATAAACTAGCAAAATACAGGAGAATAAATGAAGGAATGAAAGTAAGGACTCAAAAAAAAGGGAATAAAAATGTATCGGAAACAAGCAAAAGAGGGATGTAAAGGTAGGAAAGAAAAAAGTACTTTAAAGGTTGGAGAGGAAATGAAAGAAGGAAACTGAACGAATAAACAGAAAGGTGGAAACACAGAAAGGAGTGGGAGGAAAGAAATGAAGACACAGAAGACAGACGGGAAGAAAGGAGAGAGAAAGACTGAAAAAGAAAAGAAAAAAGTCCACAGCTATCAGAATCTATTAATGGGCTTCCAAAAATCCCTGACATGTTACAGAGTTTGTTCTTTAACACATCTTCACCTTTCTGTGCTTCACTCAGGCCTCCGCTCCTCCAACCTGCTCGCTCTGCTCTCCTCCAACGAGTCGGCGTCCGAGAGCGAGCTGGGCCCGGCGTCGCCTCAGACCTCTCAGGAGCTCAGCTCGGCCACGGACACCTCATCGCTTCCAGGCAGCACGGCCGCCGTCTGCTCTCCGCTGTCCCCCAAGAACGAGGTCGGCAACAACCCGACGGCGTGCGGCTGTGCGGACGTGAAGCGGACTTTAAATCGTATCGTTCTCTTTCCTCCTCAGCTTAAAGACGAAAAGGCAGTGGAGCCGAGTCCTCCTCCCACCGCTCCTCCTGACTTATCCATACCCCGAAGCTCTACAGAGGGAGACAAAAAGAAGCTGGTTGCTCAGGACACCCTGGACTCAGGTAGTCTCAGCCAGACCCCCTCCGTCTCCAGCGAGGACCCACTTTCTCCTGTAGTTCGACGTAGGTGTTTCGATCCCTCGCAAAGGGCTAATCACCTCACAGTTTATTAGTGACTCTAGGAAACTATTTTTTCTTTTAACAACTTTTCAGCTTCAGAGTCGGCACCAGGAACTCTCAACTCCCCAGCATCTGACTTCGTCAAGGAGACGGACGAGAGGGTGGCGCAGGTCCCGCTGCAGGAGCACGTGTTCTCCGAGTGCTCCAGGGAGAGGATTCTAGGACTGCTGGCGGCGATGCTCCCATCAGCAAAACCAGTATGTGGAGCTAGTTGTTTTTTGCGGGGAGTTGCTGTGCAATTTATATGTTAGGAGACTGTGGAAAAATAAAATTGTCGCTCGAATGGATTCAACCTTTTCCTCTTGCAGTTTAAAGTGGCAGCAGGGTCATATTTCTAGGATTAGCCCTTTTAAACCTTTATATAAATGAATCCTTTTAAAATAACCTCGGTTTCTGAAGCAGTGAGAATTCCAGTTTGTGCATTATTTGCATTATTTCTTAAGTATCTGCATTTTTCAATGAAAAAATAAACAAAATGTAATGCAGAGTTTGTCCAAGTGCTTGAAATCTTTGAAAACGCTTGGATTCCATGTTGGGGTCAAGGGTCGCGAAGTGATTCGTTTCCGCATGAGGTGCTGTAAGGCGCTTCATATTTTCAATTTAACTTTCGACCAAAGGGCTAAATGTGAAAAGCGTTGTTTGTAGATGAAGCCAAATATTTTCACACACGAAACAAAAAAGACATAAAAATTATTTCTCACTGCCTTAAGTGAAATCAGACCAAATTTCAGCTTAGTCACCACGACAAAAATTATTTCTGGTTACTAAATGGGAAAAAAAATATTTGAAAGAAAATTTTTAAGAAATCTGTTGTTTTTTTTTGTAACATGTATGTGAGAGATTTCAAAACATAAAATTTTGTCATATTGTATTTTACCTCATCCCTGCTGTAGAATACTTTCACTAGATATTAGTAACAGTAATAATAAGTTATATTATACAGCAGTGAATTGAAGCTGTCTTTTTATTTATTTATTATTTGACTGACTGCTGGCAACATTTCCATTTCCACTCCCGTGTCCACAGGGCAGCACCCTCAGCCTGTCCAGCCTGAGCTCCATCCTGCCTCGCCTTTTCAGAGCGGTCATCTCCAACGCCGGCTCCCTGAACGAGACCTACCACCTCTCCCTCGGGCTCCTGGGCCAGCTGCTGCTCCGGATCACTCCGGCGGAAGCCGACGGCGCCGTCACCGAGGCGCTGGCGGACAAATACGAGCTGCTGGTGCAAGGGGACGCCGCTTGTTCAGACACTCAGGGCTGGAAGACCACCCAGCTGCTGTTCAGCCTCGGAGCCGTGTGTCTAGACAGGTAAACGAAGCCACAGCACATCCTCCAGATATTGTGTCTGGATGAAAACATTCATTAGAATACGTCTTAAAATCTTTATTTCTGTTACTTGTCATTATTTTTCTGCTTACAGCTGATAAAACCACGTTTAGGAATAGAACATTACATCAAATCAATTTAAAAAAATCCATACAAAATTCTGGACTATAAACCTCTAAACAGGTTTTTATGAACCTGCTTGCAGGTTCATAAAAATACTTTTAATCTGACAAACAAGCCTCTTTGGAATACATACGCTGATTTATTGAGTGTGACTTTATGCCTGGCAACTCCTTTTTATAGCATTTAGAATGAATCAGGTTTATTTCTGTAGCAAACTTTCAGCAACTAGGCAACAAATCGCTTTACATCATAAAAACACAAAAATAAAAACAACTTGCAGTCACCAATTGGAGAAACCAGCAGCAAACATCACGCTTTGTCGAGTGTCTTCCTCAGTATATATGTACAATATATGTTGGTCAGTGTTTGATTTGCTGTGGTTTAAATGCAGCTCGAAGCAGGAGGGATTTTAGCCTCGATTTGAAGGAACTCTGCGTTTCGGCTGTTTTGCAGTTTTCTGGAAGTTTGCTCCAGATTTGTGGTGCGTAGAAGCTGAATGCTGCTTCTTCATGCTTGAAGACAAGTTAACTGCCGGCCCAAAAAAAGAAAAAGCGAATTCATTGGTTCTGGCACATGAACCACTACAAATCTGCACCAGTCAAAGTCTTCAGAGGAAGAACTGATAAAAGCTAATCGTTTCCTGTAATATTGATGTTTGGTTTTATTATTATTATTATTATCATTGCAGCCAAAAGGGAGGTGTTGGAATTTACATCGTTTTGCCTCTAGTGTAATGTCACTTATTAAACTTTTAATCAAGAAACAAAAAAATGTGCGATTACAAGTGAAATATTGCCTAGTTGTGTTCGGACCAGATTGGATCTCTAAAGCCTGTTTTGTTCTGATGTTCTCCAAAGTTTGACAAGTATCCATCAAGTCCACAAGAGTTCTTTACCAGAGAAAATGTGACAGATTCACACATTTCATTTCCCTTTCGGGATAGACGAAGCACTTTTGAACTGAACTGTTTGCAGTCGTATCGGTCTGGACTGGGCGTGCACCGTGGCGGACATTCTGCACACCCTGAACACCTGCCCCGAGTGGAGCGCCGTCATCGCCGCCTTCACCGACCACTGCGTCCAGCAGCTGCCCCAGACTCTGAAACGAACCAACCTCTTCACCCTGCTGGTGCTGGTGGGCTTCCCCGAGGTAAGCCGTACGCGCCGCCTGAACGCGTCCTGAGGGAGCTTGGCGACGGTAACTCCTGGCGGTGTCTCTCCAGGTGCTGTGTGTGGGAACCCAGACGGTGTTCATCGACAACGCCAACGAACAGCACAACATGATCCTGCTGAAACACTTCACGGAGAAGAACCATGCCGCTGTGGTCGACGTTAAAACGCGCAAGAGGAAAACAGGTTAGTCCTGTAATAACGGAGGGGAAGACTGCTGATGGTGTGGAGATCCTTAAAAAAAATTTAAGTTGGCCTTAAATACATAAATCACAGGTCTCTAATTTTGTCATGGCAGGACTATTTAATCTTGCGTATTGTTGTGGGCTGTGTGTAGTTCGTTGTTGGTAATCTGTGAGTTTCTTTCACAGTGAAGGATTACCAGCTTATCCAGTCTCAGGATTCCACCACAACCAGTCTCCCAGCACAGCCAGCGAGTCACAGCTGCCAGAAAACTCTCCTGAGTCGCTACCTGAGCAATTTCACATCCATCATCAGCCACCTTTTACAGGCGAACCAGGATAACGGTTTTCCTGACGCAGTGGAGGCTTCTTGGGTGCTCTCTCTGGCTCTCAAAGGACTCTACAACACGCTGAAGGTAGCTGCTAATCCGAATCCACACGCGGTCCCCTGAATGTTGCTTTCCTCTCACTGCGCTCTGCTCTCCTGGGTAGAAGCACGGCGTGGAGCACGCGCACGAGGCCATCCAGCAGTCCGGCCTGACGCAGCTGCTGGTCAGGAAGTGCAGCAAGGGGACGGGCTTCAGCAAGCTGTGGCTGCTGCGGGACCTGGAGATCCTCTCCATCATGCTGTACTCCTCCAAGAGGGAGATCCACTCCATGGCCCAAGACCCCGAGCGAGACCAAAGAGAGCAGGAGAAGGAGCACGACTCGGACCACTCCAGCTGTGGCGCAGACGACGCCGACACCAACAGGCCCGACCCCTTGGAAGGGCTCGATGAGGAGACGAAGATTTGCTTCCAGGTGGATAAGCAGAATGTTTGGAAAGACATGCAGTAAAATAACTACGAATATTCTAAGCATAGTTTTTTTTTTGTTTTCTTTTTTTATGTAGATCACCCATGATGCCTTAAACGCTCCTCTGCCAATTCTGCGCGCCATGTATGAGCTGCAGATGAAGAGGACCGACTCCTTCTTCCTGGAGGTGCAGAAGAGGTCAGCATCACCAAGACGTCAACTTAATTTTCCGTCCGGTAGACTCGGCGATGCAACATTTGTTCTGTTTTCAGCTGCTGCAGCTCACTTTCACATTCCACTGTGTCAAACAATCCATCCTAACTGATTAAAAAAACCTATTCCCCTCCTCGCCTGTGGTGGCGCTGCACCAGGAACCACTGAAGGAAACGACACAAAACTTTTGAAAAAGAACTGAGCGCAACTTTCTTCTATGAGAAATGTGATTTAAAAAACGGAGTGGAGTGAGATCTTACCGGTTGGAGAATTTTTTTTTTTTTTTGTCTTTCGTAAAAGACAAAGAGCCATTATTCCCATGTTGTTTTGGGATGCATTTACCCAGAATCCCCTGCACTGCAATCTGCTTCCTGCTGTTGGAGCCGACCAAAAGCATCCACATATGCATTAAAACGGCGGAACAGACCAGGGTTCTCTGTTTCGGTCCACGTCACACCTCACCAAAAGAACCGGACTTTCTAGGCAAACAAACTGGACTTAAAGCGAACTAATGGGGGCTGGTGTGAATGCACCCTTAAATGTTTTCTCATACTAAATGGACAGTTTGGTTGAAACAATACAATGAGAGACATCAATTCTTTATTGAATTTAATTTAATAGATCAACACAAATCAATTGTAGAGTAGAGTAAAAAGAGGATGTATGGTTTCCTTTTTTTATTGATAAATGGAAACAGTAAAAGATGTATTCAGCCCCTTTTAGTCTGACGCACCTAAATGAAGTGTGTTTTCAGGTTCGATGGAGAGGAGATTAAAACGGATGAGACAATCAGGACTCTTGCTCAGAAGTGGCAGCCATCCAGGCGGCTCCGCTCCGAGGAGAGAAACACCAAAGCTGTGGACACTGACATGATAGTGATTTCTTGCATGGTAAGCTGTCTGAAATTTTAAAAATCCTTCTTTTCTTTTCTTTTTTTTTTTAAGCAGTCATAGCTCTACTCTTTACTCCTCTGCGTCTCCCCATAGTCTAAGCCCAGTCACTGTGAAAAAGCAACAGAGGAAATCAACGTGGTGGCCCAGAAGCTCATAACCAATTCGGAGACCGACTTGCAGCTCAGCTACGCCAAACAGAGGCGCTCCAAAAGCTCAGCCCTGCTCCACAAGGAGCTGGACGTCCGCAGCAACCGGGCGGTCCGCCAGTACCTGGTGAAGGTCAACCAGGCCATCGCCACGCTCTACGCCCGCCACGTCCTGGCCCTGCTGCTGGCTGACTGGCCCGCCGAGGCGCAGCTGAGCGAGGAGGCCCTGGAGCTGAACGGCGCCTCGCACATGGCTTACATCCTGGACATGCTGATGCAGCTGGAGGAGAGGCCGCTCTGGGAGAAGGTGACGGCGAGCTTCAGCCGCAGCTGATTTTGGAGAGAAGTAAACGTTTGCAGCTCGGGCGCTGTAAATTTTGTGTATTTGCTGTCGCCGACCAGATTCTGCAGAGGGTGCTGAAGGGCTGCAGCCAGAGCATGCTGTCCAGTCTGTCGCTCACGGCTTGCCAGTTCATGGAGGAGCCGGGCATGGCCATGCAGGCCAGAGAGTCCAAACACCCGTATGACAACAACACCAACTTTGAGGTTAGGGGAAACTTTTTGATTAACCTCAGTTGGACGTGTAAACCAGAGAGTTTCTATCTCTTTATCGCTAACACCATTGCAAAAACAGAAAATCTAACCAAGTGTTTTTCTAGTTTCTAGCGCAAAAACATTTGTCATAATAAGGTTTTTATTACAAAAATAACTTCCAAGTAACTTTTCAGAACAATATAGTTGTTTTAAGTCAATAATTCCTTATTGTTGACTTGGAGTACTAGTTATATGGGAAATAAGCTGCTTGTAGAACAAGACATTTTAAATTGTAATGTGAGAAAAATGTCTTGTTACACTGAGATTATTTAAACGATAACTAGTACTTTTTCATCAATATTAAGGATTTGTCGACTTAAAACAAGTGTCTATATTGTGCTGAAAAGTTACTTGTAAGATAGTTTCATTTTCTTTCTAGTTTATTAAAATATCTGCCCAAGAAAATAAACAAAAAGTACTTGGTAAGATTTTGTGTTTTTTGCAGTGAATAGAAAGAGAAAAGCAAATGTGTATCAAGTTTAAGGCAAAAAAAAAATAATATTTTTGAAAATTGTACTTTTTAATCACCTTCAATAAGTAAAATCTCTCAAACTCTTCAGGACAAGGTTCACATCCCTGGAGCCATCTACCTGTCTGTAAAATTTGACTCCCGCTGCTACACGGAGGAAGGCTGCGACGAGCTCATCATGTCCAGCAGCAGCGACTTCCTCCAGGACGTCCACAACTTCAGCGGGTCTCCCCAGAAGTGGTCCGACTTCGAGATTCCTGGTGACAGCAGCTGCTTTTTGCTTTTCTTAAATTTTTTAGTTTTTTAAGCTCAAATGTTTGAATGTGTGACTTTGTCTGACAAGTCCTTCTGTTTTTATCTCAGGTGACACCCTGTATTACAAGTTCATGTCGGACATGAGCAACACAGAGTGGGGATACAAGTTCACCGTAACCGGAGGCCACAGGGGGCGCTTCCAGACAGGTAGCTTCCTCTGACTGGCATGAGGCAACCTCAGCGTTTCAAATGGAATCATCCTCTTATTTTTATTACTTTTCACATCTCTCATCAGGTTTTGAGATACTCAAACAAATGCTGGCCGACGTTCGAGTGCTCAGCCACCTGCCGTTGGCTGATATCTGGGAGTGGCAAGTGGGCGTGGCCTGTCGACAGACTGGAGGCCAGCGACTCAAAGCCGTCCACTTGTTGCTCCGTCTCCTGCAGTGTCCGAGCGAGACGTAAGTCGGGCCTTTCTTCTCGTCTGCATTAGCCCGTCAAATAGATTCCGGTTTTCAGAAATGAGATATTTGAAAACGTTGGTAATTATCTACGCCGAAGTCCAGAGCAAAGTTCATCCAAATGCCTTCAGTACGTGCGGTTCACCTGAACATGAGCTTTGCATAGAGTCCTTGATAAATGTCCTAGTCATCACCACAGAGATTAGTTAAACTCTGTGTTTAAAAACTTTGCATAAGTGCAGACTCACCTGTGACCTGGTCTGTGTGCAGATAGTTTGGACTGTTTTATCACCAGCCATTGCTATCATCATGTGTGTGTGTTCTGCAGAGCCTGTGAGCTGATGCTGCTGCGACCTCTGTGGCAGCTCTTCATGTCCATGGAAAACAACCTGAGCCAGGATCCGACCAGTCTGTCCGTGCTGCTGCCTCTTCACAGAGCTCTCACCGAGCTCTTCTTCATCGCAGAGGCCCGTGCCATTGTGAGTACATGCTCTTGGATTAAAGGGGCAGAGTTATGAGAAACGGACTTTCCCGAGCTTTATACCAGGTTATAATGTGACTCCCTCATCAAAAACATACCTGGAGTGTTGCTTTGATTCCTTTAATCTCCCGTGGCCACCGTTCAGAGGTGTAGACATGCGTTCTCTCGCCGAGCTGCACTCTCTGCCTCACAGAGCACCCCTCCCCCGCAGCTCCCTTACTTGGCTCCTTCAGACTAGCGGCAGCAGCAATTAGCAAACATCTAGTGGAACTGCGCATCTGCTGTCTGGGTGTCTGTGAATCTAAAACGTCTTAAATTCATGTATCTTAAATGAAGACATTACAATGCCTTAAATTTGTTTGAAAAAGGAAGATGCGACGGAGTGTCAGGAAGAGCAGGCACTCACAGCTTCTTAAAGAGACAGAGGCCCAATATTTATTTCTGCAAGATTTGCTTAGATTTTCTGAGGGTTTATGCTTTTTTAATAGACATTTGATTAATTTTTAATGCTTTGTTATAGCCCATGAACATGTCAGAGTTTTTTTTTCTGATTATTTGGGCTGAAAACACCTACCTAAATTATTCAGGCTTAAAAAAAATACCAACCCACATGGTTTGATACAAGCAACCACTCACAAAGACGTCTTGCCTTATCGGTGTCCCACTTTGTTTTTTAACTATCTGGGTAATTTTTTTGGTAAATCCAGCATTTTAACCGGGATGGGATCTGGATTCCTCTTTAAGGTTATTCCTGATGCCGAAACGTTGAAATGTTTCATCCATGATTTCTGTTCTCTGAAAGAGACAAAGAAGAACACCTTTAGTGTGAGATATCACACTTCTGACTGGAGACACTCTCTAATCCAGCCTTTAGGCAGATGGCATTTTGATTACACGTTGTCTCCTCTGCTGCCGGGGCCACACTAGAGATTTGATTGATTTTACGCAAAATTAAGTTTCTGTTGTTTTTATTTCAAATATGGCAATCAAAGTCAAAGAGATGGTATAACATTTCAAAATTTAACACTCAGTCAAAACCAATGCAGGATTCTTTAAGATGGAACAATCGTCCACTCATATTCATTGGCACCGTCCTTTTTAATACTACCGGTTGTGTGCCTCACCCACTAGTTCTCCATATTGATGTATGAAATGTTCGGGTGTCTAAAAGCTCAGAATCAGTTTGCTATTTGGCACCTTGATAACATTTGCTTTCTCCAAGATCTCTACATCTGCATCCACATTGTTGTTAGTTTTTCAAGATGGCTGATGGGTAATTTCTGTGACATCATTGCAGACAACTTGTTTTACCGCATGGAGTAGATGGTTAAATTAGTGCCTTCTGAGGGCCAACGCAGGCTGGCCCTCACAGAGTTGGAGGGAAGATGAGAAATAAAATGCAAAAATAAAATTAGTCAATTTTTTAAAATCCTAAATGTTTTTTTTTTTTTTATTGTAATGTTTTATCACAGAATCTGTTCTGTTTTTCACTAATTGTAAAATAGAAGTCAAAACAACTTATCGAAACGTTATTTTCCCATTCTTCTGATTGGCTGCTTTGCTTCTCAAGCTAGCGTAGGAAACGCAAAGCGGGAATGTTTCTGTCTGGAAGAAAATGACGGAACCTTAAAATAAATCTGAGAATAAAAAGATACAAGGCTGCATCAATACTAAGGGAATGGCATAATTACTGAATAATGAGTAATTATTTGTGAAAAAAAGAGTTTCTTTACATATTTTGTAGCATTGTCTGTGGGCTTATTAGGGAGTCTCCACCCAGAAGCTAATGGCTAATTTTTCTGGTCCCACCTATTTTCAACGGGGAGAGGGGAGGGTATTTTTAGCTGCACATGACAGAAGGAGGAAGGACCAAAATTTAGTCGACATTCTTCTTCTTTTCCCCCTCTGTGTATCTGTCTCTCCACTTGATGACCATGTTTTTCTCTCAGCCCACCTGCTCTGGCTCTGGCTCGGGGCCAAAGCCCAGCTGTGCCATCTGCCAGACAGGCTCAGAGCCTGGAAGAGAAGAGATGCTATCTGAACTTTCATTTATATTCTCTCTATCTCTCGCTCTCTTTTTTTCTTCTTCTTCGCTCATCGTGAATTATTCACCTCCCATCTAGGGGATTGTGAGTGCGTCATTAGCCGGGAGTTTCCCTAGCTGTAGATGCAACTGGAGCAGACAGCCCCTGAAAAAAAAAAACACACCTTTCTGAAACCATCGGGGTCTGGCTGGGGAGGCCCGAAGTGTCGGCTCTGTCTATGAAATTACCAAAAACAAAAGCAGGCGGACAGCAGGGGGCAGTAGCAGCGCTTCACACAGAATGCCCTTCATGGACATTGCGGTCCTGCGTCTGCAAGGATACAAGAAGGCGTCAGACTCAACGCAGCGACTTTCATGCTGCACCAAGAAAAATGCGGCGTTTCCACAACCCAAACGTGACGCATCCACTTCTTAAACACAGCTTGAGACAAAAGAGTTGCCACAAGTAAATAACAGCTGCAGGTATCAATTATACAGAAAAGTCAAATTCACTTCTTCAGATGCAAGTCACGGTTCTGCGGTTTTCAGTCTCTTAATTTTAATTTTTTCAAATGATGTTGATTTCAGAGGATGTTTTTATTTATTTATACCAGTCATCCTGAAAATGGCATGAGGCAATGAATGCCTTCATAAGATGCCGTAACATGCAAACCTCCACCAACTTTTACTGCCCTCCGAGAAAGTCCAGCCATCAGTTTGTCCACCATTCATCCAAAATAGGGAAAAAAATAAATAAATAAATAATTGGAACAAAATGAAACATGAATAAATGCAGGTGCGCAGCAGGTTGCCAGCCTGTGTGACCACAGTGAGAAGCTTCTTGTTCATTCAGATGTGGCCATATTAGGCCTGAGCCTGCAGAAAGCTGGCTTCAAACAATCAGAGCTGTTCTCATCTGCAGCATTGATCCCAGCTCTTTTCTCTGCACTTGATGTTCTGATCCCCTGAGATTCGCTGCACTCCTCCTCACCCCAGGAAGTGTGCGCTTTATATTTAGCAATCAAAACACAGTGTGTCACGCAATGCTGACCGCACATTCGGTCCAAGAATATCTTCCCCCAGCATAAACATTCGGCGTGCTGCGAGAGGATTTGGGAAGCGGGGCTCTGGAGTTCCTCTCCAGAGCTGTAAAAGCTCTATTTCGACCTCTTTTTCAGCCCAGCGGAGCCTTATCTCTGTTTATCTGCAGTGTCTTGCATGTGTTATTGGGATTTTACATGAGAGAATCAGTGCATTGAAGTACACGCAGAAGAACAATGATGCATGTTTTCTGTAATTTATTTAAAATTTTAACCCAAAATAAAAAAAAACATCTGAAAAGTGTGGCATGCATTTATTCATGGTGCTAATTGTTTTTTCCTGCTTCAATAAGCAATGAATCAATTAATCACATGATGAGTTACAAAAATAAATAAATAATTTCCATTCTGGTGATTAATATTTCTTGAAGGGTCTTCTCGTTTGTGGTTTTAGTTGTGTTTGCTTCTGTTTTTTATTTTTATATATTTTTTTGGTTGTTGAGTTCTATTTTGGAAATTTAAAATACCTTCCAGTTCCAGTGTTAAGTGTTCTGTACAAAGCTGGAGTTTATTCGTCTTGAAAGTTGTCTCACAACATTATCGTTCATCACAATAATTACTGGAACAATAATTCATCATCAGGCAAAATTGATCGTGACAATAGCATTGCCACGATGCAGCCCGTTTTCTATAGTGTTGAATAAGTTTTCCAGCAATCTACAGGTGATTTTGATTCGAGAGTAACAGAAGTTACCCGCCATGCTCATCGCTGAGCGCGTCGCCACGAGCCATGCGACTTGTTTTCAGTGTTTTGTTGCTCTCTTCTTGTTTTGCTTCAAACTTTTGAAAGCCAAACTTCTCATTTCCCAGAAACAAGGAATCCTCCAGGAGTATCTGCTGGCCATGGCGACCGACGAGCAGCTCCTCCGCCACACCGCCATGGTAAGAACCAAACTCCTGTTTAGTCTTCGCCGCCTTTTTATTGCCGGGTTGTTTCCTGAGATCCAAATGCCACTCAGCGGAACCTCCCGGGTGGCGCATCGCGGTCTCTGTTGTTCGGCGCGGCGTCGCCCGGATGAAGGTAGCTCTGAGAAGCCGCCTCGCTCCCTGTAGCCTTATGTAACGCTCTCTCTCTCTACCACGCAGTCTCCTCGATTCAAGTCGCTGTGAGTCAGCTTGCTTCAGGAGTCTCTGTTTGCGTGTGAATCAGCGAGATGTTGACACCAAGCGGATCCCCTCGGCACCCCCTACCTCTTGTTTTTTGTTTTTTTTTTTTCAAAGCGTGTGGGCCGCACTCACGGCTAATGCGTTTGATAATTACAGTCCATTAGCATCTGCGGCAGAGCGAGCCACGGCGTCCTCCGTACCGAGGGCCCCTGCGACGCGCCGGCGGGGGCCTGAAGGCGCTTCAGAGGAGCGGAGGATGTGAGGTGGTGGGGGAAAAAAAAAAAAACACCACTGTGGGTGGTTCTGCTGAGCAGTTACCTAATACCTGTCGGGTGGCAAACAGAGCCGTGGGTAACTTGGCACGCCAGCCGCGGGTTCGGCTTGCATGAAATTCGCTGAAGTTCAAATTTCACCAACTTCGTGTTTGGGTTCGTTTTTCTTGTACTTGATTGGTCGGAAGATTTTTTTGAAACAATCTGAACACCTAAAACACGTGTCAAGCAATAGGAAACATGTTTACGAGAATAAAGTCATTATGTGAGAATAAAGTCGTTGTAGTATGAGGATAGTGTCATACTATTGCAACTTTGTTCTCTTAATTCGACTCGTTTTTTCTCATTATTTCAACTTTATTCTCATACGACTATTCTCGCTATTTAATTTAAAATTTTTTCTTCCAATAGCCTTTCTTGAGTCAGAGGCCTCTTCAGATGTGTGGCAAGACTGACTGCTGTCAGAGATCCTTCTCACAGTCGGCCTCACTGTCCACAGTGACACTTTGACGATATTTTTGAGTTGAATTGAATACGTTCTGCTTCATTATTTTGTGAGAATCAGCTTTTCCAAACAAGCCGTGCTAATTCAGTGGTTTTCCAAATTGGTCTGTTGTGAACATTTATATTTTAACATTTTGTTGTTGTTTTTTTTGTTATAAAATTCCTGTTCTTAAATCCCATGGCTGCAGCAAGATGTACTTTGCATTTCATTCACATCTTTCCTGTTTTAACTTTGTATTTGGTTAACAAATTACTGCATATTTTTCAACTAGATTTCCATAGAAGTAGAACTTGGCTACAAATAATGCTTTTCACTGCATCCCCAGAACGAAGAGGATATCATTTTCTTTTTGACATGACTGCATTCGTTTGGGGGAAAAAAAAAACAGCTTTAGTTTTTGCAAAGAGAAACATTAACCAGTAATTATATTTAATTGATATTTATTTATCCTGAGCTATGCTGTTTTGTGTTTTTTTTTCTTCTTCTTTCGGTTCACTGATAGTCTGGAGTTACACTGATGTTCTCTCTTTTTTTTTTCTATTTTTAACTCTTCAGGCTCTGAAAAACATCACCGCCATCAGCCTGGCCATCAGCTACCCCAATAAATCCACTAAGCTGCTCAACCTGGCCCCATGAGAGATTTCGCCGAAGAAAAACGTGGGAGAACGTCCCTGCGGGGAGACGCGCCCCGACCCCGCTGGTTGGTTTCACCGGAAAGTTGTGGGAGGAAACCGTCCCCCTCACCATCCAGCGCAGGTCCACCCCTCGCTCCCCTTTGTCGCGTATCCTCCCGTACTCTTCAAGAACATCAGCCGAGGACCGGAGCACTTTCCACACTTCTTCACAATCCTTTTTGCCTTAGAAGAATTCAGTATATCAGCATGTGCTTTCACAGATAGTAGGACAGTTTGTTTGGGGTTTTGTTTTTTTGCTTTTCTTTTGTCCACCATTTGATGCTTTGCTAAAGGACATGAAGTGTGCCAAATTAGCATACTTCACAGGGAAGTATGTTCTGTTATTTCCCTGCCTTTTTTATCATTATTATTATTATTATTTCTTTCAGAGCAGCAGCTACTGTGGATTACAAAGTTGATCGTGGTGAAAATGGGTCACCTTGGCAACTTGCATGTCTCAGTAGACATGTAGAGCATCCTAAAAATACTGCCCAGGACGTTGGAGTCTCATTAGTCACCACAGAGTGAAGGAAGTGACCCACTCGCTTAATCTGCTCGTTTCTTCATTTCCCCCATTTCTTTGACTTTCATCGCTCTTTTTCTGGCGACCCTTCATCATCGTCAACCTCCTCTGTTTGTTACTGTACTTACAGGAACAAATGACTGAACAGCACCAGTTCGGTTTGCAACCACAGACATAAAAAGTTCTTGTATGATTAATGCTTCTTTTTAAAATTTGGGCGATGTGGCTCTTGCCCAGGGTGCCACCACCATCAAGGGGCGGCAACAGCCAAAAATAATCAGTTGATTCGTAAGGAAGTTTTCCTGAAGGGCCTCTTCAAATGTTGGCTCCTGGTGCCTCCCAGTGTTGTGCAAACTGTAAACAGAGATAAAGTAACAAATTCGTGTTGACGTTTGTAAAATCTCTATTCTGTCTGCAAAAACCCAAAAGAACTCACGTTGAACGCTTTCACCGGAGCGAACTCAAACCGAGACAAACGTGAAATCTGCAACGTATACAGAGAGATGCAGATTACAGAGCCTTTAACGCGCCGTTTTAAACGATGAAACCGTAATTTATTAAAACCGTCCCAAAACGAGTCGGGTTGCATCAACCTGTAAGAAACTCTGTTTTTTTTTGTTGTTTTTTTTAAAGTTGACTCCTATTGGTTTGAGTCAAACCCCACTGCAACGTCACACAATTACCACTGTAGTTGATAATGATGATAAATTTACAGTTTCACCGATTAACTGTTGTTTTATGGATTTGTTTTCTCGGCCGTGATTCTTCGAGCGCAACAGAAATGTGAAGCTTTGCTGTTGATGGTAAAGGAAAAGCACGTGCGTAAAAACCCGTATGTACAGCACGAGACCATTCCTAACACAGAGGTCACGATAGCAACGTAGAGTCTTTATATTAAAGTATAATCCCACTTTCATTCACACTAACCCCCCCCACCGTGTCAACGTCACCACGTAGTCACGTTTGTCTGCGCATTTACAGATTTACTCTTGCGTTTCTCAAATGAAACCATTTTTTCGTCCGTAATTTTATGCCAAAGAAACGTCTCATTTTGAGCCATAAAAACATCTCACAAGGAGCAACCGCTGCGATTCGCTGGGGCGGCGGAAACATTTACACATCACTCAAGTTTTATTTCTTTCCAGCTTCGATTTTTTTTTTTTTTCTTTTTCGTTTCGCCTGTGGGCCCCCGGACATGGGCCGCGGGACGGCTCGGTGGTTTGGTTTACGCAAACATCAATGAGGAGAGAAGAAGAAACGCGTGGCCTCCGTTTGGCTTCCGTGACGCCTCACCTATCTATGACGTGCCTATGGTTCAAAGTGAAGCAATCATGATTTATTTTATGTTATGAATTCTATTTTAAATAATAAATATATTGTTTAATTCAAGCTTTTTGTAACTTTTTAGTTATTTTGTTGGGTTTCTTTTTTTTTTATTTTTTTGCAATGATGCTTGATTTAAGGCTAACTAATTTGAATGTAAATACCTGTGAATATCGGTTGCACAGAATAAGGACTTTGATAATGACCGCGTTTAAAAAAAATAGAGAGAGGGAGCAGAAAACTTTATCTGACACAAACAGGTGGACACTTTGAATCCAGTTTTGTATGCACGGTGTTGTCAAACTTAAAACAAAAGAACTGCTCGGGTTGAAACGTGATCCATTTGTAATAAAAAAAACAGAAGTGACTGAAAAATGAAAATTTCTTTCATCTTTTTGTGTTTTGGGGCTCAGGTGTAAATTTCTGCGCTGCAGCAAATTGTGAGTTGATGTCGATTATCGCGATGTGACCGCATGATTACACAAATTGGAGCTATGAGCATAAACCTGCTTAATGGAAATACGGTGATTTGATCAAATGTTGTTGCTGCTACGATGAGGTGATTTTTTTCGGCTGCATTGAAATTGGTGAATTTCGCAAAACTACGCCGCCGCATTAGGGCCGTTGTAGATAGGAAGAAAAGGAGAACGTTTCCACCTAAATGTTTTCAAACTTAGAAATGCCCTTATTTTTGGGTGTATTTTTTATTTATTTCTTTTATCCATCTCCATTAAACTTAATATGTATTTTACTAAACTATAACAGGAAGAAGATGGTTTATGGCACCACATATTTTGCCTCAAATTATCGAGTAGAAAAGCCTGTTGATGTGTGATTTTTAATTGCATTTCTTATTTCATGGAAACATTGACATTCAATGTTTTTTTTGTTGTTGTTGTTGTTTTACATTAGTGGAGTTTTGCGCACATTTGTTCTGGAAACGCAGCTGATGAGGGGAAACTAGAAGGAGCTCATTCCTTTTAGCTTCAAGTTCTTTCATTTCCTCCCGGAATAACTATTCCTTTAGTCACAGAAACCTCCAGTGGTTTCAGTTTGTCAGCCTCAAACTCAAATAGTTCACCTCCCATTATTTATTTTGTCCTGATAATTCATTAGTATGCCCTTTTTTATTTTTGTTTTTTTCCCCTCTCTGGGCTTGGTTTCATCAAAGGCCCTCTCAGCCTCCGTCCTCCCGCCTGGCTCCGCTTATCTCTCCCATGCCTGTGATATGGAATCTCACCGACAGCCCTGATGATGGGAGTGATGATCACTGGGGCGATAATGACATCAAATGGAGGAAATACTCAATAAGGCTCCAGATGATTCAGTGCCCCTCTGTGCCGCCGTAGCCTCCTCTCTGCCGTGACTCAGCTCTCCTCCTACTGCTCCACTCTCCTCCCATTTAGCTCCTATGCCTTTTTAGTGGTTTGTACAAATCCCCACTGTTTCCCTATTTTTTTTTTCTCTTTTTTTGGTCAGGGGTACACCAAGTGGAAATCCTAGTAAAGCTGGGATTTGGATAACATTAGAAAATCTCATTTGAGCTACAGTAACACTAACATCCTTGTAAATACTTGGGAGATATTAAGTTTACATTTAAGGAGACAATTTTTGTTCCTTTTTTCCTTCATTTATGCTTTTTTTTTGTACTGTTCAGGCTCTGAGTTTTGAGTCCAAACCAATACTTTATTGAAATGAATGACATCAAAAGACTTGTGCTTCAAAACTGCAGAATGCAACATTTATGAAGGAAAAAAAATGTTTTCTTACATATTTGTTCAAATTATCATTATGTAGGGACAGCATAATCTATAAAAGAAAATTGAGCATCTCTGTGCTCTTCACTCCAACCAATCAGAGCTAGGGGCAGGGGTCTAGCGCTGTCAATCATCCTTGTGTTCTGCTCCAGCCCTCCTTCTTGCTCTCTATTCCACTACAGCTGGTTCACCAAGGATGCTAAGGCTAGTAATCATGGTAGCCTATTATGGTGGATAAATTGTTTTGTTTCTCTGCCATTAAGACATATAGCAGTGCGTACATGACTGTGATTGGCAGCGCTAAGACCCCTCCCCCTGACTCCGATTGGTTGTTTTTAACCAGGAACTGTGCATTTCTTCAGACAGCAATAGGAGCTCAGCTAGGAGGTGAAGGAGCTTGATCTATTCACAAATTATCTGACTTTTACCGTACTGTCACTACACGTTGACGATTTTAATAAATATGGCTTGTTAAAATATAAATAGTTAATGAAACTGCATGTGTCATCAATAATACATTTGCTTTGTGATTATGTGAAGTTTAATTCAATCGGACAGAAAGCCGCAGGGTTGCAGCAGCCAGTACAATCTCTCCCAACTTTGTTGGGTCGGAAGAAACAACTGGACTGTAAAGGGGAGAACCCAGATTTGTTAGCTCAACAAAATTATGTGAAATCTTATTTTTCCAAGCCATGACAAAAACGCATCCGGCAATCGCTGAGGATACGGGGGACGGAATCCCAGGCGTCAGGCCATCAGTAAGTATCCGGGCTTTGAATTTCATTAGGGACACCAATATTGATCATTTTAAAAATGAAATGAAACAGCGTCACGGTCATTTCCCCTTACAAACTTAATTTAAAGCCCTGGTGCAGCAGCTCCTCCATACTCTGACGGTTACTCTCCCTTTTAACTCCAAAGTTTCGCCCAGCTATCCAGATGAATGTCACTTGCACTGTTGCTTGTTCTGTTTGTCTCTCTGTTGGCAACTCTGACGACGCCGCACGCCGCCTCTCACAGAATGACCGAGGAAATGAGGAGCAGCTCCTCGGAGAGACGCATGCAAACATGTGAGGCCTTCTACGATGCAAACACGAACTCTGCTGCTATTTGAGTGGAAACTTAAACTCAACTTAATGCTTCGATCCCAAAACACTGGCTCCTTGTTTTGAAAGTACGTATTTTGCAGGCACAATGTTCCATTCTATGGCACAATCAAGAAAATGTTACCTTGCTATGAAAATGCTCTATATGTCAAATGTGACTTCATTATTTATTGCCTGGAAAGAATTCACTCTAAGCCTCCATTTTTTTAAATTTAATTGCAGTCAGTTTCTATTGATTCATCTCACATCCCTAAAACAAAAGAGATTGATGCAATCCTTAAAAGCGTAACTTTAATTTCCCACACGGTCGTATCTTCAAGCTGCTCTTCTGTGTCTTTAAATGACATCATCGCTCGTCAGATGAGCGTACTTTTCGTGCTGCGTTTGAGGTCAAATTAAAAATACGAACTCCTTCTAAAGGACTTGGTCTCTAATTCGTCTCTTTTTTCTTTTTGCAACATTTACCAAACGGTCACACTCTCTCTCGCTCTTTTCGATTAACCGAGTGTTTTTAAGTGCTGTGTGGCGGTGGGGTCACACTGCTCCTCTGGCTGGATCCCTCTGCCCCCCTTTGACCCTGTCAACTGTAGCCGCGACCCTGCTGACGGAATCGCTCCCACGCAGAAGGAAACTCCCGCATTGACCTTGTAATGGTAATGAGACCCACTTCTTCAACGTCCTCCGGGGACGCGAGGCCGTTTTTGAGGTCACCTCTCTTGAGGGCGCGGGGATAATTGGACTGTGAGAATAAGCGCGTCCTATTGTCTGGCTGCGCCGGGAGAGAGAGTGCCGGTTCTGGTCTCATTTCTGGCCTCTCTTCTATCTGGGTTAGAGGCTCGCTGTTAATGGAACAGCGGACGGGAATGGATGGCGGCGGCTGTCGACGCCGTCGACTAATCGCGGACATTTAGGGTGAGGGCTGCGGGTGACTGAAGGGAGTCGGCGGCCGTAACGACGCGACGTGAGAGATGGACCGCTCCCTGACTCCCAGCTGGCCAATAACTGACAAATGAGCTCCAGGACATCAGAGGATGGACCGAGGTCAGAGCCCATGTGCAAGAGACGGATGTCCTCATGCCAAACCCCCGGCGCTGTAACGATTAATCGAAGGATCCTGATACATTGACTATTAAAATACCTTCAAGTATCTGAATTAAGTTACGTTTTACTATTTAGTGCTCTGTGTCAACATGTTCTGACTATCAGAGTATCCTACGTTTTTAAAAGTATTTTAAATAAAGAGGTGTTTGTAAGAATAAAACAGTATCAGACTGGGTAAACAGGTTTTTTTTTTTTTTTTTTACTGAAATTAAATTAAACACAGACGTACAATTAGAGATCACCGCAACCCTTTTTTGCGCATTAGTCCGTCATATGACAGACTTTATCAAATGCAGCGCAGGTCACTGAAATGATAGGATATATTACTAATATTACAATCTCACACCACTACCAACATGCTCTAAATAGAAATGTTAAAAAAAAAAAAGAGTGCCATTAAGCCAAAATATTTTAAAGTGTAGGAACAGGCTAATAAAGCCTGGTATAAATTAAATAAATCTTCAATCTTCCACAAAATAAAAAAACAAAACTAATCTTCCACACATAGGACGGATGTGTTGATAAGAAATCTGGATGCTAAGGCTAGTTAGCATCACCGCCATTAAACAGTTTAAACAAATATGTAAAAACTACACTGTTTATAAAAGTTACACACTGCGGCTTCAAGGTAATTGATGGGAGTTCTGCATAAGGTTTTTTAAAACATTTCCAGCTTTTCTAATAAAACAAATATTTTTGCTTCTTTGAGCTTTCTTGTGTCTTTTTCTATTAGAATAATGAACAGACCACTAAGATGTATTCAGTTCATATTTCTTTACATTATGCGGTGTATAGCCTTTATTTTTTTCCTCAGCCTCTGATGAATCTGTCTCTAAAACCAACAGGACTTAAAGGTGAAATCCTTGATTTTCTTAGTTTGGAAACTAGCTGCACATAATGACTATTATTCCTTTATGTTCTGCATTGATGCTTAAATCCTAAAAGCCCTGCAGAGGGTTGAGATTCACTCCAGCTGAAAGACAAACACTCCCAGAGATGGAATCTGTAATTCTTGAAACTGGAAGTGAACCATCCCCGACTTTGTCCTCTGCTTTTCAAACAAATGTCATTCAGAGTGGACGGCATGCGTTCGTGCTTCCTCCTTTTGAGGGGGGGAAACATTTCAGGGCTGATTACCAGCGCCTGCCACGACAAAGCGAGGGTTATCTTCGGGGTAACACTGTCACCAGCCGTATCACCCTTCACTGCTCGTCTGGGACCGAGGAGGCCTGCGTGTTGTCATGGTGTTTCCTGGAGGAGGTCCTCGGGTGAGGAAAGATGGCCGACTGCTGGACACATCCTGTATTTATGCAGGATTTATGCCTCTCCACACAGCAGAGACGGCTGCCCAGCAAGCCCAGTAAAACAGCTTACTGGGCACACTTTTTTTTTCTCAACTTTTGATATACTGACCTGAGTAAAGAAAAAAAAAACCTTGTGATTTATCACTAATTTTTGTTTAGTTATTTTTTGGTGACTTTTCTCCATTTCCTGTTTCAGTTTTAGTTTGATCTACTTTTTGACAATTTTTGGTACTTTTGCTTCTTGTTTCTGAAGTTTCTGAGACTTTGCCACAGATGTTTTCCGTCAAACATCCAGCTTGCTCAGCTTGTAACGATAACAAATGTTGCTCGACGATGAATTGTCCCAGAATTACTGCGATAAACGATAACATTGTTGTTTCGAGACCATTTTCAAGTAATTTAACGGTAGTGGCATGAAAACGCAAGAGCACACTCTCAAAGATTAATAAACTTTTAGATTCCGATGAACATTTAACGCTGGAACTGACAGAGATTTGAAATATCAAAAATAATTTAACAAAACAACAGCGTCACTTTCTGGATTATAGTGCCTACGGAAATTAACTACAATACAGCCACTTACTTTTTGCCATTTTAATATTCCCTTGTCAGTTCATTTATTCAAATCGTTTTCTAATGTATTTAATTCTTTGCTTTCTTTTTGTTTTGTTTCTCTCTCTGTTTATTGGTAAATTAGGTTCATGCCTCCTGTACCATCAGCCATTCTGCTCCTCATCACAGCTGTCTATCATTTCTTCATTTGCCTCTGTCTGCTCCCTTCCCCACCTCTATCCATCTTCTGTAAATAGCTCTTCCGGTCGTTTTTGTCATTTCCACCTCTCCCACATTACTCAAGCTCCTCTTTTTTCATCCACTCCCTGCTGTGTCCTCTGTCATGCTGCCCCAGACTCCTCTGTTATAATTCCCAATGATTTTCTGTTTCTTGAGTTGTTCCTCTGCCGGTTTCCCTGAACTCAATGGAAAAAAACACCCAACCTTTTCTGATTTATTCAGAAAAGCTTTTTACACCACATAAAATAATGTGGTGTTTAAAGTCCACCTAAACATATATTCAACTTTGTTGTCAACATGAATTCACGATTTTGATGAGATTCTTGTTCTATTTCCCAGACTAGAAGATGAGGAATATTGCACGTTTGAATTGAAAAAGCATGTCAAGATTCCTGATTTACCAGAGCTGGTTTGCTGTGTTTCAACAAAGACCAATTGGCAATCCTTTTTTTCCCTCCAAAAATAACAGAGTGAAGAGAACTGTAAATGTGGAATAAAAATTAGCTTTTTAAATTTTATTTCAAAAACAAACTTAAAATTTTTTTTGGTTTTTTTTTTTGTTGATAGATTCAACTTTTTCCTCTTCTGTCAGCATTTATGCATAAAAGTAGGATTTTATAACTACCAAGGCATTCATGCATTTTTCAACAAGCCCAGCCCATCCTCAATCTGCTCACACTTCAAAGGCGTTGCTGAGGAAGAAGCGAAAGGTACAGTTCAATAAAGTTGGAAAAATATATTTGGGATGGTTCCTTAAGCATTTTGCGTTACATTTTCCATATCCTACGAGGTTTCCAAGTACATCTCGTTAACCTGGATGCTTCTGCTTTACTCATGTGTACACCGCCACCTGAACATTTGGAGCTAAAGGAAAACCAAAACAAGCCTTTTAGTGTCAGAGGTTTTCCTCCAACTGGGACAAAGCTTGTTCAGCAGAACCGAGAGGACTGGCAAGATGCTCGATGTCCCTCAAATCTGCTGCAGTTTATTAAAGCTATAGATAAGACAGGACATGAAGGACGAGGAGGAATGGAGGGAAATAAAGACAGGAGGTGAGACAGTGCAAAGCCTTTCCTCTGGTAGTTTAAACGCCTCTTACTGAGGAGTGATACTAAATTTACACCTGGCTGGCCTGATTGTGTTCTTTAGTTCTTTTGAGGTCATTAAGCACAGCAAAAATCTTGCTTTGCAACTACTCTTTAAATTAAAACTAATGAACTGATCAAGGATTCATTTTCAGCTAACGATGAGCTTCTACTCACATTCAGGTTGGTGCCCAGGCATTAAGCAGTGGCTAGCTGCTCTTGACCCAAAAGGAGCAAGTTTAACTGCTGCTCTACCATTATCTGTTGATCAAGTATGTTGTTCGCTGTTAGTCTTCATTATCTAACAATGAATTCGTCTCTTTTGTTTCTCCTGAACTGTAATGGCGCAGCAAGATCTGTTGCTAACTGTTAGCTAGCTGTTAGCTAACTGTTAGCTGAAAATTAATATTTTTTAACTCAGCTTTTTGTTCACCCTGACGCCGTCACACATCGAAATAGGTTAACATCAGTGAACTATTGCATCATTATGGCATAATAATATGTTATATTAGCCTTTTTACATCAGCATGTGTCGCTAACTGTCAGGTGACTGTAACTCCAATTTTCCTTAGGCGCTACTTGACCTTTCTGTTTCTTTTAAAGTGAAGTCACACATCAAATTTGCTGTTCGCCGTTAGTTAATTATTGCTTTATTACTACCTGCTCATTTTGCTATATCACTAGCTGGTCATTAGTTAGCCTTGTTTGAGCTAACGTCAGCGAATCAGTCAAGCATCTTGAGGTGTCAAACTCAAGACTCACGGGCCAAATCTGGCCCGCCATAGCTACGCATGAGGGCCACATGAATTTAACTTTAAGACAACAGCTATGTGCGTAACTACTATTTCGTCACATTAAATCTGTTTTCTTTTGTTTTATCGGACCAAATTACATCAATGTGGAAATGTGTCAAATTGGTTTTAAGCGATACGTTCTGTCACAACCGGCCCTTTAAGGACGTCGAGTGATCGCGCTTGATGTGGCTCGAAATAAAAATGTGCGTGTAAGACGTGGTCATTGAAGTCATCGTTGGATTCATTATGAAGTTCCGCTCGGCCTCTAACTTTTCTTTTGCTATTTCAAGATAGCTAAAGGAATATTTTTCAACAACTGAGCTCAGTTTGGTCAACTGATTCATCCTTCACCCATTTCTATGTAAAAACATCATTTGATGAGTCTCACTTGGAAGCGTTGCAGAGATTGATCAAAGCCAAAAGAGCTCATCCGAACTGCTCGGGTATTCTTGAACCGTCAGAAAGGTCACCCTGCTGCGCAGGTGAACAAGCAACTTCCATTTCGTACAAAACTCCGACCCGATCAAAAAAGGCTGCGGCTCCTGTGGTCCAGATTCAGGTCACACTTTGCTGCACAGCAATGTACTGCAGTGGACCGCTTGCAGCTATATTAACTTACGGCACGCTGTAATGTTCTTAAGAGTTCACTGCACTAGAACTCATTTAGATTGAACGCGGATGGTCCAGTGGAGTCAAGGCCGTGAAAGATGATATTTTAATTCGCTCACTTTTATTGAACCCCCTGCACTCCTCTCCCACCAACCACCACCAACCACCTCAGGAACCTTTCTCACCAAATGGCCTGGACTGACAATGGAGCCTCTGTATGATTGAAAGGGAGCTGGTTAATAGTTAATGTCCTCTTGTATTATTACTCAAACCTGAAGCAACAGCACATTTGACAACAAAACAATGGCTTTGCTAGACCGTTGCAAACTGAGCAGGTGCCCGATATGCCGAATGGCCAGCACAGCGGTACAAACAAACATCACTGGCATTTTTGGCAGAGTTTGGAGTTTTATCTGTATAAATATCACTTTTGGAAGGTGGCTGTCGGATTCTCAGCCATTTCTGTCTTGGAAACTTCTTCTTGTTTCTCCAAAAATCTTTTGACTTTAGGAGGTTTTCCAGCTCAAAGGCAGCTTTCCTTGCTGTCTTTCTCTTTTTCTTTTATAAATATTTCCCCATCTCGTTCAGCACATTTTAAATCAAATTAAGTAATCATACGAATGCAGATAATCAAAATAAATTCTAAAAGTCGAAATTCATATCGATCAACGCTACGCAGGGCCCAGCCAGAATACCAGGAATGCAGTATTATGTTTCTTTGAAGGATGGCTGCAAGTTCATATCCCTAACTCCACCGCCAGGGACATTTCTCATCTGCGGACGTCCACAACTTCTCCGTCCGTTCGCTGATTGCCTCGAAAGCAGACATTTGAATAAACAAGCTGTCAAAGCAACGATGCCGCGTCTCTTGTGTTGCGATGGCTGCAAAACAAACCGAAATCATGTTTGACCGTCTTGTGTTTGGGACTTCTCGCTTCCGAATCAATTGTTTGTTAATTTTCTGTATTAAAGGAACATCATCTAGTTTTCAAATAGTTTTTAGTCTAGACATAAGGTCTAGATTTGAGTCCCATCCTTTCAAATTCTTGCTATACTCAGTCAAGTTGAATAAATTTAATAAAAGCTGATTTCATTGTGTCAAAGTGTCTGGACAGACGTGGTTCTAGTTATTATAAAAGTTTGATTATAAAAAGATGAATACTTTGTGTTGTACCTAACGTTTTCTGTTGTATAAAAATTATGCAAGTAAAAATTTTTTAGCCAGATTATAAATCAAATTTTTCCACCTGTGCTCTATGGATAAAATTTGTATCATTCTTGAACTGCAGTTGAAGGGCCCAAACAAAATCAGTCTATGGGCCACTAACGGCCCTCGTGCCACACTTTGGACAGCCCTACGCTAAACCTTTTGCACTTTGTCATGTCGCTTAAGTGACAGGGATTTTACAAAAGGTATTACTTAGTGTAGAAAAAAACTCTAAAAAGTGTGGCATGCATTTATTTTCTTTCTCTTTCAATTTAATGTCCCTAAATAAAATCCAGCTGCCTCCAGACATCACTTGTTTTTTTGTTTTTTTAATAGACTCAGTTCAGCCTCAGAAATTTGCAAGTGAACATTACTGGACACACGTCATAATGAAGACCAAGGACCACAGCAGAGAGGTCAAGGGTTAGCATTGTGAAGGAGTTCAAAGCAGAGTAAGTTTATACATTTTTTTAAATAGATTTATAAATTCCTTTCTCTTTTTCTTTCCTTCCTTTCCTATCCTTTTCTCTTTCTTCGAGAAGCAGACTAAGTTGCAACGAGCGTGCCACGATATTTAAACTTAATTTGCAAAAATGTAACTTTTACCTCCATTTCACTTTCACTACCTTCACTACTTATTAGTTGAACTCATAATTCCATCCACAGAAGCAGGTGGATGTAACGTGATGAAATGCGAAAACAATAAGAAGTAGTACAAGCAAGAAACCTCTTTTCAGCCCATCTGAAAACTTTGCGTCTTTCACGTGTTGCGTGTTATTATTGCGGACGCATCGCAATCTCCTCCGGCCTCCGCCTGCCTCCACCTCTCCTTCTGAGACTTTATGCCTGATTACAACTGTGGCCTTGTTCCAGGAAAAGCTGGCTTCAGAGGTAAATCCTCATGAATCGCTTTGCTCCATCGGGGGACTAATCATATCCTCATCACCAAACCATTGCGGTCGCTCATTATCATTTAAATTAGACTCTGGGAACTCCATCGTTAAATTGTGGGCTGGTATGTTGCTGCTGTTCTCTCTGAGAGACTCGTTTCGTTTTCAGAGGACAGAGAGAAACGGCATCTGCTTGTCTGGGAATTTGCATGGTGAAGACATGGTCACATCTGAGCACGCCTATCGGACAGGTGTCTTCTCATTCAGCAAATACAACAGAGGCTCATTTCTAATGGCGTTGCACTTTGACCTGCTGTCCAAAATACCAGAGTCGGCTCCAGAGATCCTGTTTAAGTTTTACCTCGAGTAATGAAAACGTTCTAAATCTTTAAACAGAGCAAAAGCAAACCATGTCCTGAGGAGGAAATTGGCAAGAAAGCCACAGTGAAAGTAGCAGAAAACCTGTGCGTGTGTGTTTGTCCACACCCTCCTCCTGCCTCCACCAGGAAGTGTGGATCATGATCTGCCCAAGGCCATAGTCTTTACTTTAGTTGATACAAGACATTTCATTTTGCAAACTGAAAGAGAGAGCCATCGGAGGAATCTGACGGCGTGGCAGCGATCACTGAAATACGACATTTCCTCATTGCATTCTTTGGAGTTAGCTCAAAGAGGCAATGAAAACTCCCTTTAAATATTTGGTTGTTTAGCGTGACAGATTAATGACGCATTGTCTTCTAACCTTTTTTCATTTTCTCTCTGCGGAGTGTTTTATTGTGGGTAATTAATAACAATTAACCTTGAATGAAAATTCATTTCTGCCCGGAGGACATGTTGTGTCTGCTATAGGAGGGCGTCTTCACTTCTCACCTTTAGCTGCTCGACGTTAACGGGGACGGTTAAGCGCTGGTTCAGTCCGTCTCATGTCACAGACAGCATCTCTATTTGATGCACAGGTGAAGGTGTTAACTTCACCTGTCCAGGAGATATCTGTGCTTGATTTCCAGTTCTGCTTCAACTTTAAATATCTTTTCTCCGGAGGGTCTCGCTTTTAAAACCAACACTCTCATCTTCTCTGTAGAAGCTCTATGTCTGCAATATTTCTATCTCTTCAAGAAGGATCTTAAGATGACCAAGGATGACACCAGACAAAACGTTTCTGGAAATGTATATTGCTTCTCTGATTCTGGCACATTGAGCAGCGTGTACATGAGGATGATTAGCAGAGCTAAGACCTTCCTCCTGGTTCTGATTGTCTCTTAAAGATTTTTATAAACGTTACATACTGAAGTGAGGGTTAGGAAGAACCAGAACCTGTACTCCAAACTTCTCCCAGCTGATGGAGCTCTTTACACTATCGCTACGTCTGAGCCTGACAACACAGCGGAGGAAGCTGACTTCAATCGCTATGCAAAAACGTCGTATATCCACATCTCAAGACCAGATGTCGGTGTTGGAGCGTACCTGAACCAGTTTGTGTAGATTCTCCAGGGCTGGGCCCCAGAATTTGCCTCCAGTGGAGGAGTTTGAGTGTCTTGGTGTCTCGTTCGCAAGTAGTGACAGGTTGATGGATGTGTTTTTGTTTCATTTGCAAATATGGGGGTGCTGCTCCAGTGAAGAAGCTTCACAAGGTGTCCTGGCAACTGCTTGTAAAATGCAAAGTCCTCATCAATATATGTGTGTTTTTTTTTTTATGCACTTCAACCCAAAGTTCACCTCTTCCAACTCTTAACTGTGGACTTTTGAACGAGTGAAACGAGTGCAGAACTCACACCATTTTCTACATGATTTTTTCTTCCATTTACATAAAAGGATATTAAAAGCAGAATGTGTCTATGATGGTTATTGGGCATATATTCCCTGTTAGTTAAGACACCTCTCAGTGGGATCTGTCACACATAACACTTATCATATACATCCTGACAGGGTGTGTGCCAGCCTCCACTCATATTACCTCAGCCTTGTTTGCATGGAGTGTCTGCCACTGCTCGCCAAAATTTGCTAGGCAAATGATGAGCATGCTCTGGGTTGACCAGCCATCAACTAATGTCCTACACACTGCCGCATCTACCGTCCACCAGAAGCTGTAAATTACCTAATTGCTTTTCCGGTAAAATTGTCCATGTCGAACGATAAGAACCCACAGCTCACTATTGATGGGGAGTTGGGTGGAGCTGAACATGGGATGATCCATCAAGAAACCCTGACAGATGCAGCGAAAGACTTTAAACGTGAACTTGCGTGAAGCTGTTTGGATCTAAATGCAGTTCAGTGCTGGAGGAAAATCTACTTTAGGCTGCAAAATAATTAGAGTGGGATGGAGGGTAGAGTTCCTTCAGGACAACACCAGATGCATGTCTAGACTAGACCTCGAGAAGAATGTTTTACATTAAAGTATGTTCAAGTGTTGACACGGCCCAATCAAAGTCCAGACATATATTCTGTTGAGGATCTTTGCATAGACTTTAAAGTTGCTGTATGCACACGCTTTCCATCCAGTCTGACTGAGGTTGACTTATTTTGAGAAGAATGGGAAACTAATCTTTGTTTCTTGAGGTGAAGGGTTGCTAGATAAACATGGAAAATTAGGGCCATGGAAGCAAATTCTGACTTTTTTTGTCTCATAATTCTGACTTTAATCCTATTATTTTTCACTTGTCCTAATCCTATTCTGTACCTAAAAGATCTGCTGTTTTTGTCAAAATGTGTTTCCACAAGCGTCCACATTTTTATTTATTAAAAAAAAAGAAAAAAGAAACATGCTTTTTTGTCCTACCACTTCCTAATTATGCACGACTCTGTGCTGGTGTATCACGTGAGATATCAATTCTGCACATTTATATTTTGTGGTTTTAATCAGACAAAAGAGGCAAGGCGTCCGAAAGGCAAACATCTTCACCAGCACTGGGAAGCTTCAGCTGGGTTAGGCTGTTTGGCGAGACCCCCGTACTCTTACCATCTTGTCCCATGTGCTGTGATTTTCTTGTACCGTGCCGCGTTTCACATCTAGGCCATGTCGGCAACCTGCCTTCTGCTGCATGTGTCTGAAACGGAGCTCTGTGCCGGTACGACTGCGGTATAATCAGGGCAGTGTTTTATTTAAAGGCTGCAACGTGGGCAGTGGCTGCTCTCTCGGGGGCGGGGTTGATGCTGCGCAGCCCGACTCTCACAAAGGTGATCAGACCTCCTTCTAACTTTTAACACCTCAGCCTTTTTCTTCTTTTTGTTTTCCAGTGCGTGCTCCAACTTTGAGATTGGGAGCACTCAGATGCTGGACAGCTGCTTCGATGCGTGATAACGAAGGAATTATCTGACCCAGATGGAAATAATTCAGGGAAAAGATAGAGCTTGCGATGGTTACACGTGTTTATGCCGATGTGATGAGAGATTTTATCGTGTTCATTAATGAACATGTGGGTGGACAAGTGTGTTTGATATTTGCTAAAGTGCCCGTAAAAGCAGGAAACGTAGGTATGTTGATATTGTGAGCTGTTTGCTTCCTGTAAAAATGACCCTTTTAGTGGGCGGACAAGGCCAAACCATCTGAATGTGGACAGCAGCAGGAACAAGCTGCAAAAAGCACAACGTGACGAACGGCCAGCGACGAAGGCAACCGCGAAAAAACATGGAGATTGATCTAATCCAGCTTGACATGCAACTTTAGTCCACCAAATCTTTCTCCGGTCTGGCTTTTGTAAAGAAAAAGCGAAACCAGTGCAGCCGCATTGAAAAGTGTCTCGTGTACTTTGAGTTGCTCTGCTCTCCGTTTGAACTTGACTCCTACAGGAACGCGGCTGACTCTCTGATTCTTAAATGAAGTGTAGAAGACGAACAGAAGCTAAATTTAAAATGTTACCTTTGTACCTGAAGAGGAAAGATCGAGAGCCAGCGCTCTGCTTCAGCTAGAAACTAGAGTTCAGGCAGGACATTTGGGTGTAATGTAGTGACACATAAAGACGGTTACAAAGACGCCCTTCCATCACCTGAAGATCCCTTCCAGAATCAAAGGATTAATGTTTTTTGCTTGATAGTTTTGATGATGCGATTTGACAAAAAGTAATGTTTACTGCTGTTTCATAATTGGTTACTGTATCATGTTTTTACAGTGTAAAGCACTGTGGGATGAAGAAACGCTGGTAGTAAGGACCAAAACGAAAAGCAATGAGAATAGAGATAAAAGACCAACACCAATATTTAATACAGGACTATGGAAAAGCAAGACTGATGTAAAAACAGCAAATGGTCAAAAAGGGGGGGAATGTACATAAACCTTAGAGGAATTAGAAACAAAGGAGTGTCTGAAACTTAAACCAAGTGTTTCAGTGGGAAGAGTAGAATAGGCACCAAGTGACCAAGCTCTGCTAAACATAGTCCAATATAAAGTAGACCATAATGTAGACACATTGCCTGCTGTAATGAGGGGTCTGTTCCAACCTGTCATGTTGAAGACGGAGTAGAGCTGAAATGTGAAGCTCCCACTTTTCCAGTTTGACGACATTCCTTTGTGGATCACGATCGACAGCAGACCGACTAACAGCCTTGCCTGGGACAAGATGATCTAC